ACCATGTTTCTATTCATCCGAGTCATGCGATTGTTGTGCCCCTCTTGTAAAAGTATAAATAAATGTTTTCATTGGTAGTTCTCTCACGGGGTGAATGTTACAATAGATTTCGAGGCGTTTATTTACGTTTGGAGGTATTTATTGTAAAATGAAAGGGTTTTCATGAAACATCTGGTTGAATGTGTGAATTTCAAATGAAAAACGATTTAATTGCCAATTAATATGATTTCCAGCATTTCAATGCAGGATATTTGAAGTAGTTTCAATACTTTTTGTGCGTTGGCGTTTTTCTTGTTAGCTTTTATCCCCTTGTACTTGATGTATTGCTATTTTCGTTCAACGTGTCGCGCACTCATCGAAGTTTTGAACCACTATTAAAGAGAAAACGAGCCTTTTAAGTATTCCTATGCCGCTGTCAAAGAGAGCAAAACGTGGCGCACATGCAAACCGGGGGCGAAATTTACCCAAGATTTAGATGCACTACGGACTGTTGACATCATCATTATACACTTTTACACTTTAAAATGTCGAAAACGCCAAAGATTTTCTTTTGATTTGTAAATATTTTAAAATTTTACGTTTTTAGAGGTTTTAAGAGGTTTTAAGAGGGGAAATGTGGAGAGATTAAAGGTATGGTTAAAGGGGAAGTGGGTAAAACCTACTAACCTTCAAAATGGAGTGGGGGTTGTGTGCAATTGGAGTAAAACTTGCGAAAAGTTGCAAAAAATAATTCCAGCAGTTCCCAAATTTCACAAAACACAATTTTACGACTTAAATATTAAATTTAAATTGATTTTACAATAAAATATTCAAGATTGAAAAAAATAAACCTCATTGTGTTGAATTTATAACCAAAGCCAAGCTTTCAAATTGAAAAACGATAAAACAAAGCCCAAACAAAGAAATAGAAAATCTCTGTGATGCGTATTCAAAACGTTTTTCGAACGCAATGCGAGAAGCTATTTTCTATGAACATTAATGCGAAGTCATTTAAGTGCTCTTGTGAAAGACTATTGCGCAGATAGTTTTGACTCGTTTTAAAACTGAAAATGTCCTTTCTCCACTTGCATTAGAAACGGGCAAGGTCAAAAAATTTGCAGTATTGTGTGTATATTTGGAAAAGTTGATTTTAGACCATTTCTTAATGCTGCATACATTTCATGTGGATCTCTAATATTTTCTTCTTGTACGTATTTTAGAAAATGAGTTAACTCATCAGTGAAATATTCTGGCTCAATATCTTTTTCATACTTAGCCAATAATCGCTCTACACAATCATTAGTCTCAACACGGCTTAATTTTAAATCAAAGAAAATTTTAAAATCGTTAAAACATTGATATAGACATCGCTCCTTAGAGTAATTTCTGATGTTAATACATCACATACAATAAAAAAATTTCTTGACGAAAATGCTGTATCATTTTTGTTCGCTTCATCATATGGATATTTGCGTTTTCTTTGTCTCATCTCTTTATAAGAATGATGAGCTGTTACGGATTTAGCCTCCTCTTCAACAGTTTCGAAATTATTTCTGACCTCTGTTATAAATTCATTTAATGATTTTAATAAACTAACACTATTAAGAATATTTGTCTTTGGTTCCTGTAAGTTTTTGCTGGTAATTTCGATTCTCTGTAGGAGTTTGTTCCAGAAAATATTTAACAGTGCCTTTATAGAAGCTCTTGTTGATTATTGACTGCAGTTTTGAAAATCACCCACGCCAAATCGTCTATGCACAAAACTTCGAGAAAAAACCTTTGTAGAACTAGTGTTGTCGGGGTTGTGATTCAAGACTCACTGACCACTCTCTGTTTTTCTTTTAATCCAACTACCTACCACCCCAAAAATCTAGATAAAAATTGTAGGAGGATAAACGTTGGTACAACGTGTTCCGCAGATGTGAAAAAATGATAGAAAGACGAAATAATTAATATTCCAAAAAAGAGAGCTACCCGCTATTTTACAACCTCAATGGAATATTCCTCAACTCAAAAAAATTGGCAATATACTACTCGCATTATAGCTATAACTTTCTAATGCAATATTCAAGAAAAGGTCACAAAAATTCGTGGCAGAAAATATCCAAATTTTATTTTAAACAGTTTGTCAGAAAGAAATAAAATCGGAGATAAAAAGTTTTAAGTCAGCTATATATCCGTGACGGTTGCTTTGCGGACACGTGTGAAATGCCGTTTTGGGCGCCAAGCGAAAACCGATACGCTATTCATAAAGGCTGAGGTCAAAACCAACTGATGAAGTATTTGTGAAATTACTATATCTATATGGGACATATAAGTGCCAGGGGCCCCTCAGTCAGCCGGGGCCCCCCAGGCAGCCGGGGCCCTAGGCGCGCGCCTAGTGCGCCTAGGCCGTAATCCGCCACTGAGTATCATTGAAATTATAGCTAAAAGGTGTTTTAATCTGGTTATTCAATTGAAAAACTGAATAATTGGTTGCCTACACTCAATTTTAGCCTAAAATTCACCAAAATGAACCAACATGATATTTTGGTTGCCTAGGTATAATATATTGTAATTCTCCGAAGAATAAAGCAAGTTTTAATGAAATTACAGCTAAAAGCTGTTTTGATTCGGTATATTGATGGGTTTAGATATAATCCGTTTGCTTTGCGCGGCCGACATTTTCATATTTACAATGTAAAGACATCTGTCAACAGACCTCCCCGTGAAGCGTTCGCAACCCGTCATTATCCATTATGATGATAATAATCGTCGCCGTCCGCCGCGCGTCCCACCTTCACGCCTTTCACGCGCGTATCGAACGCGAACACACATGCATAATGCATACGACACGATTCGATCAACCTCACCTCAGTATATCTTCGAAATCGACAACGCCCTCTACGCATTATGTGCGATCAGCAGCGTTTACCTCTCTGTGAGCGTATTGTGTGCGTTTGGGAAAGGGTTGAAAAATGGATACAATTGCAGTGTGCAATCCGACCCAATCCTAGGCCAGTTAATCCTAGAAGATGTCGTTATTTGCCTACCATGTTTCTATTCATCCGAGTCATGCGATTGTTGTGCCCCTCTTGTAAAAGTATAAATAAATGTTTTCATTGGTAGTCCTCTCACGGGGTGAATGTTACAATAGATTTTGAGGCGTTTATTTACGTTTGTTGGTATTTATTGTAAAATGAAAGGGTTTTTATGAAACACCTGGTTGAATGTGTGAATTTCCGATTTAATTGCCAATTAATATGATTTCCAGCATTTCAATGCAGGATATTTGAAGTAGTTTCAATACTTTTTGTGCGTTGGCGTTTTTCTTGTTAGCTTTTATCCCCTTGCACTTGATGTATTGCTATTTTCGTTCAACGTGTCGCGCACTCATCGAAGTTTTTGAACTGCGGTGTTAAAGAGAAAAACGAGCCTTTTAAGTATTCCTATGCCGCTGTCAAAGAGAGTAAAACGTGGCGCACATGCAAACCGGGGGCGAAATTTACCCAAGATTTAGATGCACTACGGACTGTTGACATCATCATTATACACTTTTGCACTTTAAAATGTCGAAAACTCCAAAGATTTTCTTTTGATTTGTAAATATTTGAAAATTTTCAAGTTTTTAGAGGTTTTAAGAGGAGAAATGTGGAGAGATTAAAGGTATGGTTAAAGGGGAAGTGGGTAAAACCTACTAACCTTCAAAATGGAGTGGGGGTTGTGTGCAATTGGAGTAAAACTTGCGAAAAGTTGCAAAAAATAATTCCAGCAGTTCCCAAATTTCACAAAACACAATTTTACGACTTAAATATTAAATTTAAATTGATTTTACAATAAAATAAGCAAGATTGAAAAAAATAAACCTCATTGTGTTGAATTTATAACCAAAGCCAAGCTCTCAAATTGAAAAAACGACAAAACAAAGCCCAAACAAAGAAATAGAAAATCTCTGTGATGCGTATTCAAAACGTTTTTCGAACGCAATGCGAGAAGCTAAAGGAGAACTGCGTCGCGAGAAGCAAGAAGACTGCGCGACGTGCACGGCGCACCATATTTGAAAATGGCGGCTCTCGGCTGCGCGTGTTTTGTTTCGTTTCGCTGCTGTTTTCTGCAGGCCCGTTAAAGCCGTCGTGAACTGGCACCCAGCATCAATGCGCGTTACGTTTACCAATACTTCCCTTTTCTCACATCCTGTGTGTGTGCTTTCAGTATGAAAACAATCCAAGCGTAGATAAAAATTTAAAATTAAAAAAAAATAAAATCTAAGATTTTAAATTGTCGCGTAATTCTGTTGAAATTTATTTGTGATAATGTTGGATGTTGGTTGTTGGCGGATGACTCGGTGTGCAGGTTCTTTGTGTATTTTGTTGGGCATTTAATGGCTCGTGTAATGCACGTCGGACGAGCGCGCGCGGGTTCCTGGTGGCCCTACCCCTCTATAAAACATCCTGATAAATGACTTCAGCGCGGCGTAATTAGATTAAGCTAATGCAACATTTGCACCACCGGCGATGAGCGCAACCAGCGCGACAGCGTTTTCCGAAAACGTCATTTAATAAAGCTCGTGATGCGAATGTGTGGTATGCAAAAGCCGTCCGCTCGTACTTTGCATTTTAATAAAATTAAATTCCAGTTAGTTAATATCAAATATTTCACGCACCATTACGCCTAGCTTACACAAAAAGCTTCCGCACGAGAAGCTAACAAACTATACGCAGTTAAGAGCATAAAACATTTAAATTTTTCAAGTAACAAAAATATTATGTATGTTTAGTTGCCTAAATACTTATAAAACCTTTTGGGGACCAGTTGTATTTATTATTTTAAAATTTCTTTTGTTGACCTTTAGAACAACATCTTTGTGTGCTTGTGGGTGCACGGGATGTCTGGATGTGTGAAGGTGCAAAGATTTCTCGAGTGTGCGATTTTAATCTATTCACATGTCTGTCACGCCAACACTATTCAAGCATTCGGATGGAATGTGCGCGGATTTTAAATGGACCGAGCTTGTACATAACAACAAATAAATTTTTTATTACCTGATAAGCAGGAGCCTGGTCCAGATGATCCAAAAGTTGATTTTAACTGAGGAAAACCTGAAACAAAAATTCAATATAAAAATATTTATTTTGTTAATATAGGCAACTTTTATTACATTTAACTAAAAATTTAAGAAAATTATTGAGTTAAAAACTATTTTAATTAGTAATTCATGTTTATAATGTTGTAATATTTGTTTGAACGTGTTTAACTTACAATTTATTTATATTTGCACGTGTTTCACGTCGCGTGGATCGTCAGTAACTGATTTAATATGTGTTTTGTGATGTTTAGGAAGATGAAATGTATTGAATCGACAAATTTGTTATCAGATGTTGTTTTCTATAATTTTTAACAGGTTTACACATAGTATCGTGACTTGAATTAAATAATTTATGTTTTATTTTGTGTTTGTATTTTTTTGTAATTTTAAACGTTAATTTCACATTTTAAAGTCACTTGTATCCCTTTATTACCTTTTATAACTTTATACACCTCGCGAAAAGACTTAATTCACTTCTTTAGCATTCTTTGCAACGCCTCACACCGACAGTGCAGTTAGGTACGTATCTCCGGTGTGAGCTAGACGTCCTAGTAGCGCGCGAACTTAATTACGTCAAAAATGCTAAGAATGTGAACTTCTTAATTAAATGCAGTTTTCGCCGAGACAGCGCTTGGCGTCCGACGCGGACGACGCTTATTCGCCCCCGCCGGAATGAGCTTAGGTAGAAGCTCGGCGCGACGCGACGCACAGCGCCAGTTTAGTGGGAGATGAATAAGTTTAATTAAACCCTCGTGTTTTATTAGGTCGCTATATAGCGTGCCTCTAACATTTAATGTGTCGCTCGTTTCTCTTCTCCATTCTGGCAGTCTTGCACATTCATTATTTTATTACCTACGCGCATATAACAAATTTTAAACACAAATTTTTCTAAATTTTATTTATTGCAGGTTATGTTTGGTTATGTTACGCGTGAGTGAGAATGATGTGCAACTCATGGCGCCGCCGAACAGCGCTCGTTGGAACTAATTAATTATCGAGTCGCAGTTAATTAATGCCCTAACGAAGAACGAACCGCCGGCAGTCGGTATTGCCGCCGCCGCCACCACCGCCGCCACACCACTACCAGCGGCGTGTTACCCCCGTTTGCATTCGCACACCGACGTGATGCAAACAAACACACGCATATTGAATTCTCGCCCGACCCTTTGTTTTCGTCTAATTCAATTTCCTACGTTCGCCGCCTCCACACCACTACACGCCGAGGAATATTGGGTTTTACCATGACTCGATAACAACAGTAACGTTTGCGAATCAGCGTGTGCATAGGGTGCCGCCACCGCCGCCGCCGCTGCTGGTGCTTTCATTGTTTTCGCGTTTGCATTGTTTCGATCGGGCCAAACCTCGCCGCGCCGCCACACGCGCATTTTCCGATAACTCTTCGCGAGCCGCCCGCCCCCGGGGAGGTAGAGTTCCGGTACGGTTCGACACCTTTCCACAATGTGTTTGATTATGTTATGTTGCCGCGAGGTACGCACTACGCGTTTAATTGGAAGCCACTCTGTGTCATAATTACATTCATCGCAATCTCACAAATCAATTTTTAGTGTCTGCGGGCACTCAGTAATTATAAATCTATCAATGACCTTGTTTATTATGGAAAAAATCGCTTCCGGTTTTAGCAAATTTTGTATTGCGTGCTATCAAACGCTCTGCGCAGATCTGCTGAATGGCAGCCGAGATCCCATTAAATCTCTAACGTCTTTTGTGCGCGAACAAAAGCGCATCGCCGCTCTGTGTGCGCACCAACTTCCACCAACGCTCGTGGTCAAAATAGTTTTAAATCGATCCCTGCTTACGGCATCTTAACTCGGGCCACGCACACCCGAACATTCTTCAACACACCGGATTTTATTCGCTTTATTATATTTGAATGGCGCATAGAAAAGATCTGTAGGGTTGTGAGGAGATTCCAAGATAGGCCAGTGTAAAGAAGAAAGCGAACGAGGTTTGAGACCAATTTAGATGAAAAGCCTTCTAGTAGATCTTATTATCCATACAACTTTGTCAGGTCGCACTTGAGTGTCACCACAAATCCAGTGTTAACTTCTATTGAATGTTATTCTGAGGTTATTGGGTACACTTAGTAGAAAATTTGTGTTTTGGTTGAGCTGCACGCTTAGATGTGGAATATTGTCAACATTTTGACGGCCACTTAACCTCGCGCTTCGGCCTTTTGTGTCCCGTGTCCTGCTCGTGTCGGTTTACGGAAGAGAACCACATGAATACAACACCGGAGTAAAATGATCAGCTTCACAGCATCACAGCTCTATTCTTAGAGGAAAATCTCTGTAAACATTGATTTGCTCGACTGGTGAACACTTTCCGGGTGTCATTTGATATTTTTATTAGAATACAATGCGAGCAATTGTGTTCCAATAAAAATATCAACGTGGAATGCGGAGATTCGGAGTCGTTTTTCATTTTGAGCCACAATACCGTTAACTTTGAGGTTATGTGCTTCATGATGAAGTAATAATGAACATTCCATTGAGTAAATTCTTTATAATTATTCTTTTCTAAGTTTTATTTCTTAATTATACCATTCCGACACGTTGGAAGCGAATTCCTTGGACGAGTAAATTCGCTGGTTATTTAATTATTTACTTACGCGCTCAACGGAGACTTAATTTAAGCAAAAATGTTCCGGAAAGTAAATTCTTGGTGGAATACAGTAAAAGATCGCCGGGGAACATAATGTAAACGCTTTGTCTAATTTTAATCTGTTTTCGTGCATTTGCAACCCCCGGCAGCACCTTCAATGAGTGCGGGTGCTTCAGTAGCGAATACAGTTGTTGTCGTGGTCGTCCACAGCAAGAGGGGCAAGAGTTACGAGACGCGCTTTGGGTCGAAATTACCCGCTTTACTGATTTGCGACCTCGCGACTCGTCGCGCCAACGAATGCAAATGAAATTCCAAACAGTAATTGCGCCCATGCCCCGGCACCCGACGACGGTGTGAATATGGCTTATTGTAGCTAAGGTTTTACGCTTCACGGAAACACGAAAGCATAGTGTTCCGAACAGGTCATATATACCCAGCGAGGTTTGACAGATATATTGCCTAAACAGGCCCATAGAAAATACTACCAGCTTGGTATTCACCAACAAAATCATTTAATTACACATAAACATTAAGAACAAATCAAGAAAATTAAAAATAAAAAATTTTATGTTAAAATTTTGAGGTTAGTATTACTTCCGACTACCCTGATCAATATACCCATTGCTAATCTGACCCATAGCACATCCTAAGCGGTTGCAAGTTGTAACGTATTGAAATAGTATCCGCATTGTGTTGTTAAATGGATTATTAGATCCCCTTGAAAGATTTCTAAGTGCGGAACATCTTTCCAATTCAGGTGTCGTGTGTCACTGTCACACCGCATCCCGTTACAGTTGCACATGCACCATTTATCTGTTGTGACTTGAACGCAACAAAAGAAAAAAGTGTTGTCACTTTTGTCACATTGTACTGCAATTTGCTACATGGGTTGCCTACTCCTTTTTTTATATCCAAAACGTTTAAGTTTAACATTTAAAATTTCAACACCTGGATAAACTAATATTGATCACCGCAATCTCAACTTAGAAATCTATCCGTGCACTTATTTCAGCTCGTTTTCTTATTATGAGCAACGCGTACCTGAAATAATTCACCTTCATTCATGCCCATGTCTTGGGCCATTGTGCGTTATCGCGTCGAGCACTTCATAACTCCTAAGAAATATTCGCGCGAGATGAATACCGACGCACATCATCAATGAAATGCAAAATGCGGCCTTAGGCCCATGGTGTTCATCATCAGGTGAGACGAGGAGAGGCAATAGAACGTGTGAACAGCTTAGCACATGTCAAGTGCAGGGCGGGGGACTTCCTGCCATTGAATTGCCGTGCGCGGCTGCCGCGAGAGAGCAAATCTTTGCGCCGGTGTGTGACGTGTGTGCAATGGTAATGCCTTCAGACAGCATGAATAGCGAGGTGCGAGAGCGTTACCTCTCTCGCCTTGTGTATTCACCCCAACATACAACTCCTTCTCTCCTCGCGGGGTTGTGCACACTCAACTCTTTTCCTCCGCGCGTCGTGCGCGTGAAAACGTAAAAAAATCTTGAAGGAATTTCGTGTCGTTAATTAGCCCCCCTTTTCTTTGGTGGAATGCATCCGCATGTATGTGTGTGTGTGTGTGCGCCAAACTCATTTCGAGCCACACTCGTAACGTGCCTCGTAGAGTATTAATCATTCCAGTGCTAATTTCGCACGTAGAGCAAAGCCCTTGCATTCCGCGGAGACTCTCTACTGCAACCCTTTTAATACTTAACGCGCATAGATGAACGCTAGTTCCTTCCGTGGACACAGTTGCACTAACCTCAATTCTAATCTATTAGGTGGAGTTTTTTGTTTTGTGCGGAGGTTAATCGCTAATAACTTGATGATTTCGTCTAAATTTAGATCGTTATTTGGTTCCAGGCTGCCTTGCGCTTGGTATGCTGGTATTGTCGAGGGATTTTTAGGGAGCGGGGAGCAAACGCGGACCCACTTTGCGTTCCAGACATTCATACATATACTATGGGGACATACAAAGTGTTCCGAAACATATTTCTCTCAAAAATCATTAATTTTAATTTTTTAAACCAAATCAAATAAATTTATAATTTTTAAGACAGTTTTAAATTTTTAGATATTTTTATGTTGTTTTTTATTTGTACAAAAGAGTTTTTGATGGTTTTGGTCTCATATGGTAGATGGTAAGCTATGCATGAGTTAGTAGTAATGCCCGTAACGCGCACGGCAGGCAGACGCGAATGATCCGTTGGTGACAAGCGCACAAAGCGTTCGCCACAGCCACCAGCGCTGCCGGGTGCCCGGGGAATATCTGCGGGTGCGAGCGAAAAAGCTGCGCTTGCCGGGGTTGTTCCCCGAATGCAGAATGCGCGAGGCGCGAAGCGCGAAGAGGGGGTGCGTGTGTTGGCACCAACTCATACAAACCCCAACATACACACACACAGCCACACATAAAATTGGCATAGCGCTCGAATAAAGACAAAAGCGCGCAAAAAAATATATAACCGAGGTGCAAATCCACGAATATTTCGCTGCCGAGCCGGTTTTCGCCCGGCGTGCAGTTGTGGAGGCTGGAAGTTGAATTCGGGCCCTCGGTGGGCACAGTGCTGTTTTAAAGTCGTAGGCAACAAATCGATGAGCTCCCGGACGTGGCAACAGTTTCGGATTGTTGATTAAAAGGCGCGTGCAGAAAAAAAACCAACTCACCGAACAAAAAATGCACAATTTATTTTAACTACGTGTGAATGTGCGCGTTTTATAAGTGTATGTGTGTGAGAGTGTGGAGAGAATTCGAATTTGAATTTGAATTGCGTTTTTTTTTCGCGACGGCACGGCGCGCGCGCGCCGTAAGTAATTACTTTTTTATTGTTGTCCGATTGTTGCGAAATTAAACGTGGGATAATAGACGTGTAAACGCCACACATGCTTGCAAGTGAAGTGACAAATTTAATAACCATTTGTTTTATAAATTTACAGTTTCAACTCCATTCCACAGACGAAAAAAATTGTTTTAAAAATTTAAAACTTCAATTTAATTGTAATTGTAACGATGATGAATTAATTTGTAGTTAAAAACCGTTGTAAATTATCACGTTCTGCGTGTGTATGTGCTCTGGATCGTGAAATGACTCTACAAAAATTTTCACACTTTTCAACAATCGTAATTGTTTAGTTTACGCCTGTTATAACACACTGGTGGCTTCGTTACGGCTAGCATCAGCGCGTTAAATGTCTGTGCGCAGCCCTCACGACCAATTTAATTGTCTACGTTTCTCTTTTTCTTATAAACACAATGCAGGCGCACGTGAAGCATAACAATTTATGTAAATTGTACGAATGTGAATAAAATAAACAGGAAATTTATCGAATTACCACGCTTTCAAGGTGTTAACATCGAAAAATTTATGTAATTTTCTTCTCCGTCGGATAAAACACACATTACACATTATATAAACTAATCCTACCTGAATTAGTACCTTGCGCGTGTGCAGCCAGTCCAAGAACCGTCGCCGGTGATGCCCCACCAGGTGTTCCATTCATCCCGGCGGCGGCAGCGATGTTATGCGGTAGGAACGCCGCCGCCACCGCTGCCTGCGCATTGAAATACGCCATCCGGCTCGCCGCCATCGTCATATGGTGATGGTTGAAGGTATGCTCGGACGGGAAACATGTCGGCACTTGCATATGCCGCTGATGCGGGTTGTAGATGTTGGGCGTGATCGCCGACACTGCAGCGGCGGGTGACCGATGATGGTGTGAATCGCCCAGACCCAGCAACTCCTGGATGGCGAACGGTGACCGCTGCGGCATTGTCTGTGACGGTTTGTTGAGAATACTCGGCGCGGTCACGTGCACGGTACCTTCTAAACTGTCATTGTTCATTTTTCACAAGTTGGATTGCACGACGCACTGCTGGAGATGTGTTTTGGTGCGACACCCGACGGACTTGGAGTCAGCCGAGCGACGGAAGACGATTTTCCGAGATTTTCATCATTTTACACTTTTTTTTTCACTTTTTTCGTTGAATATTCTTAAAAAAATGTCCAAAGTCAATTCAACACTATCACAATTATAGCAAATTATTAATATGAACACATTGTTTATTTTTTCTTGTTAATAAATAATAATTAGTTAAGTAAATTCGTTAGACAATTGTAGAATTTTGCCCTTTTGTCACCGATGCTGACAAGAGTTAGGCCTTGGACCGCTCGTGAGCGAATGTTGCTGCAAACTGACGACTCCAATTTGGAAAAGGACCTCCGGTACCCGGTGCGTCGTCCGCGCGCGCCACACACACTCTCCCCTACGAAGATTATCCAGCGAAAGGACCCCTCGGTCCACGGGGAACGTAGGCGGGGAGTGAGCATGCCTCCAATGGTCTCATTGGATTCATGCGCGCGCATCCACCATTTCCTACCACAAAGCAAACTCAACCTTATGTTCGCCTGCTATACGTAATATAATACCATGAAGTTTTAGAGAATATCAACATGCTGCAACCGGTTAGTACTAGGCGGGGCTTACAGGAGTGATGGCTGGGTGTAGGTGTGTGTGTGCGGTGGCGTCGCGACGCCACATCGTTCTCTCTTCCGGCTGGGAGCAGTCTAGTTTTGCTATCGCTTTCCACCAGTAATCCCTAATCACGTCGACGTATTTTGACAATAACAGTCAAATATTTAGTTGCCTAATTGGAATGACCTCCAATGTCTTTGTTGTTGTCTACCTTGTTTTCGGAAACAATTTTAATTAAAACTGCACTGTAAATTGGCCTGTAATTACACCCGAAATTTATATTCCTTTATCCTTTATTCTGTTATTTGATTAATTTTGGTAAATTTATGTGTTTTAAGTGGATTTTCTCCCCTTGCGACCATCTTGAATACTCACCGCGCTTCTGAATGCGTGCACCGCATCGGTGAAGACAAACAAAAGGCTGTGGGCCGGGCGCGTAATTAAAAATTCACACGGCCATAATGTCTGCGGTGTGCTTGCATCTGATTGGTCGCCTGAGTGATGAAAAAGAATTCGCCAACTCTCAGATGTCAGCCTCACACCTCACATTATTGCAAATAGCCATCTATTATTACTAATAGTCTTTTGTGGCTTTGGCGAATTTTGTCGGTGTATTTCGCTGTCACTCTGTCACTCACAAGGAATAAATAAATGGCTGCGATTTTTTTGTTGCTTGAAATTCAGCGGAAGTGACAACAAAAAATTCAAAATTTTTTCTGTGTGTGTAGTGAATAATTTGCTTAATTTATTTTTCAACTAAAATGCAATTTGATGTTTTTATTGAATGGAATATTAAATTATTTATTTTTTACACTTGTCGTTGGGTTACTTAGTTATTTTGCTCAATCAGCAATTTGCTTGTTATTTAAATTACGAGCCGCATTAATCCCATTCGCATTTGTCACACATTAAGAGCGTATTTCATAATATAATCGACACGAAACGGATAAATTGAAAATGCTGCGCATTTGCGGCTGTGAGCGTTAAATGAATTTAAGGAAAATTTAAGCTTTCCGCTTCTGCTTTCGTTGGATATTTCGATTTCTGCATTTCATTTCATCACCGTTTAAATACATAAATATAATTTCGACAAATATGTTTACTCGTTCAAAGCTTTCTATATCTTATAAGGGATTAACTTTAAATACAAAATGCTAAAATGTGCTTAAACGACAAATTCACCAACGCCGCCGATTGCTGAATTATGTGTGAAATAGTGCAGTGAATACAAATTATGTTTTGTTTAGATTCAAGCGAGTTCCTCGAGTCTTTTTCAACAATTTTCTGAATAATTTGCGCGCAATTATTGTAATTCCACTGCAACAATTTGTCACAATGGTTTTAAATAAGTACTTAACTGTATTGTGATTGGTGTGAAGTAGTTTACACAAATAATTCAATTGTGTTTGTTCAGTGCTTGAAATTTCAAGAAATTTTAACGAAAAAACTCAATTATAACGATGTAGTCTGTGGCTGGCATCTAAACATTCAAATAAAATCTTATTTACACTGATTCTAATGATGGCACCGATGAATTACAAGCTTTCAAAGTATTAAGCATGTGAATGATGAACGCGCATCCTTGCCGATTATCGCATCGCAGTTTTATAATGCTTGTATCCTCTTGAATGCAAACGCAGCGCTGTGCTCTAAATGAAGTAACTTTTTCCGAGCCTATCTCGTTCTTAATGCCCGCCTCCTCAGTGGTAAATTACTTTTTACGCTTATGATAGTCCTGTGCGACTCTCTCTCCTGTCATCATCAGCGACTGCGAACGTTTCGCATATTTCCATTCATGCGGTCCAGTTTAGTCGTCTCATCATTTCGCCCCTTTTGCGGCCTTTTCAGTAATCATGCAAATCGTTTTAAGCAGGCCCGCGCGCGCCGAAGAAACGAGGATTTTCAATTTTCTTCATATTCATATTCATCTCGCGCAAATTGCTGCGTTCGTATGGTTGCAGCACATCAAAAGCGCGCGCGGAATTAATTGAAAGCGCACAAATTTCCAAACGAGCGGATAAATTACGTGCCGGGGAAAGATAATTTTTACTTATCAAGCAATTTTTAAGAAGTCCGAAGGAAAAAACAGTTTCAGTACCGCTGGAATTCAGAGATGTTTTCTAAACGGGTAGTAGATATCGAGCGATGTTCCTAGATTCAGTAGTAGATTGGTGAGATTCAGTCAACTTTCACTTTTCACCTCTAGGTGGCGACTGGGGTAGCACTCAACTAAAATTTTCTAGTATTAGTCTTTTTTATTTACATATTTATATTTTTTGTGTTTTAGGAGTTGGAGTAATTGTTAAATTGATTAGTTGTAAATTGCAGGTGAACAAACAAGTGCTCCAACATTAGTTAGTGCTTATAAATTGCCGATTAGTAATTAATCAGAAACACAGCCGAAAACTCGATCAACTGTGTAGCCATGCAGCCAAATAACTAATCGATGAACAAATTACTTAATTAAACGTGTAATCGCGCTAATAAATTAGACCGTTTTCGCTTGTCAAACGAAACGAACGTTTTACAATGCGCTCGGCGTCAGGCACACGCAAACTTTGCTCGATTTATATAAAATCGTTAATTTATCAGCACTAATAACAAATTAATTGAACGTTGAACATTCATTAATTACAACAACAAGTAAACAACTAATTATTTTAAACTTTTCCAAAACTTATTTTTGACTGATTTAACTTTATTTTGATAATTTTTTAATTTTTGTTGAGTAAATTATGATGGCATTATTAAAGCAGTAATTAACGCTAAAGCGGCGGCGTTGAAGAAGTCACGACACTGATTATTTATTCAAAGGAAGCCGAAGAAGAGCGCTTGGTGTGTGGAACATGAAACGAACTCATCACTAGGCGAAAATCTAGAATACGAACGCGAACGGTAACTCGATATCGCTTGGAGATGATAAATAATAATCAAAAGAAACCGGCGGGCGGGCGAAGATGATGAGGATGAGCGTCAAGTCATCGCGTTTAGGTTTAGGGGGAGATCACCGACGCACAAAATAAAGATGTTATAAAGAAGGTAAGCGATGCGCGCAGAAAAATTTAATATACGATCAAAAGAATGTATTATCACGTCGTTAGTGATTTCCGAGATAAATAAATAAGATACGAGTAAGATCAAACTCGGAGAGATCTCACACAAAGCTCGTTCAGTAGACATAAACCCAGCAATTCGAATTAAGTCCGTCATTATTTTTGATTTTACCCTTTTTTTCTGAATTTTGAAGTATTTATGCGCAAATGACATAAGCCTCGATTTATCTCCCATATCTTTTTCCTCATCATCAGACGACGGCGCTGCGTAACAAGCTCACCGCGAATTCGAACACGCGCCGGCTTCATTTCCGAAACAAATGATTGCAATTTAAATGCGCGCCGCCGCTGCGGAAGTCACGAGGCACGCATTCCGGCAACCTGCACGTCGGGAGGCGGCGTGGCGGATCTGGCAAATAAGTCGAATTAAAGCGATTGCCAGTGATCATGTTCCTGTATATCCGTCCATTCGTCAATCCACGATGTTCAATTTCTCCATGTTCCTGTTCGTCAATTTATAATTCTTTAGTATAAAAAAGTAAAATAATGAAGAGCAATAATCTAAGCAATTAAAATCAGATACAAATTCGTGGCGCGAATAAGAAAACTTTTAATTATTTCAATCAAGTTGAGTTGGTTCTTGAACTTCTCACCCTTTGCCAAATTCTCAGACCACCAATTATTTAACTTTTTATCACCACATTTATTGTTCTCATTAATATTTTGTCTTAAAAATCAATAATTGTTAAAATTTTCATTTAAATCTTTTTTATTGACTGTTTTTTTGGAAGTAGTGATGATTCACGCAAAACTACAAATGCAATTGGAGAAAATTGGATGTCAAATATCACAAGTTGAGCCAATAAGTATCCGTCGCATCCAGACATCGAGATATCCCGACAGGACTTATAAAATAACAAGGTTATAACTTATAACCGTCTCGGATTTCTTTCGAAAAAGGAAGCGGACACCCAAATTGGATCATATCCTATCAATATACTAAAAATATAACCTCAAATCTTGCCTATAAGCGTAAAATTATTTTTTTACTTAAAATGACAAATTTTTTAGGTTATAAAATTTTGTGAAGATAAATCAAGCAATAATCATCGTTAGTATTGTTCCTAAAACATTATCAAAAGTTATAACCATGCATATTCAATAATTTGTCGATATAACCTGAAATATAACCTCAAATCATGTCTAGTAAGCCTAAAAATAATTTTTTTCACTAAAATGACAATTTTTTCAGGTTATAAATTTTTATGTAGGTAAATCTTGACATAATTATGCAATAATCACTATTATGATCTTGTTTAATGATAAATTTGTTAATATAGCATTAAATATAATCTAAAACTTGGTCTCAAAATCGTAAAAATAAATTTTCGAACTTAAAATGACAATTTTTAGGTTATAAAATTTTGCGTCGAACAATCGTGATTAAACATGTAATAAAACATCTTAGCATTGTTCTTAAAACAATAGAAGGAGTTATATCCGTTAATTCGTGAATATAACCTAAAATCTAACCTCAAATCACGTCCACTAAATATAAAAACACATTTTTGCTCCCAAAATGCCTACTTTTGCACCCTGTGAAATTTTGCGTTGAAGAATCGTGACATAATCGCGTAATAATCTTTCTTAGCATTGTTCCAGGCACATTAGCGTTTGGAGAATGTTGGAGAATCGCCGCGAGGCAGCGTCGTTCGCACACGCGCCGCCGCGCAACCCCTCATTCCCGTGCGAATCTGTGCGCGTGTGACGCCCTAATCTGTAATTAACTTAGTTACATTGTTAGCAACTTGTTGAAATTACGGGCCGGGCGCGCAACGAGGGCGAAACTCCGCGCGCGCGTCGGGAAAAGGCCCGAATTTGCCGGAGACACGTACTTTTACCGCACACGCGTTTCGCCTGCCAACCCCGCTTGACACGTCGCTGTCATATTTTCGCAAATATTTTACTAATTACATTCGTTGCGTGCTGCGTCGTTTAACTCCGCGAACTATTACATTCGATTATTTACTCTATAATAATTGTTCATAAATTTATCACGATAGTTATGTAATTATTGTTAAAATCATGATTTGACATGTTTTCAACTGTAACAAGAAAGATGTGTGTTGATAATTATGTAGATCAAAGGTTTTCATCATGGAATGTACGCGACTTTTTGTGTTTCACAATTCCAGCGAGCTTCTTTTTAACCTTTGCGCGCACATAATCAAAACGCTTTTGCGGTGTGCTGTTCCACGTACGCAACCCGAAGCTTCAAAGGCAAAAAAATGCAAAACACGACCCCCATTCCCATTTTTATCATCTTCATTAAACCTTTTGCGTTTGGTATATTCCCTCTCGGTTTTTAGCATGGTGCCAAAGCTCGAAACTCGTTAAGTCAAACTGCAATGTCCAATTGCTCTCTTACTCTTTTTTGCTTTCATCACAGCGGTCTTTATTCATATTCATGTGCCGGGGGTTACCTTACCTTTGGATCAACATGCACGATACGTGCGTGAATTAAAAACTCAAAAGCTGCATTCGCCCAATCGTCGACGACGTCATGAAAAGCTCCTCACCAGGCACCAATCCGAAAGCTGGAGCATCAAAGGTGTTCTTTTGATATCCACACAAATATCTCACATAATTTTTCATTTTTTTTATTTTAAACAATATTTTATAATTATTACTATTAATAAACTAAATAATTACATATTTGTTTAGCTACTGGTCTAAAATGGGAGGGTTCATAATTTTGAAGGGTAGCAAGGTGTGAAATGTCATTATAAACACGAATAAAGCAACGTATTATTCATCATTCGTCATTCATGTGTTGATTTGGTTGCCGGCGTTCATGCAAAACATCAAAGTTCCCCTTCTGGCTGTCATAAAATAAAAAAATCATTGGGCATTACTAATCCTGGGGTAAAGACAGAAAAAATCATCCCTTATGACTAAAACCCGCCCAAAACAAAAATGGCCGATGTTTTCTAATAAATATTTCAAGTATTTATACAATGATGATATGATGTTGATGATGAGCTTTGTTTGCACGTGTGCGCAATTAAGTTAACAATGTCTTGTAACATTTGACATCAATATAGATTTTATCTGTTTTATCGCCATGACTGTCAGCGACGTGCAATTTGTGAATAAACAATCGCAAGAAGAAAAAACGAACATCTGCCCTTCAAAATCCATTCGTTGAGTGAATTTAGTTAATTTTAAAAGGGGTTGGAAGAACGCTAAATGTTGTTTGGTGGTTGTACATCAAATCTCATTAACTTAATTGACGTGGCGCGTGTTGTGACAGCCATTATGCGATTGATCAGATTGAATTTCACGTTCGTGCATTGTTTTGCTTCCTCCAGCCTCCCACACAATGATTTTTCGATGGAATTTAACTCGATTTGTTTTGAGATGTTGTGATCGCCCATTTCCGGTGTGGAAATATAATAATTTACAATAGAAATCCGGGTATTAGAAAAGAGTTATGTGATATACATGTATACTTGGTTGTCTAACGTACATCCGATGAAATTGAATAAGTGCTTTCTCTGCGTTGAGAAAATCGTTTTCTTTCCGTGTGCGTTGAAGTAGAAGGATTTTTGCAGGTTCCACGTTGTTTCCCATGACATTTTCTTAGAAAATCCATGACAGGTCCGTAAACATTCTTTCCCAGCCGCACGGAAAATGTAACTTTATGTTGGTGTTATCTAAGGATGAGAATTCGGTGGCGTGGAAAAGAGGTTGCGGGAAGCATTCAGCACTTTTCGAAATGATGAGCTATTGTGAAAACTCTACAAGTCACTAGCAGGAGCAGGCAAGCCGAGTGCGGAGAAGAAGCAGCCTTTAATCCAATTTATTTTATCATTGTTGCGTTAGGCGGTCCGGGCGGAAGCGACGGGTGGGCGCTGAAGGGGATGAGAGCTGCGGTTAGACGAAAGATATTGTGCGTTTTCTGGAGGCTCTTCCGTCGCTGCTGGCTGCGATGCGATGTGATGTGGAATCGCATTGAAAGCACGACGCGACTCAAATGGAATTCGATTCGCGTCGAGCGATGTATTTTATAGATAACGATATAATGGCATGTCGTTATCATCATCGCGTTATTTCAACGAATGGCGCACTAATTCTAATCATTGCATTTGCTCATTTAAGAAATCAGAATTTTATGAATAAAAAATTGAAAAATAGTAATTTTACAATTATTTTTATTGCTTTTGAGGATTTATGACAATGGAGGCTTGAATAAAACAGTAAAATAGAGAATTTTATATTCAAGTTCACTCAAAACAGTGTAGCGGGTGTTGAGGTGTCAGCAAGCCCACAAGAGTACTTCGTTCGCTCTGCAGGTACTCTTCAGCTTCTTGCAGTACACGCAAAATGTGTTTGCTAAGTATTTAACATAGTATGCAATTTTATGTTTTACGTAGTTGAACAATAGAATTTAAAACGTTAAATGTTCTCATTTTAATTGTTAAATTTTACTAAAATTAAACCAGAATCCATTTAGAGGTGTTTTGGGGAATGCTGTTGGATGCGCCTTGTATGGCAACATTTTCTTGTTAATATCAACATGATAATTGGCAATAATTGCACTGATAATCAGCTTGATTTGTAAGAAACCAAAGCGCATTCCGATACATTGGCGTGGACCAATTCCAAACGGAATAAATGTGTTTTTTGTCAAATGATTTTTGTTTTCTTCAAAAAATCTTTCTGGCTTAAATTCAGTTGGATTGGGGAAAAACTTTGGGTTATAATGTAAACCGTCAAGAGGTACAAAAATCGCATCACCAGGATTCAACACCAGACGAGTTTTGTTTGTCTCACTTACTTCAGGAAGAGTGTAAGTTTTGGTACAAATTTTTGATAAACCACCAAATGGACTATTCAATCGTAAAGATTCTAAAATACAATTAAAATTCAATTTTAATGAATTTTGTAATTTATTTTTATATGTTTTGTTACCATTTATAACACAATCCAAATATGTCATTTCCTGAAGACCTTCGTACGTTATTTCTCCACCATGTGCAGTTTTGATCTTATGGATTTCTTCACGGACTTTCTTTTGCACTTCAGAATGTAAAGCAATTTCGGCTAGGACATAACTAGCAATACCAGAACTCGTCTCAACGCCATCAAGAAAAAATCCAGCTGCCTGTGCGACCACATCACGATCCGTAAACGGATACTCTGCTGATTTGTCTTTTAAAGATCTAATTTGATCCAAGAAGTCATTGCGTATTATATTATTTGCTTGGCGATATTTTACAGTCTCTCCGACTACAGCAGTCAAATACTCTTCAACTTCATCTTTGAAGAATTTAACTTTTAGGAATTTATTTAATCCAGGGAAATAAAACAGCATCATAAACTTCAACGCGTTTAAATATGATTGGTCATTGAAGTCTTGGACGACCATGAAGAACTTTGATTCGCCTTCAAATGCTTTGGCATCTACACCAAAGACACAATTTGCTACATTTTCGATTGTATATCTTTGACATAAATTTTTTCCGTCCATGCATTGTCCTCGATTGGCATCTATTTCTTTTTGGATGTATTTTGTCATACGTTGTGCCACTTCTTCAGAAAGTGAAAAAACGTGTTTTAGCTGTAAAAATATATTTTTAACATAAAATTAAGAAATATTATTTAAATATTGAATAAAATACTTTTCCACTGCTAAACATCGGTGTTAATAACGAACGCGTGTATTTCCATTCGTGACCTTTAAGCATAAAAATATTCCTTGACATGATATAATCAATCAGCGAACCTTTCGTTGTCAGTAAAGTGCTGGAAATCTTTGACTAACATATCATTCAACAGATCTGGATCTCGAATAATCACAGCACGGTCCAGAAATTTATAAACTCCAATATATTTACAATCTTTGAATGATCTACAAAAAATATTACATTATTTTACACAATTTTAAATACAAATCAAATAATTATGTACTTATAAATGTCTTGAAATTGCTGATACAGTGTTTTTCTTCCAAGAGCAACCTCTTTCATATTACCATAGAAAAACTTTGGTTTTTCATGAGGTATATTACGTTTTTTCCAATAACTATGGCGTTGTTTCACAAAAATATAAAACGTCACAACAGCACAAGCCAAAAGCATCAATAGCACACACCACATTTTGAAATATTAATTCGTAATTCGTAGCACATCCAACGAATGTCAAACGAAAAATGCTGAGTACTGAGTGCAGAGTGGAAATAGCTTTTAAACATCAATTAATAACGCGTAACACTCACTTTAAATTGATCACATGTACTGCATCTGTATATTTATTTATAGAACTTACATAACATGATAGCCAATAATATGAAAACAACTACTTAAAGATAATAAAACTATAAAATAGCATTATTTTGAAATATTTATTTATAAACTTTACGTGAATATTGGATTTACAATTTTATAAACATTATGAAGATGCCCTCAGGGCGAAACATGTTAACTCTACATATAAAATTGTAAATCCAATATTCACGTAAAGTTTATAAATAAATATTTCTAAATATACAATGGATTACGTATTCACAAATGAAAGTAATAAAATGGCATTACATTTTTTTACGCTTCTTCTGGCAGTTTACTAAAATCAAACCAAAATCCCTTCAAAGGTGTCTTCAAAAACGAAACCGGATGAACTTCAATCGGTAGCATCTTCTCATTTATATCCAATTGATAATTCTCAATGGCAGCACAAACAATCAATTTAATTTGCATTATGGCAAATCGCATGCCAATGCAATGCCTAGGTCCCATACCAAACGGCATAAATATATGCTTCACCAATTGATCTTTATTTTCATCAGAAAATCGTTCCGGTTTAAACTCGTACGGGTCTGGATAATAATCAGGATTGAAATTGAAACCGTCAATTGGTAACATAATCGTATCACCAGGGTTTTACACCAGACGAGTTTTATTTGTTTCGCTTACTTCAGGAAGCGTATAAGTCTTTGTACACATTTTATGAAGGCCTCCAGATGGATTATCCACTCGGAAAGTCTCTAAAAAACAAAAAAATTAAAAAAGAAAAATTTTATAATAATAATTATTTACCATTTATAACACAATCCAAGTAATGCATTTCATTTAAACCTTCATAAGTTAATTTGCCATCATGCGCGGCTTTAACTTTTTTAATTTCTTCACGAGTTTTCTTTTGAACCTCTGGATGAAGCCCGATTTCAGTTAGAACAAAACTAGCAACACTAGCACTCGTCTCAACACCATCCACAAAGAATCCTCCGCCTTGCGCAACAACATCACGATCAGTAAACGGAATTTCTGTTGATTTTTCTTTCAATGCAGCGATTTGATCAAAGAAATCATTTCGTACGATATTATTCTCTTTGCGGTAACGTAATGTCTCACTCACTACTTCTGTCAAATAATCTTCAACTTCTTTTTTAAAGAATCTAATCTTTAAAAATTTGTTCAAATTAGGAAACATGAACAATAACAAAAATTTCACTGAGTTTAGAAATGAAACATCGTTGAATCCTTGAACAACCATTCTGAATTTGGTTTCACCTTCAAACGCCTTCGCATCTAATCCGAATGCTGATGACGCAACATTATCAATCGTATATTTATGACACAACAGTTTACCGTCCATGCAACTTCCTCGGTTTGCATCGATTTCTTTTGCGAGGTATTTTATCATGCGTTGCGCTACTTCTTCCGAGAAAGGAAAAATATACTTTAACTAACAAAAAAGAAACAAATTTAATAAAATACTTACAAAATATCAACAAATAGAAGTTATTACTTTACCACTGCTAAACATTGGAGTTAATAAAGGTCTGGTTGCTTTCCACGAGTCACCTTTTTGGAAAAACAAGTTTTTCGCTGTTATATAATCAGCATTTTCATCTACACCCATTGGATTGTCAGAAAAGTGCGCGAAATCTTTGACTAACATTTCATGAATTAATTCGGGGTCACGGATAACTACTGTACGTTCCAGAAATTGGTAAACTCCGACATATTTACAATCCGGGAATTTACTAAAATAAAATAAAAAAATTAAACAAAATTTAAAAAAATTTTTTTTTAAATTTACTTGTAAATTTCAGCGATGATTTGAAAAAGAGTCTTTTTTCCCAGCGCGGTATCCTTAATATTACCAAAGAAAAACGTTGGTTTCACATATGGCACACCCTGTTTCTCCCAATAATTATGACATTGTTTAACGTAAATATAAAACGTCGCAATCACGCACGATAAAAGTGAAACCAGTATAAACCACATTTTCGATTATGTGTGCGACCGCCGAGAGCAAAACGAATACTAACCAGATAAATAAATACAACGTAGTTTAAATTAATGAATAAAACACTCAAACACTCAGCGATTGCGCATGTCTGATATATTTATTAATAGAACTTACATAACAACAAAATTAACAGATATAAAGCAAAAAATTAGTTTTTAATTTATTTTTTATTCTGGTAGTTTACTAAAATCAAACCAGAAGCCTTTCAAAGGTGCTTTCAGAAACGCAGTTGGATGAACTTCAAGTGGCAGCATCTTCTCATTAATATCCAGTTGATAACATTCGATTGTAGACACGACAATCATTTTAATTTGTAGCAAAGCAAAACGCATGCCGATGCAATGTCTTGGACCCATACCAAACGGAATAAAAGTATTTTTTATCAAATCATCTTTATTTTTGTCCAAAAATCGTTCGGGTTTGAATTTATGTGGGTCAGGGAAATAATTCGGATTGAAGTTGAATCCGTCAACTGGGGCCATGACTGCATCGCCGGGATTTAACACCAGACGAGTTTTATTTGTTTCGCTGACTTCTGGAAGCGTGTATGTTTTTGTACAGACTTTCAACATGCCTCCCACTGGATTATCCATTCGTAAAGTTTCTAAAAATTTCAAAAAAAATTAATTTTTATCCATTTTTCAAAAATAAAATATTTTATTACCGTTTATTACGCATTCTAAATATGTCATTTCACTAAGTCCTTCGTATGTTAATTCTCCACCGTGTGCAGCTTTGACTTTTTTAATCTCATCACGTACTTTCTTCTGCACTTCCGGATGAAGCCCGATTTCCGTTAGAACATAACTCGCGAAACCTGAACTCGTACCAACGCCGTCAATGAAGAATCCAGCACCCTGTGCGACTATATCACGATCAGTGAATGGGAATTCCATCGATTTTTCCTTTAACGAAGCGATTTGATCGAGGAAATCATTGCGTTTTATGTTGTTTTCTTTGCGATATCTTAAAGTCTCACCGACTACACCGGTTAAATATGTTTCAACTTCATCTTTGAAAAATTTAATCTTTAAGTAGTTGTTTAACTTTGGAAACATGAAGATTAGTAGAAATTTAATTGCGTTTATATATGATGCGTCATTGAAGCCTTTTACAATCATCGTGAATTTTGTTTCTCCTTCGAATGCTTTTGCGTCTAGACCGAAGGCGCATGATGCTACATTATCAATGGTGAATCTTTGACATAATGTGTTTCCGTCTATGCATTTTCCACGATTGGATTCTATTTCTCTTTTTAAATAATTTGTCATACGTTCGGAGACTTCTTTTGAAAGTGGAAAAACGTATTTTAGCTAAAATTAAAAAAAAAATTCTACAATTTTTTAAATTTTTTTAATAATAATATAATAACAAACCTTCCCACTGCTAAACATTGGACTTAATAATGACCTCGTCGACTTCCACTTGTGTCCTTTGAGCACAAAAAGATTTTTCGACATAATATAATCGACTTTTTCATCAACTACGATTTCATTATCCGAAAAATGTTGGAAATCTTTGACTAGCATCTCGTTTAACAAGTCTGGATCTTGGATAATAACAGCATTAGCTAGGAATTTATAAAACCCAACGTATTTGCAATCAGGAAATTTACTAAAACAACAAAATATTCAAAAAATGCAAAAAAAAATTTTTTTACAAAAAAAACTTACTTATAAATTTTTGTAATTGTCTGAAACAATGTCTCCCTTCCAAGTGTAGTATTCAACATACTACCAAAGAAAAACATTGGTTTATCAAAGGGAACCCCACGCTTTTCCCAATAACTCTGACATTGTTTAACAAAAATATAAAACGTCGCAATGGCGCACGCCAAAAGTGCCCCGAGCGCAAGCCACATTTTAACGTTGTGTATAACACGCGATCACAACACAACTAATGTTTCAACTGGTACTACAAAACAAATGACCGAATATTTCTATTAATCATGTGTTAAGCGAATGTAACGAATCAAATGGTGCGGCAGGGAGATTAGATAGGCTAAATTAAGTTCAACCTCAACTCGAGTCACAAGTCAAAACTCAACTCTAAATAAATTGGTATTACGTGTTTATGCGGGCATAATAATAACATAATAATATTTAATATTATAGTGGATGACCTTGTAAACCATGTTTTTTACTTTGCATCTTCAGGAACTTTGCTAAAATCAAACCAGAAGCCATTCAAAGGTGATTTGAAAAACGCAGTTGGATGCATCTTCCAAGGCAACATCTTCTGGTTGATATCCAGTTGATATTTTTCAATAACAGCAATTACAATCAATTTGATTTGTAACTGTGCAAAACGCATGCCTATACAATGCCTAGGTCCTAATCCGAAAGGCATGTACGCGTTTTTGGTCATTGTATCACGATTTTCATCCAAAAATCGTTCGGGTTTGAACACTTCCGGATCCTGATGATAATTAGCATCGAAATGAAGAGCATCAACTGGTACCAAGACTGCATCACCAGGATTTAATACAATACGTGTTTTATTTGTTTCGCTGACTTCGGGAAGTGTGTAAGTTTTTGTGCAGCGTTTGAATAATGCACCGACTTGACTGTTTACTCTCAAAGTTTCTAAAAATAAATTAAAAATTAAAAATCGCAAAATTTTTATAAAAAAATAAATTATTTACCATTTACAACACAATCCAAATATGTCATCTCCTGAAGTCCTTCGTACGTTAATTCTCCACCGTGCGCAGCTTTAACTTTTCGAATTTCTTCACGAAGTTTCCTCTGAACATCTTGATGCCTCCCGAGTTCTGATAGAGTATAACTGGCAACATTCGAACTAGTCTCAACACCATCCAGGAAAAATCCGGCGCCTTGCGCGACAATATCACGATCAGTGAATGGAAAATCAACCGATTTTTCCTTCAACGCAGCGATTTGATCGAGAAAATCATTTCGTACGATGTTATTTTCTTTGCGATATTTCAATGTCTCACTGACCACACCGGTTAAATAAGTTTCTATCTCCTCCCTGAAGATTTTAAGTTTCAGCACTTTATTTGAACTGGGAAACATGAAGATTAATAAGAATTTAATCGCGTTCCAGTAGGATTTGTCCGCAAAAGCTTCCGCAACTAATTTGAATTTTGTTTCGCCTTCGAATGTTTTCGCATCCAGACCGAAGGCAACTGATGCTACATTGTCAATGGTGTATTTTTGACATAGTGCTTTGCCTTCGATGCATTTTGAACGATTTGCGTCGATTTCTTTGCCGATGTAGTTCGCCATACGTTCGGAAACCATCTTGGATTGTGGGAAAATATTTTTTAGTTTACCACTGGTAAACATCGGACTCATTAGGGATCTGGTTGCCTTCCACTTGTGTCCACGGAGCACGAAAATGTTCTTCGACATGATATAATCAATTTTTTCATCGACCACTATATCATTACTAGCAAAGTGTTGGAAATCTTTGAGTAACATTTCGTTTATCAACTCTGGATCACGTATTAACACCGCACGGTTCAAGAATTTATAAAATCCCACATATTTGCAATCAGGGAATTTACTGTAATATAAACAAACAATAATAATAAATAAAAAATAAATTTTTTAGTTTTTAATTTTTACTTACTTATAAACATCTGTAATGACTTCAAAAAGAATTTTCTTTCCAGTCACACAATCAATTAAATTACCAACAAAAAATGTAGGTTTCAAATGCGGTAATCCTTTCTTCTCCCAATAATTATGACATTGTTTGACATAAATATAAAATGTTGTTATGGCGCAAGCCAAAAGTGCACAAAGTGCAAACCACATCTTGACTTTTTGTATTTGTAACTGCAAGTTACTAAACTCTAAGCATTATCATTTGTTTATATACAGATCGTAAATGTTGCTTCATCACTTGTGTTTTTACGAGTATAGTAACAGCTACAAGTTGACACGATTAGATTAATACCAATTGCCAACACGCAATTTTTAACAAGAGTAAATTTATGTAATCCGCTAGTCACCATTACATATCACCATTACATGGCAATTATATTGAATTAGTACCTACTTAATATTAGCACTTCAATACATTGACAATTATAAATATCAGGATGACTTGCACTTTAAAATGATACACAAAATTATCAATCATATGTTTTATTTATTTATAAAAATCTGTACGGTTTAATGTGGAAGTTTACTGAAATCAAACCGGAAACCATTCAAAGGTGCTTTCATAAATGACATCGGATGCACCTCATAAGGTAACATTTTCTTGTTGATATCAATTTGATAATTACCAATTGTTGCACTCACAATTAATTTGATTTGTAATAATGCAAAACGCATGCCAATACAATGTCGTGGTCCGAGTCCAAACGGAATAAACGTGTTTTTTACCAATTTATCTTTGTTTTCTTCGAAAAATCTCTCCGGTTTGAAATCTTTCGGGTCAGGAAAATATTCCGGGTTGAAATTGAAGCCGTCGATTGGTACATAAATTGTATCGCCAGGGTTTAACACCAGACGAGTTTTATTTGTCTTGCTTACTTCTGGAAGAGTGTATGTTTTGGTACAGACTTTTAATAAGCCACCAGCTGGACTATCCAATCGTAAAGTTTCTAAAATATAATTCAAAATCAATTTTTGTGAATTTTGTGATTATTTTTATAAATTTTTTTACCATTTATAACACAATCCAAATATGTCATCTCCTGAAGACCTTCGTACGTTATTTCTCCACCATGTGCAGCTTTGACCTTGCGGATTTCCTCACGGACTTTCTTTTGCACTTCAGGATGGAAAGCTATTTCGGCAAGAACGTAGCTAGCAAGAAGAGAACTCGTCTCAACGCCGTCAATGAAAAATCCAGCTCCCTGTGCGACCACATCACGATCCGTAAACGGATACTCTGTTGATTTGTCTTTTAAAGCTCTAATTTGATCCAGGAAGTCATTACGTATTATATTATTTTCTTGGCGATATTTTATCGTCTCCCCGACTACAGCAGTCAAATAATCTTCAACTTCATCTTTGAAGAATTTAACTTTTAGGAATTTATTTAATCCAGGGAATAAAAACACCAGCATAAACTTCATCGCGTTTAAATATGATTGGTCATTGAAGTCTTGGACGACCATGAAGAACTTTGATTCGCCTTCAAATGCTTTGGCATCAATTCCAAAAGCACAATTTGCTACATTTTCGATTGTATATCTTTGACATAAATTTTTTCCATCCATGCATTGTCCTCGATTGGCATCTATTTCTTTTTGGATGTATTTTGTCATGCGTTGAGCCACTTCTTCAGAAAGTGGAAAAATGAATTTTAGCTGTAATTATTTATTTTTAACATAAAATAAAGAAATATTATTTGAATATTGAATAAAATACTTTTCCACTGCTAAACATTGGTGTTAATAACGAACGCGTGTATTTCCATTCGTGTCCTTTAAGCACAAAAATATTCCTTGACATAATATAATCAATATCCTTATCACCGACGATTTCGTTGTCAGAAAAGTGCTGAAAATCTTTGACTAACATCTCATTCAACAGATCTGGATCTCGAATAATCACAGCACGGTCCAGAAATTTATAAAATCCAACATATTTACAATCTTTGAATGATCTACAAAAAACATTACATTATTATACACAATTTTAAATATATATAAAATAATTATGTACCTACTTATAAACATCTCCAAATGCCTGAAACAGTGTCTTTTTTCCAAATGCGCATTCTTTCATATTCCCAAAGAAAAATGCTGGTTTTTTGTATGGTACACCATTATTTTCCCAATAACTATGACATTGTTTCACATAAATATAAAACACTGCCAAGACGCAAGCAAGTAAGCCACCAAGCACAAACCACATCTTACAATAAAGCAAAAATTTTTAAAATTTTAAATTCAACAACACTCTCGTAACAAACAACAAAAGCAACTGCAAAAATAACTTCCAAAACTAAATTCGCGAAGTACTTGAGCAACAAATTGTTAAACATTAGGGGGCTGGAGGCATAGATCAGTTGTTACATTAACTCCAGAGCAATTGCCCACCATAAATAAATAATAACACATATAAAACACGCAAGCATTGCGTGATCCAACGTTATAAAAAAGGGTCAATCGAGATGATGATGATGTTGATGTTGATGTTGTTGGAGGTAAGCTTAAATAAGCATTATACATTGTCCCTGATATTCAATCAGCGTAAATAGAACGTCGCAGTAGTAATAATATCATAAACATTGTTATTCTGCACTTGATGTACAAAGCAGAGCAATCTCAAGTTGTTTACGCCAAATAATTATGAGTTATGTGCATTACGCGCATGAAATGCATGAAATTAATTATCTAATAGTCAATAATTAATAATAATCCACAAGTTTATCATTAAATTAATAGTATATTATCTTGTTAAGTCATTTAAGTTTAAATGTCAGTGTAAACATAACTTGTGAGTGATTTTTGGTGTTTTTTGATGAAAAAAATGAAAAAAATTGAAAGAAAAATACAAAAAAATGTTTTAATTTTTATTTACACTAAACACGCAATTGAAACATTATCTAAATACTCCTAATCTTATCAATTACCACTTCACATAATATTTATATCCATAATAATAAAGATATCATTGTTTCTTTTAAGTGGATGACAATTTAATTTTAAAAACTGAAATTCAAGTTGATTATCAAGTGTTTTTGATATATTTTTGATATGCAACTAGCACCCATTCATTTTTAATGATTTTTTTTTCTGCGGTGCGTTTGCAAAACGCAGAAAAGAAATAATTATCTGAGAGCCCTGCATCACTGAAAGCACCGAAATGAGAATGCCACCACCAAGATTGCACAACTATAATGACTGCCGACGTTTGGATTTCCTTCCGTATGCATCCCAACACACACTGAAAGCGCGAGCGTTAAAACAGGCGCCGCTGATGAATGAGAAATAGCCAGATGAAATTGCGGCCGTGTGTATGTGCGTACGTTTCGCGGCGTGCCACTGTAATATTCATTTAAATCGCGCTCGCAATTTTTCATGTGTTTGTTCTTCAGCGTCGATCGTTCTCCGAGGTCTTAATTGCAATATTTTAACGAGCAAAGTGCATTCGTCCCGCGCACGCAAATCAAACCAAAAGGGTTTCTTTCAACATTCACATTGAAATTCACATTCATTTGTGAATAATATTTTTTCTATGCAAAGAAAAAAAAAATTTTTAAATGATGCGAATGTGTCGTTAGCGGATGAGGGTAAAATAAATTTATGCGTGATTCTGTGATGCTGTGAGCTGTGAATATCGCGCTATTAAGATCGTAACTCATAACCGCAAACGCGCGCGCGTGCTGATTGTGAATTTATGCATGAAATATTAAGTTATTTTACATTTCCGTTCGGCGAATTGCGATTGGGTCGCAGGAGACGCAAGAGCAGATGAAAGATGAAATGTATGGATGTGTACACCCCGCAGGCCCAGAAGCCTATTGGCGATTTCGTAATCTGATGACAAGACAGCTTTTTAATCAAAGCACCGAGTCACAAGGCGACATTTGGGTTGCAAACAATTTCATTCAAGAGTGCGTGCTGAAAAGAGTCGCTCGCTTGGTCAAATTACGTTTTAATTCACTAATTGAAACATGAAGAGTCATGGGGCGATGTCATTCGAGTGTTATAATTTCGTAATGGCCGACAATTTTAAATTATAGATATATTCATCATATTTTTTTAGGTGTAGTTGCAGCTATTGTAGAATTTTGACATCTGCTTTAAAGTTATAGGGGTAGGTATGAGTAAAATGTGATTTCAAGAGTGAGTAAATCTCGTTTCCGTCCAAATTCGATTTCCTCGTACCTCGTAAAGAAGCGCAGTGTATACTTCAGCGTCTTCAAGTGACTATCGAACGTTTTTACGCTACTTTTTCCCAGGAACATCATCTACGTACTTTAAGCAACTGAAAAAAATATTTTTTTATTTAAAACGTATAAAAACGTCAGTAGGGTGTGTATTTTGTTAAATATATGTACATGAGACAAAATGGCGTTTGCAATCAGTGAATTACTTAATGTTTAAAGGGAAGAACCCTTCTTTATCGGCGTGCCAACTGCGGTGAAGCGTCCCTTCGTTTTCGACTTCATCAGCGTTGCGCATTACACGCTGAATTTGCCTTCTTCTGAACTTATCTCGCACGATTTCCTTCAAATTGTAATTCCTCAATCGTTTTCTCTTTTTATTCACTATGTGGTCTCTTCATAATCTTTTTAAATCATAGGTTATTGTTTTTTTCTTAAAAAAAATCAAAATAAAAAAATTCGTGAATATTTTTTGAAATTTATTTTATATTTGATATGAACATATGCGGTTGTCCTCCATATTGCAAAATGGTAAACCATAGTTTACTCGGGTCCCATTTGTTCTCCCCCTCGCGCCCTGCAGTTGTTGAATGGGCAGAGAAGTGAAAAGCTTGCCGAAGCGTACTTTTTTAATGCCCGCCGCGTCGTCGCAACGCTCCTTGCTTTTTTCAACTCTGTTCCTGGGTGTGTTCCCTCAACACGGGGCGTTCCTGCCATCCTGTGTGCCACAAGAGGGGAACGCAAAGAAAGTGACGAAAGGAGAGCAAAAAATCACACGCAACTCTTCTCGCCACCACCACCGGCGTTCTCCCCCGCCGCTGACGACCGCGCGGAATTGTAAAGCTCATTCCGCTGAGAGCTTTCATTGATATTTGCATATTTTTGCATACGAAAGATGACGAAATTCCGCAAATATTCTTTGCCGCGCCTCCCAGCGCAGCGCGTGCGGAAAAAGTGTTTGCGGAGGCGCGGCGGAGGACGAATTGGGAGGATTTCCTACGTGGCGGATGAAAAAAACGCATACGTCAGAAGGAAACGGCCTGTATTATGGCTATATTGTTGATGGGGAAGAGGGAAGCACTGCGACAAAGGCGAGCTCACACCGGGGGCGTAAAAGGCGTGCGGAGTGCGGCGCACGGGGTGCAAACGAAGGGGTTTCTGATTCGGATGGAACGAGGGACCCAAGAAACCCCACAGGAAGAAGTGAGCTAGCAGCATACGACAAACATCACCATTATACATCATCCACACGACCAGCAGATTTCATAATTATTGAGTTAGACGAAGATGTAAGTATGATTTTTATTATGCGGATTGCGCGAGTTTTGCCTCCCAGCGGGTGCTGCTCAGCAATGGCTGAAAGTACATTCGCAATCATAAACTTTTCTACTTTTTGAATTTGATCCCCGATGGGCCTAGAAAGCCGAACACCAAAATGAAATTCTGATAATTTCATAATATTCAAATGAAGCATTCAGGATTTTAATTTTCATTTAATAATTTATCAATTTTAAAGCAAAAACTTTTTTGTAAAATATTACCAAAGGGTTATAAGTACTTACACAGAACAATGTGGTTCGTAAGCGATTGGCCAGCATTGTTTTAACAAGCTCAAAATAGCATCCTGAGCTTGAAGCTTCAATTTGACCCTCGCCAGTCATTTTGAAACCTCGACGAGAACTGTACCCAAATAAAACTAAAATCTGTGTTTGTGTGTTTGTGCTGTGCTCCAATTTCAATCACAAGCATCAAATATCTAGATTTCTTTATAAATACATCAAATAGTGATCAAAACAGTGTCAACACAAAAAGTAAACATCTTTACATCAAGAATAAATATAAATACATTGTCAAAAGCAGAAAAAAGTATAAAATTATATTTGTCACATCGATGAATGTAAAATTCGGCATTTTCGAAGCTCCATTGTCGAAAACTTGATGCTCTTCATCGTATCACACATAAGTTGCAACTAGTGAGTGGTTATGTCAGCCGAAAAGTGACGAGGGCATCCTTTTGTCATCATCCCGGATGGTTAAATTAGCCGCACTTGTTTTTAAAACGAAAATAACATTCAGCAGGCACGCAGATGCAGGTAAATGCAGTTTCGTTTGTCATCGCGTTTATTCTATCGCATCATCTGCATCACATCTTTTTTTTATTTTCTTGTCCGGGGCACAAGGTGTGCGTGTTGTTGAGTTTATTATAAAATTACTGTATACATGCGTTGAATTCGTCGACATTGTGTGGCTTTTGTGTCGATCGGCGCACAAATTGTAGTGTTAATATCGAGCGCGCTGCCGACGGATGAAGATGAAGATGTGCAGCGTTCGCAGAGATAAAGCTTCTATAAACGCGCTATAAACGGCTAAAGAATGCTCCGCACATCTGCAGATGTTGCTCTGTGCTCGTTTCCTTCGATTTCATTCATGATTCATTCGATATTCAGCGTAAGAGGTGAATTAAAATATTTCGCAAGTGCAAATCATCATGCGGCGCGCGCAAGAATCGCATTCTTCGCATTGTTAATCGTTTAATATATTTGAATTCGCCGTGATGCTACAATCGCACAAAAGTCACTCTATTTTATTAATTACGAGATTTATGAGGAGCAAGATTACGTCGTTTGTGCAGCGCTGTGCGCAGATTCTTGATGAATGTTTGCGCTGAATTATATTATAAATTGCATTACAAGAATTTCCAATGTGTGCATACATGCCGCACATGTCAATGGAATTCACAGATGTTTAATAGACTGATATTTCCTGCAATCCGTTGGCTAAATGGTGAAATTTGTGATTTTCCACACAAAAATAAAAATTCATGCGCGAGTTTAATTTTAAACACTGCCGAACGACCTTATCCAATTAAACATCGTTAGTTAATCTGCGCAGCCGCCACTTGAAGAGTTAAAGTGTTGGCGCGGCGACTGCAGCTCTAATTATCTCTAATTGCAAGCCGCCCGCGTCTCCATTAAGAGTCCCTTCGTTGCCCTTGCGAATTCTTCGTATTATGCAGAAAAAATGCGCGGTTTTCCGAATGCATAATGACGTACCATTCATGCTTTCATCGCTTGCCCTATTCTCACCTTTCAATTAGAATTCCTCCACGCATGACTCACCTACGATGAATAAATCAATATCATGCGTGATCCTGATGTTCCTCTGATTACGAATTAATCAATATCTATCTGTATAACCGTGTTGTGTTTGATCTTCAGATTGAAATGTCGATCGGTAAACGTGGAGCTTGAATAAAAGAAGAATAAATTCCTTTTTTGCGGATGATGCAGACGCGAGTCTCCTTGGATCGCCACGTGAAGGACCGTGGTGTACTACTCTGCTCTGTTGTTGACGGGTTGTTTGACAAGCGCTCTATGGCTGTCCACACCTCTGTGAATGGCCGTCTTCTTGCGGGGAATGATTGGACTCGACAAGCGCACAATACACCTGCCCTTCAAGCATCCTCCGGATTTCTTTTAGACTTTCTCAACTTCCCCGGGCCGCGCGAATGCCCAGCAGTGCGGTGCGCGCGGTCTTCACGTGTCAGTCTTCACAATGCACCTCACGTTCGGGATTTTCGTGTGCGTCTAAATACATCCTTTTCTTATTTGGACATCGGCGGAAAGTGTAAATATCGGATGACCAAGTGTGACATTCAATTTATTATTGAAATAAATTTGGTTTTAGGGATAACGCACGTTTGTGTATTGGAATTGATTAGGTGGGAATGTTTGGATTGTGGGAAAGTTTCAAAATTTTTATATTTGTGAAATAAATTCGTTTATTTGCAAATATTTGAGTTTATAAATAATTTTTAGACGAATTAGGGCTTTTGTTTAAAGTAGCGCTTAAATATTTAATTAAATACAAATTTTAAACACATAGAATTTAGTTAATATTTCGGAAAACATTAATTTTGCGTTAATATTGACGATTTCTAGGTAAATTTAGTTTTATTTCAGTGAAAATGCTGTTAACTGCTTTCTTTTTACTGTAAACAATAGAAAACTTAAAACAGAAGTTTATTATTTATAGAAAAACAATATTTATACGCTTATAAAATGATAAAATATGAATACAATACCAGAATGTAAGGTTGCATACTACGCACTGTAATAGAAAAGTTTTGAAAGCTCTGTTTTATCTAGAACTCAAACCATTTGTGAAACTTGAAAGCTGCGTTATTAGATGGCTCTGTGTGAGCTTTCAAACATTTTCAAACCAGTTATTGATTTTTCAGCCTCAATACATTTTATTTTTTTACATTTAAGTCAAAATACAAGAACAAATTTGCTATTTTTCATTTTTGTTTTAAAGTATTGTTTCTTAAGTCAATTTTCTTCTGGTGTTTAACGCATCACTTTCAAAACAGCCAATGCAATCAACAAAAAACAAACAATCTTCAGAGCTAAAATAATATGTGGTTAAATTAAATGTACATTTAATTCTATATTAATTCATACCGTTTTCTTCGTCTCTTCCCATTGCAGTTTACAGGAAATTAAAATAAAATTTTTATCACTATCGTAAAATTATTTTTACGCAAGCCAAAATAATGACAGCACAAACAGCTATTTTGGCAACTAAAACACCATTAAAATAAAGTTATTACCTCCACATAATTATAAATAATATAGAAAATTACTCTGTTCAATTTGTCCTCCCATAATTGAAGCTTTTACTAAAAAATACGATAATTTAGACCATATTATCTAATTCCACTGAATTTTTGTGTTTTTCATTTCAAAATGACAAATTTATGACAGTAATTACAGAGCTCACTTATCTTAAATAAAACTAAAGAATTTATTTGATTTATATTTGTGTTTGTATATAATTGTGCATTCCGGTCATAACCGACATGTTATTATGCGCTGCCATTATCGTCCAACAACCAACACGTCCAATGTTATTTATGTATTTATGTATTTATGTATTGAAATATTTCGAACTCGTTGTCCTTGATTCAGCGACACAAACATACGCATCACACCGCGGTGAGTAGTAACAAACCGGCGTATTTTGATTCGTTTTGTATAACAACAAACAACTTTATCACTGAGATTAGCCGCCATCCATCCACTCAGTTACATAACTATTTTATAATCACGTTGTTATCAAATTGCCAATTCAGTGCGCCTCAATTGATCAACACTGAATTGAGCTCAGTAGTTCAGTTCAGTCCATATTACAGAATCAAACAGTATTATTACCTTCTTAGATTTACATTTGCGTCAACATGAGCAACGATAAATACCTGGCGCATCACACGACGCTACGCACAAAAAGAAAACTTGTTTTGAAATGGTTGAACGTTAACGATGCGCTTGAAGCGAAAGTATTGGACTTTTTACGCGTCAATTTTCATCCGAATGAACCGCTGAATCGCAGCATTGATTTAATGAGCTTCCCGCAAGATGTAACCACATTGGATGTACTTTATAAAAACTGTTTTCCGCACGGTGCGTCAGTTGTAGCACTGGATGAAAATGGTAATCTTGTCGGTGTGTTACTGAACGACATTTTGAAACGCAACGCAGATGAACACACAGAGACAGAAGGTGAGGATCCGAATTGGAATCCCACGCCAAGATATGCAAAGTTTTTGGATTTGATCCCGCAAATCGCAAAGGATATGCGCCTGTTTGAAAAGTATCCAAAAGTAGATGCTATTTTAGATCACGCTATTTTATCCGTGGGAGATGGATGGCAAGGAGATGGAATTAGTCAGATTCTTGTTGATTATGCCAAGTAAGTCAAAGTAAACTGTTTATTTCAGTGATTAATTGATTACTTTTTGTATTACAGTAGTGTGATTGCTAAAAAATTCAATTGTGGATTGTCTTTTGTGATATGTTCGAGTTATTTCAGCGCACGAGTGTTTGAAAAGTGCGGATATAAAGAGATTTGGTCGAAAAAGTTCCGAGATTATCAGGAGAATGGAAATATTTTGTTTCCAACTGAATCACCACATGATAATATCACCTGTAAATTATTAGAATTAAATTAAATATTCATAACTTATGTTAAACTAAATGTTATTGTTTTGTTTGTAATAGAAACAACCTTAAACAAATTATAAATTAGTTTATCTTTGATAATTTCACCCTTGAAATATAAATTCTGCATATTTTGTGCTAAATACATTTTAAACTTGTATTTTTTTAGATAAAATGTGTTATATATTTCTACACACTTTCTGCGTGTTTACTTAAACATCATTTCAGTAAATATGAGTAGTGTTTTGTATAAAACAAAGGTTTTAAACCGTCCAGTCATTCTAAAATGGCTGAAACAAACCGATTCTTTAGTTTTTAATTCGGTGGATTTTTTACTTGATCATTTCAACAACAACGAACCTATTTCTCAGAGTATTAATATAACCGGTAATAAAAATGATCAAACTGTGATGAAACAAGTATTTGAACGGTGTATTCAATCGGATGCGAATGTGATTGCCTTGGATGCGCGGACTGAAGAAATTGTAGGAGTTTACTTGCAAGAAATCCAAACTAGATCAAAGAATACTGGTGACGAATGTAGTTCATGGACATTCACTGCAAAACCGAGTGCTTTACATGAAGCTTATAATAATCTAGCGGAGAGATTGAAGAATGAAACGGATTTGTTTGGAAAATATCCGGAATCACAGAAGATTATTGAGCATTGTTTTGCGTCGACGCATCCAAAATGGCTGAAAGACGGCGTTTGTAAAATGGCAATGGATTATTTTAGAAGTGTAATGACTAAAGAGTTGCAATGTGACTTGGCTTACAGTATTTGCACGAGTTATTACAGCGCTAAATTACTGGAAAGTTGCGGTTATCGAGAAATGTGGAGAATGAGATATGACGCATTGAAAGAAAATGAGAAATGTTTGTTTAAAGTTGAACCCCCTCATGATTCTATTACTTTTAAGATGATTGAACTCAATAAGCTTTGATGCTTATGTTTTGATTGTGTTGTATTTATTTATTTATAGACGTTTAAACTAGTTTTACGAACATAAAAATAAAATAAATTCTTAATTCGGGGTACCAGCGACATCTATACATCATTTTATGAAGCTTTATGATATCCGACAGTATAACCTTCATCTGATCAGAAAGTCAGCAATTTATCAAAATATAACAACATTAAGGAACGATTCACAACAATTCGTAATTTAAACTTAGACGAATATTATTTTCTAGTGTATTATTATTATTAATATTTAATAATCATGGAGATGCACGATATGCCGTACCTTTTAAGATCGTATATTGAAACAGTAAGTTTTTAAACAACACTATATACAAAATTTTAATTTATTTTACTTTTAATAGACATCTGGTAATAAAATAAGCCGCCAAACTGTTCTCTGCGGCTCACAAAACATCATTCTCTTAGGCAAAGTTATAGTTCAGGAAGATGCAGTTATTAGAGGTGACTTGGCAAACATAAAAATGGGGAGGTTTGGTGTTGTCTGCAAAGATGTTGTAATTAGACCATCACACAAAAAGTTTAATGTTGGGTAAGCATTTTACATATTTAGACATATATTCTTACTTTTTAATTCACATTAAAACGTTGTTTAGTGTTGCATATTTTGCCCTGAACATTGGAGATCATGTCTACATTGGAGAGAAAACAGTGGTGAATGCAGGCATAATTGGATCTTATGTATACATTGGTAAAAATTGTGTGATTGGTCGAAGGTGCCACTTGAAAGATTGCTGTGTTATTGAAGATAACACAATCCTAGCACCTGATACTGTAGTTCCATCTTTCACTAGATATGGAGGATCACCAGCTCAACATGTCGGTGATGTTCCAGAATGTCAAATGGATCTGATGGTGGATTACACAAGAAACTATTATCAACATTTTGTACCAACCAAACAATAATACTAATTTCTATGTTAAATTATTTATAATTTGATCATAATCATTATGAATCATGCTTAAACATTGCTTTATTAAATAATTTTAAGGTTAAGTTAAAAGAATTGTAATTATCTACACACTACACAACATAATCTTTATTTCTGTGAGATCACAACAAAATTATTACAAGAATAGATTTCTTTGACATGCATTTAATAATAACATCTCACACTCACGCTAATTTATAAATAAACGTTAATAATCACTTGTTTTACTTAAAATTTAAATTGCTTGTGTTCATTCATGTTTTCAATCGTTTTTTTGTGCGTAATATTATTGCTATCACTTTGTTTCAATGTAAAATTTATTCCTTGTGCGTTTTTTGATGCGGCTGAAAGTTTATCATCAAAATAGTGAAATATCTTAATTATTATTATATTGAAACAAAAGTGCTGAAGGTGTGCGCACAGGAATCAACTTGGTCTCGCCATAAACCGACTTTACAATCCAATAATCACGTCCGTTGATATTCTTCTTAGCTCCATTAGGACTGTTAGGAAACGGTGGTTGAAACAAGGCATGATATGGCGGTGGTGCTGGAGCCTGCGAGCCTGTATTCATCTCATGCCATAGTGTACCCTTCACGTTGTTATTATCAGTGAAAGTAGCGAATTTGAATTTGCCATCGCGTTTGTTACTGCGTAGAATACTCTTCTCCGAGAAGAAGTTGTTCATCTTCGGCGCGTTTGATGCATGCGTTGATTTGTGAGCACCGGTGAATCGCAGAAGTTGTTCTATGATGAACACTACAGCTGCTACACCAAATCCAGCACCAACAAGTACATAAGTCATCAAGAGATCTGAATTTCGCAGTTGGCGTTCTTTACTGCCCAAATTCATCGGGCAAATCTCGGTGTTGGGTAGATCTTCACGCATTTTGTATTTTACTATGCCAGATTCAAAGAGATGTTGTATTCTGTAATATAAATAATGATAATTGTATTTTTTGTAGTTTTACTTTGTCAAAAACTTACATTTCATCAAACAGTTCATAGTACTTGAAGTTTTTACGATAGGCAAATGCTCGGGAATAAGTAACGACTGTAAATGGAGTTATAACAAACGTGCAGCGTTTGTCTTCTGAATAATTGGTCTTTGCGCGGTAATCATCGTACATTAGGTATTCAACAGTGGGTTTCTCTCCAAGGAACATGTAATTTCGTCGTTCTACCCAATCTGTTAAGATGCTAGGTCCTTCCATGTCCACAATTTCATATTTTGAGCCTTTTGCCAAGCTTTGAAGTGTTGACTAAATTGAAAATTCAAACATTAATTAAAAAATTATTAAAAACAAATTATTTACTATTTTAATACTTACATTTTCTGATTTCATGCTTTCATCAACAGCAGTTCCAACGTGGGCAACCCATGAGTATCCTTTCTTGCCAATATCTTCCGGTTTGGTGATGGGCAGCGTAAACTTACTCAAAGTCAAGAAAGCAGTCAAATTCGCTGTGTAAAAGGCCGTTAGAATGGTAATAAAGATCCACCAGGTAGCAAACAACATTCGTGACGAATCTATTACAAAAATTCATTAAAATAAAACAAAATAAGGCAGGAAAACATTAAATATTTACCTGTAATTGGTGATAAAGTGCTTCCTTGTTTGAGCAAAGCACCGTACACAAACCAAACGCACGCTGGTAACGGGTACAAAGGAAATCAGCATCACGGCATAATTTAACTTCCAATAAAATCAAAGCGTAGATAACAGGACCAACGACAATCAAAGACAGCAGAATTAATAACCAGACGTCCAACGTGAACGGTGCCCACAATCCTGATCCTGTCGCGGATTCCTGGGGACGTCTCATTAACATTACCCATTCACCCTCGTCCAAAGCCCGAGAGTAATCAATCACATTCTTGAATGTTGTCAGTACCGGTAGGAAAGCCACTCCAAGATCAACTTCCTAAAGAATTTCATCAATTTTTATACAGAAAAACATTTTCAAGGGAAAAATGAAAAAAGTGTTTCTATATTTATTATCGTTAATGCGTTTCAATGTATTCACACTTGTAGCGACCACTGGTCGATAAACGGGCTTGTAAAGTCACGTCAATTTACCAATGGAGGTGTGTTGAGTGTGACAACATACAAGTTCACGTTATACGTGGATATTTTTATGATTATAACAAAAGGAAGTTAAAAAATCAATTATTATCATGATTATCATCGATTTTCACACCTAACTGTTTGTTCATTCAAGGGTACCATTTTAATATTGATTATTACAGTTTAAAATTCAATCAATTAACGTTTTTTTGATATTATTATTATGAAATTGATTAAAAAGTGCACTTATGTTAAAAGAAAACATTAAACATGTTGTGAAGTTATTTGTTTATCGTGTGAGTAAAAAAATATCGAGTAGTTTATGTTGAAGGTTAAAAATGGCGGCAAGGTAATAATTTATTTCAATTTTAGACTCACCCCGCTTTGTACCATGCTCATAATTCCACCTTTATCCAAATCCAAGGATTTATCTTTGGGTTTGAGAAGATTTACTTTAAAACCGTACTTTTCTTGGATGATATTGAAGAAATCAAAAGCTGTACCCGCTCCTTGAATAGCTGCAGGATTTGTTTCATTAAATCCACTCAAAGGCATATTCTGTAATAAATTATTTACGTTGTAAGTTGATTATAAATTTACTCAAAATTTTCATTTTAAACTTACATCCACTGTGGTAATATTAAATGTTTCCATTGACAATTCATTAGCCAATTCAGCCAGTCGTTGTTTACGCATTTTACTTATATCTTAAAATTCAAATTCAAATTCAAATTTTAAAAATTTATTTTTATTTATAAAAAAAATATAAAAATAAGAAAATTTACCTTGTTTAAATCCATTCGGATATAATTCATCTCCATCACACCAATAATTTTGCATCAGGGTAATATTTGTGCACAAAAGTGGCAGGATGTACTCAACAAGCGCCATTTTGATTATGAAATATTACACTTTTACACTAAATCAAAAAATAAAATAAAACCGTCCGTTATTAATTTATCTTTCTTGTTTTAAATTTTTGTGCGTGTTCTGTACTTATAACTGGGGGACATTTTCATGCTCACAGATCATAGGGCTCGTCGTCAGTCATTGTGAAAAATATCCAACTGACTCGGCCGAAGAACGGTGAGGAACTAACGAGCCTGTTGTCAACATGCAAGGACAATTGGTCAAGCGGGGGTGTGAAAAGTAAAGCGGCACCCCGCAACGATACAAAGGATACACACACGCCAGCGCCATTAAATAAAATCGACCATTTTATAACAACAAGCACTTTGGTGGATGTCCATATGTTCATAAGCGGTGGGCATTGTTATGAACGAACGCGGACATGACAACCCTTCAATGCTACCTTTGGTTTTTTATTATTATATTTATGCATGCAATAGGTACAATAGAATAGAAAGAATGGGAAAAATGTTATATTATAATTCATTTAAATAAATAGCATGAATATATCAGTGAATAATATAAATTGTTTTAGTTTAAATTATTTTTATGAATATAATATGAAGTTGAATAATGTCGTAATCTGAAACTTGTTTAAATAATAAAAAGGTTAAGGTCAGGTCATTAGAAACATATTAGGTGGTGTAATTACATAAATATTTTATAACAATGATAAAACGCACCAAAATCTAAAATCTCTTTGAACTTTGAAGAAAATTGAAGAAAAATTGAAATTTGAAGAAAAGATTAAAAAATTAGACAAGTCATTAAATTATTTTCTAATTCCACCTTTAAAGCGTCAGTTATTTTCACGGTTTTGAGATACAAAAGTGCTATTTTAAACACGGGCGACCAAAACTGTGACTAAAGTACTTTAGTCACGGGTGATAGTCAGAGGATGGAGCTTGCAGCATTTATAACCTTAAAAAACAAAAGTTTAAATACAAAAACCTGGAAGGAGAATAAATAGCGCAAGCATCAAGGTTGTGAAGCACTCAATTGATTAAAACCTTGCTACGCTCGCTAATTATCAATTTCGTGATTAAAACTCTCGTTAGCCACTTGTTACTTAATATACTATTATAATTCTTAGTTTATCCAAAACACAATAGTTTAGACATAAACAAAGTTGAATTGTGTTTTATGTTGCTGTTTGACGAAATTCTGCATAAAATGTAAACAAACACAATTTATCGCTATCTTGTTGCGAAAGATAAGTCCGCGTGAATGCGAATATGTGCATCCTAGCGACATCTATCGCCCATTTTTAGAGTTATATTTAAGAACGATGCGCACAGCGCTTGAGTTCACAGCACGCGGCTTTTGCAACTCAATGTGCATCCACTATTACAACTCACATACATGCAACTTTAAAGCAAATAAGTGCATCCCAGGGACATTTTGGGTCAAAATATATGACTATAATACTCTCTTGATTATTAAAGTTGTAAATTGATTTTAACAATAACAGAAATCCGAAAATAATTATGAACATTAAGAACTCCCTATATAATCACAATAATTTGTACCCTAAAGTAATGACAGACAACAAATTACAACAAGACATTGTCTAAATATGTTGTTACGAAAATAATACATAATGAAAAAACATTTATTACATGGATTTTCAATTACAATAGAACAAAAGTTTTATTTTTTAACAAATTAACTGATTAAAAGTGTTTTTAACAAATTAAAAACTATTGAATATGTTAAACAGGTGTTTATTAACTTTTTTTATAAAATATAATATTTTTCTTATGATTTCTCACATGCTTATTACTTTTTTGGAAGAGACGATAACACAAAGTAATAAATCAAGTACATAAATTGATTTTTTTGTTTGTTTACTTTTATGACGCACATATTTATTCGTCTAGCCTCTACATAGTCTTTACTCACTACTTCATACTAAAACAAAAGAGCAATCTAAATGAAACTTTATCTTTTTATTTTTTAATTTACTTCTTTGTTTATGGAATAAAATGAATGTATTTTATGCATTTTATATGAATAATTGGTCTAAGACACGTGTACAATAAACAATGGCATAATATTTATCATTTTGTCGTAATTTCTGTACAAATAAAACAATATCTATGCGCAATCGATGACCGTTTAGTGAAAATTGTGTTCGTGCAACTGGAACTGAAAGCAAAAAGCAAAAACGGTCAGTAAGTAAATATTAAGAAAACATAAACGCAGACACTCATTAAATATTCTTTTAAGCAGACAAAGGACATATAAAGTACATTAAAATATTTATGGGCTAATAAAAACGACAACATATGCATTTTCCTTGAATCAATCAATTAATTACGATTTATTACGAATTTTGCTTAATAAAAGTGACGTGATTGCAAAAAATCCGTGTTTTAATCTCTTTAATGTTGCACGTTATGAATATCCCTGAATAGCTACTGAACAAAGATACTTCAAAAGTTTAAGTATATTTTATTCTTTAACATTATAGTTCAGAAACAAATGTAAATTTTGTTCCCACGCCATTATTTTCACAGTGTGTGCAAACATTCAACAAACACAAACGTACAGTGCACAAATAAAATAAAATGACGGTCACACTCGCACGATTCGAAACATAAAACAAAAGAGGGGAATAAAATTAGGTATTTTCAATGTCTCAACGTAGTTAAATCGAATGGCACGCAATGCAAAAACATAGTTCTTGGTGATAAAAACAGCTAATGACTGTCAGCTAATACTAGAAAACAAGCATTAAAACTTGAAACAAAACAATTTCTTGTTTTTGGTTTGTTTTTGCATTGTTTTTGAGTACCGAAGATGATTATTAGTGGCAATAGTGAGTAGCGTGACCAGAAGAAATAAAAATAATTGATTTCAAACATTATTTCTCTCCAAAGAAAAACCAGTAAATGACAGTTCAATAAACCGCCGTTAGAGTACGTTGGCAACTAACTTTCATTACTTTCTAATCAAATTAAGTCAACACTATCATTTTATTTCATTAAAATTAAATTAAATTTGTAAAAATAAATTCAAATATAATAAATTTAGTTTTATTTACAATTGTTTTTACTGTAATAAACAGTTTAGTTTGTCTTATTTTATATTGGCTTTACGCAACGTTTTGTACATCATACAAATCTTTCATAAGTACAACGTGAGCAACCTAGCGACAGAAAGCGGAACTAAAGGCGCACTTTACTGATGGTCGTGAGCCACCTGCGTTCATGCACGCGCCGGTCGTCGGTGTGTGTGCGCGGTGGTGTGTATGCATGCAGTTGCCCAGTACCGTATGAACGAGCTGAGTATGTTTGTAAACTGGGTTTTCTAAAAGTTTGTTTTAAATGGACCCATGAATCGCGCGAGGCATCCCGCGAGCCTGTGACCAGCGCCAGCATCCAGCACCGCGTCCGGCGTCGAGATGTACGCGCCGCTCGCCTGAGAGCGAAAACCCCGAGTGCGCCGAGTGCGAAGATTAGGTGGATCTGACAAAAAGGGGTTAGGTGCTGCGCGAGGAAAACACACGGATTTCGCACGCAGAGTGGCGGTGCGAGAGTCGATGAATCGCGCCGCCGTCAGGAGATGCTCCTGCTCGCCGAAGACGCGCTCTCGGCGTAAGTGAACGATGCGCGGATCGACGACGACGGCAGGTTACGTTTCGCGTGAGTACCAAACCGCAAGAGTCTCCCCAAGACACGGCGGCGCGCGGCGAATGACCTACAAATTGCAATAAACAATTAACGAAGGGAAATCGTCGCGCGTGCAAGTCTTCCACTCGGTGTGCGCGCGTGTGGAAAACCTGCTTTCCATACGGTGCACCGTCGACCCACACAACAAAAATAACAACAAACAATGTTATTCTGTTGAGGTTAGCTGTTTGCTCCCCTTGTGCATGCAAATCATCTGTTCATCTTGTTCCTCAAGTGCAATAGAATACAATTCGTCCTGTTTCAGATTACCTGCACTATGCAGTTGGTTTCTGATTGTGTGCATCTGTACGAAAACTCGGGCTGAATGTTGAATTGCAGTGGTGAGAAATATGCAAAGCCTGGAAGCCTCATATGAGGAGGGTGAGGTGACACCTTCCTTGTGTGATTGTTCATTCAAAATGGTCTGCACCCACAATGTAAGCAATCAATTTAACTGCCAGCAATTCATGCATGCATAAGTCATTTCAGCGCGCAATTAAATCAATGAGTTTTTTTTAACTGTTGAACTGGGCATGAATAATTTCGTGTGATTGGTTTTGTAGAGAAGCTTCAAAAAAGCGAAACTGTCGACGCAACGCTCCTCCTTGTCCGTGCTGGACAATGTGCCAACATATAACGACTCACCGCATGCATCGGCCGGCTCGACGACGCCTCAGAAACCTCAATTTTGTATACACACTAAACTACTGCACCTTTACCTAGAAGAGTGTGCCAAGGATCCCAATCAATTAAGAACTGTAAGAAATCCTTAACCAGAATTAAAAAAAAAAAAAACACATTTAAACATGTTTTTTTAGGGACTAAAACGCAATACGCACTTATTAGAGAAATTGGTTGCGAGAGAAAGACTGAATACAATAATTCTAAATTTATATCCAGGTTTGTGTAAAATTTTTAGTTTTAAAGAAGAAATTAATTTTACGGGAAAAATATTTTTGTAGGTAATAAAGGTTACTCAATAACGTTCCCGATGCATCCCTTGAGCGACTCATGTACAGACGACACTGCCGAAACGATGGAGACCAAACCATGGCCTTACGAAGACGCCGAGTTGCTACGCTACCTAGACCTGGAAGAACTGCCGGCGTTTCTCGTCGATCTGTTCGAGCCGGCGTACGGCTTCCTCTTCTACAGCGGCTGTATCATCGCGAAGGTGCGCGACTATCGACAGGCGTTTCCAGCGCATAAAGCCACCATTCACCACGTACTGCTACGGCCGACGCTTCAAAGTATACTCGCGGACGTGCAAAAGCTTGCCGAAGAGAAGAGCGCCGAGGAGCGAGCGCAGCTTGAGAGTCGTATACTGCTCGCGCATCATCCAACGCTCTGCCTCGATAGTAAATCGACGACGGTGGCCGAGCGTACTGCACATTTACAGCACAATCGGCATTTGTTTGTGACGAATCGCATTCGGCGTGCGGCGATGAAGTACTCGCAGGTGACGATTAATCGCAAGAAGAAGTTGATGTCGCACACGCAGCGGCCTGGTCTGGAGTTGTATGAGTATATGAATAGGTTGCGAGCTCGGTCGCGGACCGGCGCGCCATCTACGGTGAGACTGCCTAGGCGGGAAGAACTTAAGCCAATTCCTGCGCCGTGTCTTGATAGTCCTTCGATAGCGATGCCCTCACAGGGTGTCGATATTGCTGAATTCAAGGCGTATCCACCAACGCGTGAGACTCGCGAGAGTGTTGACGATGCAGGCTTCCCACAATACATGGAGAACTGCCAGCCGCAGCTCGTGGAAGAATACGTGCTGGAAACCAACATGCATTCGAAGGAACCGGACAAACGACGCGTGTATCAAATGAAGTTGTCGATACTGCAGCGACCGCTCAATGGCGAATACCTCGGCGAGTTATATCTTGATAGGGATCATAAAAAAGGCGAGCGTAATGGCGTCGCTTCACGGTTTAGTCTGGGCACGCGCGTGCAAGCCAACCGATATATCCAGCAATTCACGGAGATCTTCACCGAGAGCGGGCGTAAATCGGTACGAGTTAACTATTGCTTTGCGCAGAACCATCCGCAGGTAATTTGATCACTTTCCCACGCTTTCGCAGTGTTCGCTTATGTCTAGGTGTGCTTTAAGGTGCAGACTCCGCAGCAGGCGGCGGGCGGCGTCCAGCATCCTGTTCAACCGTCGGCGCCTACGTTGCAGCCTAGCGTAGCTGTCTCCTACCAACCTCTGCCCGGCACTGGTGCTAATTCGGTCGTCAATGGCACGACCGTCAACTTGCTGCCGACGCATCAAACTGCCTCTGCTTCTGTTCCCATTTTGGTGAGATGCGCTTTACAATCACACGAAAAATATGCTAAATCTTGTGTTTCTTTAGCAGGCGCAGCTGCAAACGAATAAACAAACTCAGGATGCCAACTCTGAACTGGCTTTTAACGTATTGTCCACGAAGTTGATGAATTCAGTGCAACAAATACAAGCAGGTAGGTTTTATTTGAATTAATTTTGGATGTAGATGTAATTTATGTTCGGATTTTTGTAGCAAACGCGAAGCAAACAACGCAAAAGTCAACCTGTAGCAACGCAGCAATAATAAACCTCCTGAATCGCTCCCCAGCGAGCAATATCAACAGCGACGCGAATGCGGCGGTCGTAAACGCCATCAACAACTCGCAGCTGCTCAGCCAGCAGCAGGGCACGAAGTTTGTCGGGCGTAAGATAACCGTGGCGAATATGTCTACGAATGCACGCGTACTCAACGCCGCTAATGTGATATCGGTGAACAACAATCGTTCGCTCGGCGACACGTCCGGTCTGCAGCCGCAGCAGATCACGCTATCGACCGTGTCTGGCAGCAATTTCTTCACCACGGTGACGGTCTCCAAGCAGCAAACGCGCGCTCACAATGACGGCGGTAAAGCGGCGCTGTCTGCATTACTTGTGGGCACAGCCGCCGCTGATCAACCCGATATCGCGTCGACAAACACCAACTCTTTGCTTCTTGAAAAGCTCGCCGGCATTTCGTCCGGTTCTAGTAAACACCCCACCAGCCCGACATTCATCCAAAGTCCCAAACAATACGCGGTGCAGAGCCCGAAGATGTCACCGCTGGCGTCGCCCCCGCCACAGACGCAGACCATTAACGTGCAGGGCCTCAACTACACGACGATACAAGGCTTGCAGGGTGTGCAGGTGCAGCTGCCTGGTTTCTCGCAGCCGATGCGCGCGTTTTTAAACGTCGCATCCACCGGTGGGCTGCAGGGGCAGAGCTTGGTAGTGACGGTGCCGGTAACGACGACAGCGAACAGTGCGGCCGGCGCCGGTGTGACGCAGTGCGTGAACAATAATAATAGCAACGTTGCGAACGCGATCAGCGTCAGTAATGTAACGGGCACGCCGACGGTGGTGCTGGGCAATGCAGGGACGAGCAATTTAGGTGAGTAAACTGAATTTCGGAGATAGTTTAACATGCCATGTCGCTTGCCGTAACTAATCGCATTTGTGAACCACTAACAAACAGCTCAATTAGTTGCGACGGGGGTGAACGTAAAGCGCGCGGGGGTGCAGGGCACGGTGCTGGCGGCGAACAGCACGCCGCTGCAGCTCGTCACGCCTATTCAACGACCGCGCCAGCTTCAGCAAGGCCAACGCCTGCAGTTCCAGCAGCAGGTCCAGCGACAGATGCCTATCACCATCAAAATGGCCGCCACTGGTGGCGCTGTTTCAGCGCAATCTGCAAGTCAGTTAACAGCCGAATTCACTTCTATAAAATGCATGGTGCTATGGCGATGGGATCTTCTTTTTTACTTATTGTTTTTATTTTAGGAATTAATGTAGATTACGGGTTTTCTTCTCTTTTTGTTTGTTTATTTGTTTTCATCTTTTGTAATTTGTTTTCTAATACTGTAATATGCTTTTATTAATTGAACTTTTTCTTGTTGTGTTAGATGTGACGCAGAACGTCGTGCAGCAAGTTCAGAAGCAATTCCAGCATCAACAGGTGCAGCTGCAGCTTACGAATCAGCAACAGTTTCATCAGGCGACCGCCTCGCAGCCGCAGCACATTCACCTCAACAAAATCGCGCGAAGATCTAGCCAAAATGTGTCGGACCCTCCATAGAACAGCGCGCTCAGTATTCGAGTCACTTAATTAATTAATTAACAGTAACGCAACGCGATGAATGCTCACAAGACACACACGCGCTTGGTGATGATTGTAAATGATGACATTTTTAATAATTAGTTGCGCGATCCATGCTGGAAAATGATCGCGTCTCGCACCCGGGGAGTAAATACTTTTATAACACTAGTCTTAGCCGGATAGATATCGTGGTACACGCCGATTTTTTTAATTTTATTTTTCTCATTATTTTGTTTTAATTATTAATTTATTTGATCACTGTTAATCTGTACATTTTTTTTTCTTCTACTTGTATCATGAACACACTTAACAGACACGCAGACACACGAATGACGCGAAACAAATAAGGGCAAAAGACTGATAAACGTAGTAACAAAATAGAACTTAACAACAACCAACCAAGCAACACAATTGAAACCAAACAAAATACACACACATACACACCACAAAAGTCCACCTGAGCTGAAGAAACGTCACTGTCACAATCATATTAAAACTATGATCTCATTAAGATTAATTTTTTGTTAATTAATCAAAGAAAACGTTAAATGTTTTATTATTTAGATTTGTATTATGTGCTATCGTTCAATTCTCTTCATTTTGCACAGAAACTCGACTGTTCCTAAGCGCTGCCAGCGGATTGGATGCAATGAGCAGGAATTCAAACCTCAAACCCCTAGAAATCCTAACGGCTCAATTAATCAATCTTTTTTTCAAATAATTTTGATAGTGTATCATTTTGAAAATAATTCTTGCATCCGTTGTGCTGGCGTGAACTGTATGTAACTGCGAAACAAACGAATAACGCACTGATAAGACAATATCGGTGTCGAAAGCAACTTGAGGGCCTAACACACACGTTCGTTCCAACTGCGCGCGTACGCAAAACTTGTAATCACAAACGCACTCTTCGCCCTGCGTACCAGCCTAACATAGACAAACTATTATCAGATCACAAAGTGCATTCACTTCGTCTAGATCCAACAAAATTACGTAGCGCAACAAATGTATAGCTATTCGCGGTAGATACGAGGATATCCTATAAATTGTAACTGGTGGAAAAAAATTTACAATACTGTATTTCTGAATGTAAGTAATCTAACGAGCACCGACAAGTGGAACACAAATAACTCTCGGTGGTTAAGGTGGAAGGCGCGAACACAAATTAAGGTTGTATTTGTTATTAGGTAGCGAAATGAACTAATTGAAATCATGTAAATAGCATGCGATTGATGTGCGGCGTTTAAATGATGTAATAATATGATGCAATGTATTCAAATACTCTTTCTGAGAATTCAAAATGGCCGACGCTACTTTTCAACGGATTTTGGGTTGTGTTATATTATTATGCATTTAAATGTGGATCTTGAGCAAAAGGAATTGTACCGCAGCGTAAGATTGTAAATTGTTTTGTTTTCATTTTCGAAGACGATGATAATCGGGGACGGCAGCGCCTTCAAACGAAAAACAAAAATTACGGATTAGTTAAATTTCTTAAGTGTTAGGTACTTCTTGTAAAATGTAAATAGCCACATTGTTTTCCTCCGCTCCCAACTCCCAGAATTATCTATATATATATATATACATACTGCATATATATAAATATTATATATTTGTAACAAAGCAAGTTCTTTTTTAAATATTGTACATAGTTTCTTTTGACGCGTCCGTTGTAGTAGGTACTGCTAAATTATCTACGCAGCAATGATTTGTACGTATATCTATTATTTATTGAAATCGTTTTTCTTTTATTTTATTATTTACCCTTTTTCGTTTTACAAAGTTGTTGTTAATCACTGAAATTGTAAAAAAATGAACACAAACATGTTTAGATGATGTAAGACTACGATTGAAGGCAGATGCAGATGCGAAAAACAAACAAGACGAAGACATTGTATAATAATTACGACTAATTAACTACGTATGTGTAAAAAATTTCAACTTTTCGGCTAAAAAACTCATGTTGTCCTGTTGGTAATCGACAAAATACGAGAATCGATGATTCACAATGCATAAATTAGGTAACGGAAACAAATTGAAAACAAATTGTATATGTGTAAAAAATGAAAGAAACATTTGTCAAATTATTGATTGCAAACACACACTCATTTGTAAACGGCAAGTTTAGTCACATACCTTTTAGTATTGTATTAATCTCTCGAGCAGAAACATTCACACGATTCATGGCGGAAAGTCCTCGTTCAGAAATGGTTAACATTAACAAACACACCTTGAAGGGATTCATTCTTTCTGAATACAATGATTAAACTTTTTTTTATTGAACGCTTCGTCTTTTATTCATGTTTAAAATAATAGCTTACTTTCGAATACAGAGAGTGGAATTTATTAAGCGGATAATACTTCTAATTTCGGTGGCATGTACATCGGCTCATCTTTGGACTCTTCACTCGCAGTCTCCATTAATTTTGTGAGGAGTTTGCTGCGCGCGGTGCTCATTTTCACGCAGTCCAAAAGATTCGGTTCGGCGATGGTGGCGCCGCCGGGTTTCAATATTGAGCAGATTTTATCATTTTTTGTCACTACTGTAATGATACCTTGACAGAGAGATTCTTCTTCTGCTGTTGGATCCATAAATATCACACTATGGAAAACAATTATTTATTAAAGTAAAAGTTAACAGTTAAATCAGTTAACTTACTCTTCAAAAATGGCAAATGTGCTTGAAACTGGTGTGCAGTGAAGTTTCAAGTGATGCCACTGCTCAAGATTGACAATTTTATTGTCCAGTGCTGCATCATACTCCACACTTGGTAATCTTACTATATGAAAAACAATTTTCTTTATTATGTGATGTATAAATGAAGAGTTTTTCACTCACCATTCTTCAGTGCTGTAAATAATGCCAACAAACTGGCATCAATAATTGCACCATCATGATCCAAACATATCAGATCTGTGTACAAGCACCATGCAAGCTTTTCTTTGTGAATGCACAAATCAGTCAAATCTATGCACTCTGAGTTTGTAATAATGTCATCAATTACTTTGGTGGCAGCTTGTGCTTGATCACTAGGTGGGCCAGATTTGAATTTTGGTGAGCATAGAGGTGGCAGATCCAAGTTGGGTATCAGGAAGCCTTCATTAGGTTTGTCTGGTTTTGGTTGACAAAATTCCTTCAATCAATCAATCAGTCAACAATACTAAAACTTAAATGAAAGTGATCTGCTACTTACTGCTTTTATTCCACAAATGACTGTTGTTTTGCCAATTTTTGCAATTGCGGATCCTTCTAAGTTTGATATCGAGTCTGAGTTGAGGATGACCGGACGGTAATGGTCAAATTCGCGCCCGTCTGGACGAATGTTGTGTGCGACATAATCTCGGTAATATTTGACGGGGTATAACGTCCTGGAATATGATTATTATCAGCCAAGATGCATAAGATGATGGTATTTAAATAGGACATCATACTTGTATTGTTTAGCCATTATTTATTACAATAATTTTGAATTTTTGATGTGTGATCGAAACATTCAGTTACATGACTATAACCTTAAACTGTATGTTTTTATGTTAACACGTGCGACATGGACACAAACACAAATCAATCAACAATATTTTTTAAGCAATATAAGTTTACATTGGAAAAGAAATTAAATTTTATACACTATACAAAATACAAAGATATTAACTTTCTTATTAAGGGTTTTTATAGAAATTAAAAAAAAATTAGAATAGATTAAAATTATTTCGCTGCGCATAATTTTGTAACGAATTCCAGAAAAAAAAGCTTTTCTAATAACATGGGCATATAATAAGCGCATTTTCTAGTAAAACTTGATTCTAAGATGCTGTAAAGTTTCCGTTTTTGTATAAATCTCGAAGACATCTGTTTCAAAAATTGCATAGTTGCCTTCGGCGCATGTGTAACACATGACCCAGGTAGAACCGCATTGATTGGTCGTGACAGCTGGTTCGCTGGGGGAGCGCGGGCAAAACCGAAAACTTGCAACGGCTGCTGAGGCAATCAACGGTCACTCGTTCGTCGCACTCAGCTGTTGGTTTGTTGAAGGAAGCAAGGTCGGTGGGTACACTCGGTTTGCATTTCGGCGGCACAAATGTCCGTTGCGCGGTTCAAGATCAGTTGCTAGGCGTGCGAAATCGTGTGCTCTGTGCTCCACGCCATTTGAGAACTTTCAAAAACTCATCCGTTGTCTATTTACCGGCGCGTTGATTTTATTTGAACGCACGCGACGCATATCTTTATCTTCGTCTTACGCTCACCCGCCCGCTGCATCCGGTCGCAGACATGGCTTCCTTCCAAGTTCATAACGACCAAGAAAATCGCGCTACGAATTTCCTCTTCGCGAACAAGGAAAATGTGCAGCAAAAACGCACCGTGCTCGGCACCATCGACAACAAGCCCGAACGCATGCTCAAAACGAAACAGGTAAAACATCTTATCGCGCCACAATGGCGCCTGCTTTTTTCGGGGAAAAAGTTTTTTTTATTTTAACACATGTGTTCATAAACAGCCTCTAGGAGTACGCAACAAAAACGTGGTGAATGATGAAAATGCGGTGTGCAAGCCTTTCGCCAACAAGCAGGCCCCTGTTATTCCCGTCGCGCAGTTCCAGGCGTTTAAAGTTTACGAAGAAGCCGACGACAAGAAACCCGTCCGATATGAGAACCAACGCAAAGAGGTCGAGCAGTACGAATCGCTGCGCATTAAGGAAGTTTTCCAAAACTTCTACAAGGGTACCGCCGGCGAGAAACTGGTCACCAAGAAAGAGGCTTTGGAGCAGTCTGGTATCTTTGACCTGCCAAAGCCACAAGTTATTGAGGTGCCAGTGCCAATGAGCATTGAAAAATCAGCAAATAAGTCAGAAACTGAGGGGGCACAAGTCAATGTTAGTCGAAACAAGGACTTATTCTTTGAGTTGGATGAATATAGGGAGGACATTTATGAATATTTAAGAGAAAAAGAGGTAAGATTAAAGTAGGTCTTGGATTTTAAAATTTTTGTTGATAAATTTTAATTTTTCAGCTGAGGCACCGCGCAAAACCGAATTACATGCGCAAACAGCCAGATATCACCCACAACATGAGGACCATTTTGGTTGACTGGTTGGTGGAGGTCTCTGAGGAATACAAACTGCAAACAGAGACACTTTACTTGGCCATCAACTATATTGATAGATTCCTTAGCTATATGTCAGTTGTCCGTGCGAAACTCCAGCTGGTCGGCACAGCCGCCATGTTTATTGCTGCGTAAGTTATCATATTTCTCGAAATGGCTGTTCCAATTGACATTCCGTGCGAAATTATAGGAAATACGAAGAAATCTATCCGCCAGATGTCAGTGAATTCGTCTATATCACTGATGATACATACTCAAAGCGTCAGGTGATCCGAATGGAAGTCCTCATCTTGAAAGTACTCGACTTTGACTTGTCGGTGCCTACCCCATACACATTCATCACAGCATTGAGCATCGCTAATCGCCTTTCGGAGAAATCAACATTCCTCGCCCAGTTTCTCTCGGAATTGGCGCTTCTAGAAGCTGAACCTACGCTGGAGATTCTTCCGTCGGTAATGGCCGCTGGCGCAATCGCAGTAGCACGCAACGCCATTGGCGAGACCGCATGGACACCCGAACTGACAGCCAACACCGGTTATACTCTCGCAGAACTACGTCCTGCTGTCGAACATCTCACGGAATTGCACCGCAAAGCGGCCACACTACCGCAGCAAGCCATCCAGGAGAAGTACAAGCAAGGTAAGTATTTGCACGTGTCGCAGATTGCGCCCGCCGATAAGATCATTGCCTTCGATTGATGCGATTCTGCGAGTATTTCTCAATTTAGAAATAGGCGTCGCATAGCTAAATTTTAAATTTTAAGCCGACTGAGTACGACAAATGCCTTGTGTATGAGTGTAAGTTTAAATTTGTTATTTTATAAGAGTGCAAACGCATCGACTACGCATGCGCAGACCGCAGACAACATGAATTTGTACATTCATGCATTGTCACAGTATTCGGTAATAACTCTCAATTATTTCGAGAGTTTTTAATTACGCTAATATCGCCGTCTGCCATTTTAAGCATTATTTACGTCAATTTTTAACTCTTAGTTATTTTTATACTTATATTATTATTATTATTATTGTATTGGCGTACGCGCGCACGGTAAATAAAAAAGTAGCCAGAAGAAGCGCAAAATATCAAAAATTGTTACATTGCTCAGAAACAAACTGTATTTGTTAGTGCCATGATTTTATGTATACTCAACAAACCGACGACGACGACGCGGATAAAGTATCGATGTATGTATAGTTATTTATTAATTGTTTGATGAGCAGCGCCAAACTGATTAATCTCATTTAAATATGTTGACTACAAATTAACCACTCTTGCTATGATTTTATTTAGAAGAAGAAAATAGTTTGAAGAAAACAGGATTCAGTGTCATGGCGCTTTTGTTTGTTATTTATTTGTTTGTATGTGTAACATCGAATAATTACACACATATGTGACAATGTGTTTGTCTCTTGAAACTCATGTTAACATGTATCCTTTTAAGTAAGCCTTCGAATAATAAGTCGCAAATAGAAAAAAAATCAGTCATAGGGAATAAAAACCATTGTAAAGTCAGGAAATGTCAATAGTAAATATCTTAAAATAGCCTTATTAATAAATTGTAAAGAATGAGCATATGTACGTACATCAACTTGAGATCATTCAGTTTGAGAGCTATTCGGTAGTAAAATATGATTCATATTGGTACACAGAGTATTAGGATTCGCTAGATTCACGAATTGTTCGCGTCTCGTCGAAGAGCAGCGTGCAGAGGATTGCCTGCAGGCGATTGCGCGCTGGCTCGAAATTCACGTCCAGAGCTAGCGAGGAGCGGTACAATGCGACTGCATTCTCGTAGTCACCCAGAGCAGTGTAAATGTTTCCGGCGTGGAAGTGATTCACGACGAAGTTGGGGTTGGCCTGCATTGCCAATTCCATTATTTCCAGTGCGTCATGGAAGTGTCCCATCCTAAAATGATAATATATACAACTTGCAATGAAATTTAAACAATTGATGGGAACATACTTTTGTAAGATACTGGCGAGATTCGTAAGCGGAATGTCTTTCATATCGGCTGGTACATAAGTGAGCGCTTGCCGTATGCACGTGACGGCTTCTTCGGTATTGCCCACGACGCGCCAATACAATGCGGCTGCAGTGGCGAGAATCCACGACGTATTATTCTGGAAATCATCGAATTAGAGCACAATCGATGAAGAAGTAACAAATTTAGAATATTTATATAAGAAACTAAATAATATTTAACTGATTATAGTCTAGGCGAATATTTTTGTATCCAGAGATTTTTTCTAATAAAAATATTACGGACAGTGAAAACAATCACCTCATTGAGAGCTGTGCCGATTTTCGCACCCAACTCAGCGACAGATGCCTCTAAATCAGACGCCATCAACCCCAACCATTTCGCGATGCCTTCCTCCGGAATGTGCGGTAAGTGCCGCCGCAATATCATCGCAGTAATCTTATCCAGAATCACTGACTCGGGTTTAACCGAAGTTAAACAATATGGACGTACCTCTGACGCTTGCCGAAGCAAGGGCATCAAATAAGGTGCAATACTGGACGGAACCAATGCATTAATAATAATAATTTCAAATATATTCATTACTCACTCAATATTTCGACTAGCAAATGCATCCCATAGAGATGTGAAGTGCAACCAATCAGCTTCTTTGATATCGTTGCACTTTGTCTTTGACAGGACATAAGTACCAGACTTATCATACACATTGAGCATTACTTCGCGACCTTGTTCTTCACTCATTGCAACTGAAACTGTTTTTTTGTTTTAAAGTTTTATTGCGTTATTTTAGCATAACACGATAATTTCTTACCATAAAAGTCTCCTAGTGAGCTTTCTGGCATTCCGGACTGAGTTAACGCATCGGTATCATGTCCAAACAATATCCGCATTTGAAACTCTTGCGGATCCCTCCCAGAATGCATCATAGTTGATATCAAAGATCCGGGCCCTACTGCTGTATTCGTAGTACTCGTACATTGTTTCTCCTCAAGCTCTTTATTCATGTGTATAATTTTTTGGCGTTTTTCTTGTTTGAAGCACTGGATAGCCGCAGTCTTGCATTGCTCACCGTTTGGCGAGCAAATGACACCTTCGCTGCGCGATGTATCCGTACAAATATCACCAGGTTTATCTTCTTCAGTTGGCTTTAATTCGTACTCGCCTAGTTTAATACGACACTCCCATAATTTCAATAACTTTTCGGCTTCGCCATCGTAATAGTCAAAATCCACACGCAGCACCTTCTTTAAATAGAATAACGCTTTGATCGGATTTTGTTTCTTGTAGTAAATCAATGCCAAGAGGAAATTTGTGCTCGGTTCGTTGAAGTTGACTCGCGCAGCTAAGTTAGCGAACTTTAACGCGTTATCAATCAGCCCCATTTGGTATAACATAGATCCCAAGGAAACAAACGCCACATCTGCGGACCCAGCCATTGGTTCGACATACATGCTGAGGCAATGAATCGCGTTTCTCGTGTTACCGCGAATCCGCCAGTACATATTGGCCAAGATTGCGAGCGTCCAAGCAGGGGCTTTCTTTGCTTTCATTGCAGAAACTATTCTTTGGCCTATTTCCGCTTCATTACTATTACCCTGATTTATATAACTAAGAAAATGAGTCTTGAAGAGTTTGTTCACTGTCAACGGCTTGTTCTTATCGACAATATTCTTTATTTCATCCGGAAGAAACTTTGCGACATAATCATAACCAGCAGTTTCACAAACTGGAGGATACCAAGGTAAAGGGTGTTCCTCATCTTCTGGCATATCGATGTCAGTTGATAAAAATTTTATCATGCTATGAAATAGAATTATTAAAACAATTAAATGAAATAAATTGATAGTATTGAACGTACTCATATCCTTTGTTTTCCGGCGGAAGCACAATCGGGAGATTTAAATCTTCTTCCTCAGTCAAAGGTAGATTCCATTCAGTGCATTCTTCTCTGCTTGGCCATTTGGAAGAGTCGAAGTATAAATTATCAGGTACATTCATCGAAGTCGGATACTTTTGCACCAAATTCTCGTCTTCGGTTTGTTCGTCTTTGGTTTTCTCTAATGGTATTGGTATCGCGTCCTATTAAAATCAGTTTGGTAACTAATATTAAATAATATTCGAGAGAAATTACTTTGAAAGCTTCCGGAGTTTGTTCATTCTGGCCGAGTTTATCTTTGTAACTATCCAACATCTTTTCAATGTTGTTCTTGAAGCCTTTGTACGTGTTAATATTAAGCGACGATGCCGTCAACTGTTCGGAGAGCGCCAGCGACATTTTGAATTCATTCGGGGCGATCTCCCAGAAAAAACGCTCCTGCAGACTCAACCATCGCTGTTGTTTAGTGTGAAAGTCATGAAGGTCTGAGAGAATGCCTTGTAACATACTTAAATCACAAGTTAAAAAATATAGTTTTTATTTTAGATTTAGTAATATTTTGCTTACTCTTGATATTCTTTCATTCCAATCAAAGCCTTCAAGATACAGCTCATTGACAGAGCAGAAGCAGCAGAATCTTCAAGATGCCCTCGCTCCAATCGATTTTTTGCAATGTGCAGGGTTTTAAACTTTTCGAAACACTTGACACCGCTTTCGAACTCGCCCTTGTGAATGTAAGCCTCTCCCAGTAGTAAATAATATTTGGCTTCATTCGGCGCGTGGTCAATCGCTGCACGAATAACCATCAAAGCATCTTCGAACTTTTCCCCATGCAAGTATAAGAGATTACCCAAATTTGCTAATGGAATGTCGATATATTCCCTTTAATTTAAACTGAATTAATATTTTTCGTATGTAGCATTAATTTAAAATTAATTTACAGTGGCGCAAAGTGTATAGCGCGTCTCGCACACTCAATAGCTTCGTACAAGTTGCCCAGACGCCACCAGTATAAGATACCAAGATTGTAGTGCACCCAGGAAGTGCTGTTTTCTTCCAGGCCGGAAACTATAGTTGGGCCCACAGCCTCCCAGTTCATTTCCGGTAAGCAATCCTCACAAGTCTCCTCTTTACTATCCTTCCGCGACTGCATCGCGTCCAGATGTTCAAATGTGCGCATACTGAACGGCAGATAGTGAAAACGCGTGCACATCGCTTCGACTTTTACATGCGGTTCTGCTGGTTGTAGCCTGTAGAAAACGCGATCGCTGGCGTTACTTGCAACGATGCTATTCGGAATGTCTTTGGGTACTTTCGCGCAGTCCTGATTGTAGATGAACGACGTCTGCAGCGACTTGTGGTCGATAAGATTTCGCTGCTTCTCCATGTCTTGCACAAGAGCGTCAAGTTCATCTCTGCGCTTTTCTTGGTCCAGTAAAGCGATGAGATCGTAAGGGCGACGCATGTAAAAATGCGTGTCAAGCTATAATAATTTTTGGTTTTTAGAAAATTTAAATAAATCTTAAAAAAACAACTACAAAAACAGGTTTATATTACACAGTTTTATATTAATAAGCTAAGCTGAAAGTACAAGCATAATAATTGTTTCTAAATATATTAGATGTGCCACAAGTTGTAGAAGGTACTGATTGCATTGCTTGCCTTTGGTTCAATTCGTCCATTTTCCGTGACGATCCAGTGCGTAAACGCATGGGTCTGCACAATAAGTAAACACAATCGCCATGCAAGCTTCGTGTGCATTATTCTAACGAGTCTCGAGGATTTTTTTTGTGAAAAACATCATTCACCCTGGCCGAAAGCTGGTTGTGGTCACTTATAATATCGAGGTTATGTTGTGGTAAGCTCACGAACTGACAGCAACGACGATAGAGATAAAGGTCTTTCAAGGATGTTTGCACTTGTACATGTTTTACACGTGTGCACGCGCATTTGCATGCAAGTCCTAGTTGCATAAAGCATTGTTTATTGATTTTTAAGGTAAATTGTTGTCATGCGATTTGGATGCCTGTGAGGTTCGTACTTGCGAAATTTCAACTTTTATTTGGCTTCTTATGATATCTCAGAAAATTCAACAGGTTGACTCTTGTGCATTTAACGTGAAAATTACAGTTGTGTTTCAATTACATTTGGAAATGGTATGCTATGCTATGTCTAGGAAAACGATATAAATCATACTTTGTTTGTACATACTTAATATTTATGTTATTTGACTGCAATAGTGCTGCTTTGAAAAAAAAATGATAACAAGAACGTACACATTTTCGATCCAGTTAAATTAGACTGTTTGAGCGTATTTCAAATTCTAATGTTTTCCTGTGGAGTTTCGGTTGCGCATAATCCGTGAGCACTGTCTGTGAGACGCATTTTTATTATTTGGTAGTTGTCTAGCTTTAACTCGAGAAGGGGGCATCTACAGAAATGTCAAATTAAATTCTCCATGGAGTTGTATTAGTATGTTGCAGAAGTTGTGTCTGCAACATGGGTAAATTCGAAAATTTGGAGGCGTATTTTTTTACTTGAAGAGTAAAATTGTTGGGATTGTTTTGGTATAGATCTTCCACATTTTTTTTTAGTCCTTTTTGTTATCTAAGTAGAATTACAGTTCAATTGCATTCAATTGCATTGATATGATTATAATTTGTATGATTAGCACACGGGAAACCTGCAAAAAGATAACTTTTGTGCTTCGATGAACTGATTTTTGGTAGTTTTAGGTGTCTAACGGGCGAACGAAATGTCCTACGACAACGATTCTTTCATCAAATTGTAAGTATTGAATTTGTTTATAATCTTCATAAATAATTTGTGTGATTCGCACACAGGAAATCTGCAAAAATATCATTTTTGTGCTTCAATGTGATAATTTTCGATTGTTTTACGTGTCTAGCAGACGAACAATTTGTCTTAGGACAACGATTCTTTTATCAGATTGTAAATATTGAATTTGTTTATCATTTTCATAAATAATTTGTGTGATTAGCACACGCGAAACCCGCAGAAATGTCATTTTCTGCTTCGATGTGCTAATTTTCGGTTGTTTTCGGTATCTAGCAGGCGAACAAATTGTCCTAGGACATCGATTCTTTTATCAGATTTTAAGTATTGAATTTGTTTATCATTTTCATAAATAATTTGTACGATTAGCACACGCGAAACCTGCCAAAATGTCATTTTGGGCTTTGATGTGCTAATTTTCGGTTGTTTTGGGTGTCTAGCAGGCGAACAAATTGTCCTAGGACAACGATTTTTTCATCAGATTGTAAATATTGAATTTGTTTATCATTTTCATAAATAATTTGTGTGATTAGCACACAGGAAACCTGCAAAAATGTAATTTTTGTGCTTTGATGTGCTGATTTTCGGTTGTTTTAGGTGTTTAGCAGGCGAACAAATTGTCCTAGGACAACGATTCTTTCATCAGATTGTAAGCATTGAATTTGTTTATCATTTTCATAAATAAATTGTGTGATTAGCACGCATGAAACCTGCAAAAATGTCATTTTTTTGCTTCGATGTGCTAATTTTCGGTTGTTTCAGGTGTCTAACAGGCGAACAAATTGTCCTAGGACAACGATTCTTTAATCAGATTGTAAGCATTGAATTTATTTATCATTTTCATAAATAATTTGTGTGATTAGCACACGCGAAACCCGCAAAAATGTCATTTTTCTGCTTCGATGTGCTAATTTTCGGTTGTTTTCGGTATCTAGCAGGCGAACAAATTGTCCTAGGACATCGATTCTTTTATCAGATTTTAAGTATTGAATTTGTTTATCATTTTCATAAATAATTTGTGTGATTAGCATGCGCGAAACCTGCAAAAATGTCATTTTTTTGCTTCGATGTGCTAATTTTCGGTTGTTTTAGGTGTCTAACAGACGAACAAATTGTCCTAGGACAACGATTCTTTAATCAGATTGTAAGCATTGAATTTATTTATCATTTTCATAAATAATTTGTGTGATTAGCACACGCGAAACCCGCAAAAATGTCATTTTTCTGCTTCGATGTGCTAATTTTCGGTTGTTTTCGGTATCTAGCAGGCGAACAAATTGTCCTAGGACATCGATTCTTTAATCAGATTTTAAGTATTGAATTTGTTTATCATTTTCATAAATAATTTGTACGATTAGCACACGCGAAACCTGCAAAATGTCATTTTTCTTGATTTTCACTTGGCGCCCAAAACGGCATTTCACACGTGTCCGCAAAGCAACCGTCACGGATATATAGCTGACTTAAAACTATTTATCTCCGATTTTATGTCTTTATGGCAAACTGTTTAAAATAAAATTTGGATGTTTTCTGCCACGAATTTTTGTGACCTTTTCTTGAATATTGCGTTAGAAAGTTGTAGCTATAATGCGAGTAGTATATTGCCAATTTTTTAAATTTCGAACATCTGTAGAGGAGATGAGTTGAGGAATATTCCATTGAGGTTGTAAAATGGCAGGTTACTCTCTTTTTGGAATATTAATTAATTCGTCTTTCTATCATTTTTTCACATCGTTCCGCAGATGTACCAACGTTTATCCTCCTACAATTTTTATCTAGATTTTTGGGGTGGTAGTTGGATTAAAAAAAAACAGAGTTCAAAAGAGTTCGATCAATTTGAGACGGCACTGTTAACAATTTTCTGGAACAAACTCCTACAGAGAATCGAAATTACCAGCAAATACTTACAGGAACCAAAGACAAATATTCTTAATAGTGTTAGTTTATTAAAATCATTAAACGAATTTATAACAGAGGTCAGAAATAATTTCGAAACTGTTGAAGAGGAGGCTAAATGAGACAAAGAAAACGCAAATATCCATATGATGAAACGAACAAAAATGATACCTACAGCATTTTCGTCAAGAAATGTTTTTATTGTCAACATTTTTTATATTGTATGTGATGTATTAACATCAGAAATTACTCGAAGGGGCGATGTCTATATCAAAGTTCTTAACGATTTTAAAATGTTCTTTGATTTAAAATTAAGCCGTGTTGAGACTAATAATTGTGTAGAGCGATTATTGTCTTAAGTATGAAAAAAGATATTGAGCCAGAATATTTCACTGATGAGTTAACTCATTTTCTAAAATACATACAAGAAGAAAATATTAAGGATCCACATGAAATGTATGCAACATTAAGTAATGGTCTAAAATCAACTTTTCCAAATATACACACAATACTGCAAATTTGACCTTGCCCGTTTCTAATGCAAGTGGAGAAAGGACATTTTCAGTTTTAAAACGAGTCAAAAACTATCTGCGCAATAGTCTTTCACAAGAGCACTTAAATGACTTCGCATTAATGTTCATAGAAAATGATATTTTTAAAAAACTAAAGTACGACAAAATTATTGAAATCTTTGCCCAAGAGAAGACAAGAAAAGAAAATTTGTAATTTGTATTTAAATACGATTACCGTTTTGAGCACACGTACGATGAACTCGAGAACCAAGATAGCATTGAAAACGATAATCCCATCGCGGATAGTATGGCAGAAAATTTTACCTGTGATATTTCGATCGGTCCTGAAAACAATTAACGCACAACACCTGGTCCATCGCGAAGAGCGAATCGGAAGATAATCCATTAAATTTTGGAATAGTGCGTTTGCGATAAAAAAAAAAAAAACGCGCCACGTACTCTACCTCAAGGTGGTGTGGAAATGAGTTTTTTTTTAGTCCTTTTGTTATCTAAGTAGAATTACAGTTCAATTGCATTCAATTGCATTGATATGATTATAATTTGTATGATTAGCACACGGGAAACCTGCAAAAAGATAACTTTTGTGCTTCGATGAACTGATTTTTGGTAGTTTTAGGTGTCTAACGGGCGAACGAAATGTCCTACGACAACGATTCTTTCATCAAATTGTAAGTATTGAATTTGTTTATAATCTTCATAAATAATTTGTGTGATTCGCACACAGGAAATCTGCAAAAATATCATTTTTGTGCTTCAATGTGATAATTTTCGATTGTTTTACGTGTCTAGCAGACGAACAAATTGTCCTAGGACAACGATTCTTTTATCAGATTTTAAGTATTGAATTTATTTATCATTTTCATAAATAATTTGGGTGATTAGCACACGCGAAACCCGCAGAAATGTCATTTTTCTGCTTCGATGTGCTAATTTTCGGTTGTTTTCGGTATCTAGCAGGCGAACAAATTGTCCTAGGACATCGATTCTTTTATCAGATTTTAAGTATTGAATTTGTTTATCATTTTCATAAATAATTTGTACGATTAGCACACGCGAAACCTGCCAAAATGTCATTTTTGGGCTTTGATGTGCTAATTTTCGGTTGTTTTGGGTGTCTAGCAGGCGAACAAATTGTCCTAGGACAACGATTTTTTCATCAGATTATAAACATTGAATTTTTTTATCATTTTCATAAATAATTTGTGTGATTAGCACACGCGAAACCTGCAAAAATGTCATTTTTCTGCTTCGATGTGCTAATTTTCGGTTGTTTTAGGTGTCTAGCAGGCGAACAAATTGTCCTAGGACAACGATTCTTTCATCAGATTGTAAGTGTTGAGTTTGTTAATCAGTTCCATAAATAATTTGTGTGATTAGCACGCGCGAAACCTGCTAAAATGTCATTTTTTTGCTTCGATGTGCTAATTTTCGGTTGTTTTAGGTATCTAACAGGCGAACAAATTGTCCTAGGACAACGATTCTTTAATCAGATTGTAAGCATTGAATTTATTTATCATTTTCATAAATAATTTGTGTGATTAGCACACGCGAAACCCGCAAAAATGTCATTTTTCTGCTTCGATGTGCTAATTTTCGGTTGTTTTCGGTATCTAGCAGGCGAACAAATTGTCCTAGGACATCGATTCTTTTATCAGATTTTAAGTATTGAATTTGTTTATCATTTTCATAAATAATTTGTGTGATTAGCATGCGCGAAACCTGCAAAATGTCATTTTTTGCTTCGATGTGCTAATTTTCGGTTGTTTTAGGTGTCTAACAGACGAACAAATTGTCCTAGGACAACGATTCTTTAATCAGATTGTAAGCATTGAATTTATTTATCATTTTCATAAATAATTTGTGTGATTAGCACACGCGAAACCCGCAAAAATGTCATTTTTCTGCTTCGATGTGCTAATTTTCGGTTGTTTTCGGTATCTAGCAGGCGAACAAATTGTCCTAGGACATCGATTCTTTAATCAGATTTTAAGTATTGAATTTGTTTATCATTTTCATAAATAATTTGTACGATTAGCACACGCGAAACCTGCAAAAATGTCATTTTTCTGCTTTGATGTGCTAATTTTCGGTTGTTTTAGGTGTCTAGCAGGCGAACAAATTGTCCTAGGACAACGATTCTTGCATTAGATTGTAAGTATTGAATTTATTTATCATCTTCATAAATAATTTGTGTGGTTAGCACACGCTAAACCTGCAAAAATGTCATTTTTTTGTTTCGATGTGCTAATTTTTGGTTGTTTTAGGTGTCTAGCATGCGAACAAATTGTCCTTGGACAACGATTCTTGGATCAGGATGTAAGTACTGAATTTGTTTATTATTTTCATAAATAATATGTATGATTAGCGCACGGGAAACCTGCAAAAATATCATTTTTGTGCTTTGATGTGCTAATTTTTGTTTGTTTTAGGTGTCTAACAGGCGAACAAATTGCCCTAGGACAACGATTCTTTCATCAGATTGTAAGTATTAAAATTGTTTGTCATTTACATGAATAGTTTCCATGGTTCATACAATGGAAAGTGAATTAATTTAGTTGTTTTAAATATTAGCAGACGCATTGCAGATTTCTTGGTAATTTATTTAAAGTTTGTTGTCCTAAAACTAGAGGGCGATACCAGCGGCTATCTATTATGTTTTGTTCCGCCACACCTAGATGGCGCTCGTGTCAGCTATCATTTTTTTAGTTCCGCAACAGTCAGATGGCGTTGCCATCGATTTGGTTTAAAATCTTGCTTAATTTTAGTTTAGTTTTTTGTTTCACTTTTATACATAACTTTTAAGTTTAACAAAACAAAAAGTAACCAAAGTTCGATTTTTGTGTTTTAATTTTCGCTTGATTTAGGTGTCTAGCGGCGAACGCGATGTCGTAGAACAACCATTCTTTCATAAGTACATATTCAAATTGTATACCATTGTTATATACAACATTTGTGTTTAATACAAGCGGAACCAACATATGTGGTATTTTTCCACAGTACGTTAATTAAAATCCTTTCTTCCAAATAATGTTGTTTGTAAACTGATAAATTTATAACTTGCAATATATTTGTAATAGTATTTTTGTCGTGTGCAGATAGAAGAATGCCCCTCCAACTGCGGGTCGGTTATCAATTCTCTTACCTGCGTATTCCGGCTTAGTCGGTTCAGCGCTGTCTCGTGGTGCGCACGTGTTTTATTCATTAATCAAACATTGTGACGATTTTACGCGTTTCTTAATATGTTAATTCTCTATGCTAATGCTAGAATCGGTTGACCATCAGAGAAATTTAGTAGTAACAGCTCAGTGTAGCTCACAACGAGTGATTTGAGAAATCCTTTGCGGTGCGTGCGTGGCGTCCGTCGGATATGTTCCGCCGGTGGTTATGTGTTTGATGTGAGTACAAGTTTTCCATTTGTGATATCCGCATGGAATAGTAAAGAAGTGCGTATCATCAATTCAACTTACAATTTGCGCAAACGTGTTTGTGCGCTTTAGTTCTTTATGGATAGAAGAACAAAGGAGTAAGTAACATCAAGTAGAATTTTACTTTTATTTAGTTAGTTTTATTTTTATTCAGTCAATAAAGGATAATTTAATTTCACATTCGTTTTTACATGTGTCCCTACTTAGTCGTTTTCAGGATTAGCATTAAGTCCCGTTCAACTCAAAGAGTATACCATAGTACGGCATAGTATAGTGCAGTGTAGTATATGTATGTTGCTGTTTTATTTTACTATAAGATATGAAAACATAAATAGAAGAAACGAATATAGTTTGGTAAGAAGGCCGCGTGGCTCTCAGGTGTGCAGCATATGCTGCTATACCTTAGATCGATGGTTCGATCCCCAGTTATAGAAGGCATTTTTCTCAAATATAAAAATAACAGGTGTAATTTGGGTTGCATATATGAATTGCAACGAAATATATGAGATGTTGCAATACAACTGAAGGCAATAAGAGAGTAAGTAAGTCGAGAAACGGAGAACAGAGAAATAGAAAAAGTAGAAGAAGAAGAGTAGAAGGAAAAGAGAACAGAGTAGTAGAGAAGAGGAGGGATAGAAGAAAGAGCAACAGGAGTGGATCAGATTTTTAAATTTTTTGGCACGTGTCGTTAAAAGACAGTCTACGGCCCACTACTTCGATGCCTCACTGCTTCCGGCCCATCCTACAGCTACGATGTCTCTGCGCTTCATCCCCGAAATTATCAGGCATATCAACAATTTTTAAGGTGGGGATCATCCCCAGAGAGAGGGAACTCCTTATAAGGACAATCCTTATAAGGTCTTGTTCAAATATTTTTAAGTTTTTAGTCTTCTCAAGAGAGGTGACACTTAAAAATATTCTTACAAGTTCTGACCTGTACCTGAAATGAAGGAAGGAGTACACAAATCATACAGGTTACCTTAACAATTTTTATAGTGGGGATCATCCCCTGAGAGAGGGAACTCTCTTAGTGACCTGTACCTGAAATGATAGAAGGGGGACATTCAAAGCATAAGACATAATATTTCTTAATATTTCTTACAAGTTCTAACCTGTACCTGAAATGAAGGAAGGAGTACACAAATCATACAGGTTACCTTAACAATTTTTATAGTGGGGATCATCCCCTGAGAGAGGGAACGCTCTTAGTGACCTGTACCTGAAATGATAGAAGGGGGACATTCAAAGCATAAGACATAATATTTCTTAACATTTCTTTATTAATAATAAAATACAAGTTTAGATTTTACAAGTCAACAAAATACATGTCGCCATATAGAAACAGGACTTACGACCTGCTTAGCCGCGCACTTATAAGCAAGTACCTACTAAGTTCTACCGGGATAAAGGAATTAGCAAATTGTCAATTTTCTACGTGATAGAAAATGGGAACAAATATACAGGGTGTTGCAAAAGGAAATTTTAAAGTGCAAACAAAAACTCTAAACACGACAAACGTCGCTCGTTTTCACTCGACGATCAGGGAAACTAATATACAGGGTGTTACAAAAAATCAAACGGCAATGAGGAAAACCCTAAAAACAAAAGTTGAAGCAAAATTTTTACGGACACAAAGAAAGAATGAATATGCAGGGTGTTTCAGAAAGAAAATTTCGATTTGAAACAAAGAACACTCAAAACTCACAAATACCGGCGATTTTGTACGTAGTGTTAGGAAAACTAATATACATGGTGTTACAAAAAGATAACTTTAGAAACTACAACCGAAATTTCGGTTTCGGTTTCGGTTTCGGCCAGTTTCGGCCAAGAAATCGAGTTTCGGCTTCAGTTTCGGTTTCGGCCAAAAATGGCCGAAATTTTCGGCCGCACCGAAACTCACTTTTCGTGAATTGTCGTGCGTCGCTCGGCTAACTTCGCGGCTAATGGCGGTCGTTGCTTGCCATCTTAGTTTGCTCATATTAATACTATATTAAGTATCCAGTGACTAAACGAGGACTTTACTCCCGAAATGGATTATGTATCTAAAAACCGTGGAAAAACTGGCGATGTGTAGGTAAAAGTAGAAAAATATGTTTATGTAAATTAGTTTCGGTTTCGGCCGAAACTGATTGCAGGGCCGAAATTTCGGTTTCGGTTTCGGTTTTGGCTAAAATTCAATTTCGGTCGGACTCTACAAAAGGAGTTAATATTCACAACATGAAGAGAGAAATTTACAAATAAACAACAATATTTTAATATAAAATGCAAGATTTTACCCGAAAATCATCGGGAAATTGAGCAAAAAGATGGTACGAAAATCAAACACTTACATTTTAACATATAGGGAATGTATATTTATTAATTGATGCATCAACTGCATAAAGTAACCGACGGGTGAAGCATCATCATAAATTGATAGAATATCCGGCGGAAAACATGCAAATCAGCTGACGGCAAGCGACGGCGCGTAGCAATACAGTTGTCCGAGAGGATAAACGTAACTATTTTTAGTTGGAGACTATGAAAACGAAAAACTATTCAACGATTAAAAACATTCACGTGTTCAGCGAAAATATGGATGAGCCGACGGCCGACGGCAAAGTGATTTGCAAGATAATACATGCAAATTTCATATCACTCAATTTAATTGCACACCTACCTATGTATTGATGAGGGGATTTTATATCCTGGAATATATTCTATCAACTGAAAACAAACGCACAGATTAATGGACACTTATTTCTTATTTAAGGAGACTCTAAACCCCACAAAACAGGCACACATGACTATTGCGAATATTTTGCTGATGGTCGAAAAAGTACACGACGATTAATCCAATTAAAACTTCAAAACGCATGGCGATTCGACAGACACGTTCGCGGACCACGCGGTGAAACGACGTGTGCGCTTCGTTTAGCCAGGTACAAGGCTGGTACGTAGCGATAATACGCGTCAGCCGAACAAAAGTTGTTTATACACAAACTTACTGATAAACTCGCAGTTGAAAAAACCAAACAAAAATTTCACAATGTTGAAATAACCGACATACACGAAATCTACTTTTATTTTCAATATTTATTGGCTTTGGGATGTAATAAGATTGAGAAAAACAGGAATTTAATTTTCCATTCCAAATAAATAATTTATTGTCTTCGTAGTTTACTGTATAGCTTATTTGCTGCGTCATTTTTTTTGTATAGTCGGTAACAAATATCTTTTAAATAAAGGCAAACGGATTGAAGATAATGAAAGTTATTGAAGTTATTGAGCCGCCAAGATCACGTGCAAACGCGAAAAAATACAAATACTTCATGATAAATGGTGAACAAATTACATTTTAATGCAAATTATCGCGGGTTGCAGGTCGAATTCCTGCAACAAACAAATACCACCCAACGGAGAATTTAATTCTGCATCTCTAGACGCCGCACTGAAGTTATTGAACCGCCAAGATCACGTGCAAACGCAAAAAATACAAATATTTTACGAAAAAGGGTTGAAAAATTACACTGATATGCAAACTTTTGCGCGTTGCAGGCTAAATTCCTGCAACAATTAAACACCACCCGACGGAGAATTTAATTCGGCATCTCTAGGCGCCGCGCTGAAGTTATTGTGACGCCAAGATAACGTACAAACGCGATAAAATACAAATATTCCCCGATAAAGGGTGAAAAAAACCCCATGGAATGCAAATTTTTGCTAGTTGCCGGTCGAATTCCAGCAACAAGCAAATACCACTCGACGGAGAATTTAATTCTGCATCTCTAGACGCGTGCATAAGTTATTAAGCGTGCAAACCCGAAAAAATACAAACATTTTACGATAAAGGCTGAAAAAAATTACGTTTTATCGAAAATTTTCGCGGGTTGCAGCTCGAATTCCTGCAACAAACAGTTACCACCCAACGGAGAATTTAATTTTGCATCTCTAGACGCCGCGCTGAAATTATTGAGACGCCAAGATCACGTGCAAACGCGAAAAAAATACAAACATTTTACGATAAAGGGTGAAAAAAGTCACCTTTTAATGCAAATTTTCGCGAGTTGCAGATCGAATTCCAACAACAAACAAATACAGCCCGACGGAGAATTTAATTCCGCATCTCCAGACGGCGCGCTGAAGTTAGTGAGCCCCAAGGTCGCGTGCAAACGCGAAAAAATACAAATATTTCACGATAAAGGGTTAAAAAATTACCTTTTAATGCAAATTTTCGATAGATTTGCAATAAACAAATACCAAGGGTAAAAAATAACAAAGAAAAACATATAATACTAACAAATTTTGCATAATTTTTGAGGCAATTACGAGAAACTATTATACAGGGTGTTCCAAAACAATATAATAACATTTAAAGAGAAAATGCAAAATTCAAGTAGGGAAATATATAATATAATATACAGGGTGATGTAAAGAGAAAACGACAAAATTTAAAAAAAATCCTAAGTTTAAGTGGGATGAAATATATCTTTCCCATTTTAAGAAATTCACCACGGAAAACTGGTATACAGGGTGCTACAAAAATCTACTACAAGAAATTATAATACAGGGTGATACAAAAAAACTACAATATTTTAAAAGAAAATTCTAAGTTTAAGTAAAATAACATATATCTTTCGCCTTTTGACTCCACGGGAAATCGCCCAAACACTAATAAATATGGTCTATTAATTGATAAGGAAAATATATCTCCTGAGTGATACACAAAGAAAAATTAAGATTTAAGTAGGAAAACGGATGGAAACAATTAACAAGGCGACAATAACAAGATAATATAAGAAGAAAGCCATCAGGAATTTTTTAAAATCAAAATGTTTAGACCGGAAATCAAAGAAAAGTGAAAAGTAAGAAAACATAAAAATAGAACATTTCAAAAATTGTATTTTCTTTGGATATAAAGGAAAGGTGATAGGTTGGACATTACAAAAATAAGGCCCAAAGCAGAATTTTATTTTAAATCATGCAAAACAACCAGCGACCAGCCCGGAAAGCCGCCAGAGGATCAAGAACGCAGCCGACGGCATGGAACAACGTATCTTCATCTTTTTAATTTGTACATTAAACAAAAACAAAAGAAAGTATCAAATACGTAATGCAAATCAAAAGTATTGAAACAGACAAAAAATATTTGTAGGCTTAAAGACTACGCAGTTGAAGTAAAAACAAGTAAAGGCAATAATGGATTTAATTTTCAAATGGCTTAAGAAATGCGAGAACATACCTTGATACAAAATTTATTTTTGCACTTTTGGCCTATCCAATAAATTGTAAGGACCTTAATTATCCACATTGTAGAAATGATGAAATACGCGTATCATACAAAAAGAGTATCCGACGGCCGACGAAACATCACGTTATATTATAACGGTTATAACATCACGTTATACCTCTGCGTTCTGCGTATAAACAATTTGCATTTAACGAACGCCGCACATCACTCGCGCACAATGGAAGGAGTATTTAGAAATATTACGTAATGACGCGAAGAAATTAAGAAACTCAAATTATTGAGAAGGAAATGTGCGTGCAGATCACCCATCGACAAATATAATATGAGACTGACGTGGTAGGCAAGCCAACCGCGAGGAGAACCGCGTGGCAACTGCGCAAAAATTACACAAGATAAGAAACTTGTTTGTTTGTAAACACTGATACATTCAGTGTGGTAATGCAGAACATGGAAAGAATTGTACTCGTACAGTGCATGGACCTTTTAATTTCGATTAAATTATGAATCGGACACCAGTAACAAAATTATAGATTAAAGCCTATTTTTTTAAAATTAAAATTGCAAATAGGCCCTAAACGTTCAATGTAATGATAATAAATACTAAACAGTTCTTTTAATTCTACATCGATTATTTTAGTAACTTTTTGCCAAAGATTAACCGTTTAGGCCCTATTTGCTAATTTTAGTGAAAACTGCATTCGACATAAAAAAGAGAAATCGTTTGCCTTTTTTATGACGAAATGTTGTATTTCAACAAATACAGATTCTGTAATAATTTTTGAATTCTGTTTTTGGTTTTTGAGAGTATATTAAATTTTAAATCGGAAACATGTAACACAATTGTAGTTTAAAATCATTTTGGCATTTAAAAATCTTTTTTTTTTAAATTAAACTTGCAAATAGAGCCTAAACCGTCAATGATAGAATAATAATTACATAAATAATCAATTAAAAATTAAATTATCTTTCAAAATCTAAAAACAGAATTTAATTCCAATGATTTCAAAAGCTGCACTAGCTTAAAAGAAGATTTCATCATAAAAAAAGGCAAAAGATTTCTCTTTCTTATTTTCAGAATTAAAAATTGAATCTAATAGTGGAATTAAGAACACAACCGACGGCACATGACAATCTTAATCTTTTTAATTTGTACATTAAACGAAAACGAAACTATGTATTGACTATGTATTGCAAATCAACGGTAGGTATTGAAACAGAGGTAAAAACTATTGGTGTGGTTAAAAGCCACGCGGTTGAAGTAACAACAAGTTAAGTCAATAATGGAATTGATTTTCATTTGACTGAAGAAATGCGAGAACATACCTTGATTCAAAATAAAATTTTGCGCGTTTGGCATATCCAAAGAAAATACGAAATAAATATAAAGAACGTGTATGATACAAAAAGAGTATCCGACGGCCGACGGAACATCACTCACGCTTTACCTCTGCGTGTGTACAATCCGCGCTTAACGAACGCCGCACATCACTCGCGCACAATCGAAAAGGAAAATTTAGAGACAGTACGCAATAACGCGACAAAAAATTAAGGAACTCAAAATATTATAAAGAAAATCTGCGTCCAGATCACCTGACGACAAAAATGAGACTAACTTGGTACGCACGCCAACCGCGTGGCGACCGCACAAAACTGCAGGAGATAAAGAAACTTGTTTGTTTGTAAACACTGATACTATCAGTGTGGTAGTGCAGAACATGAGAAGAATTGTACTCGTACTATGCATGGAACTATTAATTTTTAAATATTGAATTGTTGAGGCACTTACATGATGAAACTCCATTATAATCGTTGAAAGAAAGGATAAAAGGGTTTTACAAAAACTTTTACCACTCTGCGACATGTTTCGCCACACTGTGGCATCATCAGGCAGATGAATATTAAATTTTTGGTGTGGTTTTTAGTAAAGTCTTTCTCGGATTCAGATAGATAATTTAATTCTGCATCGTTTATTTTAGTAACTAACATTAACCGTTTAGACCCTATTTACAATTGTAGAAACAATGCATTCGTTTTTCGTAGACCTTTTTGTTCTTGACATAAAATTTTAAGTAAAAAAGTTCGACCCTGTTCGTCCCCTGTTTTGACCAAAAAAAATTTAACAAAGAAAAATCGACCAACAAATTTTAAGTAAAAAAGTTCGACCCTGTTTTTCGATCGAAAATATTTTAACGAAAAAATTCAACCGAAATAAATTTAACAAAAAAGTTCGACCGAAAAAATTGTAACAAAAAAATTGGACCGAAAAAATTTTAAGTAAAAAAGTTCGACTCTGTTCATCGACCGAAAAATGTTTAAAAAAAAAGTTCGACCCTGTTATTCGACCGAAAAAATTCGACTGAAAAATTTTAAGTAAAAAAGTTCGATCCTCTTTTTCGACCGAAAAAACGTTAACAAAAAATTTGACCGAAAAATGTTAACTAAAAAATTCGACCGAAGAATTTTAACAAAAAAATTCTATCAAAAAAATTTTAACAAAAAAATTCGACCGAAAAATTTTAACAAAAAAATCAACCGAAAAAATTTTAACAAAAAATTCGGCCGAAAAAATTTGAAGGAAAAAAGTTCGACCTTGTTCTTCGACCGAAAAATATATTTTTTTTAAGTTCGACCCTGTTATTCGACCAAAATATGAAATTTATTGAACAATAATAGCGATATTCGAATGAGATTTTAAGACGCTTCCAAATGGTTTATAGGGTTAAAAAGGTATGCATAGGGTCAAGGGTCCCTCGAACTTTAACATGACGTTAAGAAACTTCAAGAAAATCAATTAGTTCACTAGATACTGAGTGTTTTCCACACAAGGTTTTCAAATTTTCCTAAAACTGCTCATTTTTGAAGATCATTTTAAGGCACTTTCAGAAGGGTTGAGAGGTTGGCGGGTACGCATCTTGTAGAGGAACTTTTTAACTCTATTCTAGCGTGGAGAATCTCTAAGCAAGTCAATTAGTTCACTAGATACAGAGTGTTTCCCACACCATATTTTCAAAATTTTCTAAAATTGTTCATTTTTTAAGGGCATTTTGGGGTACTTCCAAGAAGGCTGGTAAGTAGGAGGGGTATGCATCTTGTAGAGGAACTCTCCCGCTCTAACATGAAACAATTTACGAGATACTGGGCGTTTTCCACACCATGTTTTTATTACGCTTCTTGAAACGGCTACTCTTTAATTGATATTAAAAATATGATATACCTATGCAACAATCGAAATAAAAACAAATGTATCTGCAGCCACGCGAGTGAAGAACGCGCATCAGCCACCGTATCAGCTGACAATCGGCCCGAAACTGCTAGCAGTCCGCTAAACTATCCTTTCTCCCACTCCCCGCGACCAGTATGGTGAAGGTCGTTCAGGTATAGACCGTAAGTACCGTAATCTATTCTTCCATGCAATAACAAGTATAAACAAATATACTTAGTAGTATTCACAACGAATACCACTCTATATACAATACGTAATGATAAATATACGGAAAAGTTGTTGAAGGAGTTATAAATATTAAGTTATGGAAATAAATTACTTAAAACCAATCAGCGTTGATTGTTTCGTTGTATCACTCATTTGACAAAATATTTGTTTACAATTTAATTCCATTTGATAAGTATAAGCCTGAGGTTTAATGTTAATTTGTATCAAATATTTGACAAGATGGTGGTTACTTGCAAAATAATTCGCGTCAATCAAGCCTTTAATGATTATTTGTAATAAGTACGTATATGGCATAATATTTCAATTTGAGTTCGGTTAAAAATTTGCTTTTGACTTGTATTTAATAATTAACTGTATCAAACAATAATTTAAACAGAATTTAAGATTGGCGCAAATCTTTGCTTTCCACTGTATACTGTCAATAAAATATAGTTAAAAAAAACTAAGAAACACGCTTTTATGAGAAATCTAAATAAACTTACATAGTAGTGCACACAAGCTGATTTACACATAAGTCACATGATTCATGTGCATTTAGAAATTGTTTTCGTTGCACTAAAAAATATAAATGATGCGTAAAACTTTCACGCAACTTTTTTCACGCCAAACTTCGTAACAAATATAGCGACTCACAACACACCCGCGCGAATCGGTGATGAGAATTTACCAGACTGCAGGTGAACGAGGCAAGCAGCAATCTCACACCGATTACAAATATGTTCTTCATAAAAACAGTTAGATAGCAGATATGTAAATGCAAAACTCTATATATCTGGCGGCACCTATATGTAAACGTAGCAATTAACGTAAAAGAGGACAGTTTCCTGTATTATTGTTACCCGATAAGTTTTCCCGCATTTGTCATTCCAATTACAACGAAAACAAAAATAATTGGCGCAATAATTTTATGAAATGGCTGATAACATTCCCACGATTAAAAATTCCTACGAAATAGATCCCATCAAACACGAGCGCTCGGGCAGTGTGAGAGAAGTAGGCAGCCAAGCAATTTGGAGTTTATCATCATGCAAACCAGGTAACCTAAAATGTTCTAATGTTTTCAAATTACATTTAACATCCTATACACATTCATCTATTAATTTGATTTAAACAGGTTTTGGAGTGGAACAACTTCGCGACGAAAGGATTGATACTTATTGGCAATCAGACGGACAGCTACCACATTTAGTCAACATACAATTCCAAAGAAAGACAACAGTCAGTGATATTTACATCTTCACTGACTATAAACTAGATGAAAGCTACACCCCGTCACGAATATCAATCAGAGTCGGTAAACACTTCAATGATTTACAAGAAATAGAAGTAGTAATGTTATCTGAACCATCAGGCTGGGTTCATGTACCTATCAAAGATATTAGAGATAAACCAATTAGAATGTTTATGGTACAAATTGCTGTCACCAGTAACCACCAAAACGGTAGGGATACCCATATTAGACAAATACAAATACATAGCCCAACTGAGTGTCAAAACATTGCCATCAACAATTTCAACACATTCTCCACAGTGGCACTGCAGCAATTTTCAACAATTCGATAATTAAAGCCATTATAATTTTGATTTTATGCTCTGGTTATATTTTGTTATATAAAACAATATGAAATATATATTTTTATACACTTGTTTATGTATAATCATTGCAATGAAACTTATGGTTAATGATTGCCCCTTCCGAAATGAATGTCATCTGCAAATTCAAATAATCAATTTTAAATTTCCTATTTTTCAAGTACAAACCCCCAATAAACAACACAAAAAGTAATAAAAGTGACCTACCGTCAATCCGAATGTTTTCGAAACCTTCCAACAGTTCCGCATCGTCTTCCATGTCCATTGAAAACGGTGCACCTGCAATTGCACTGTTGTCGACGCAACGTTGAATATACTTTCGCCATTTGTCGTCGTATTTCAACAAATTCGGATTGCCAATTACAATCAGCAGCGCCTTAGCCCTTGTAAGAGCCACATTCATCCTCTGCAAAATTTACAATTTATTATATTTGCTTCAAGATGAAATTTCAAGTGGGAAATTTAAATACCTTTGGATTTTTCAAGAAACCAAGATGAAATTTAACATCATGTTGAACAAACTCCGGCTTCGAACGAACGGTGGATATAATAACGATGAGTCGTTCCTGTCCTTGCAGTTTCTCGATACTTCCGACCTCTAGGTGCTCGAAACGTTGCTGACCTTGGCACATCTGGCGAATCTTCTGCACTTGCTTCCTATACGGAGTTATCACTGCGATATCACTTGCTTCGACAACAGTACCGCTCATCCTGGTTCCAACCAATTGATCCAAATAATTAAAAACGGTTATAATTTCTTGAATATTGTAGAAACTAGGCGAGTTGCTCTCGCGCTGGTCAGTACCCAGGACGCTGTGGAAAATCAGCGGGAACTTCTTATTGGGTAAAACATCATGACCCAACGCAAGATTACTGAATTCGTTACCTTGACTGATCAGCTCATTCTCGTAGAATTCCTCATTGGATAAGGCAATGATTGCCGGATGTGAGCGATAGTTATTAAGCAGTTTAGTCAGCACTCGATTGTCATATACGCCGTCGTGTTTCTTGTAAATCGTGCATTTTGTCATCAATCTCTCAAGCATAGAAACACCGAAACCATACTTCAACGCCAGAGATGAATGAATAATTGGACCCAGTTGCATCGGATCGCCAGCGAGAATAACACGACCTGTTACGATTGCCTTGTCTACGAGGGCCGCGGTGATGGGAATGAGAGTTTCGGACTCGGTGGCGTGTCCGCCTTCGTCAATAAATACGTAGGAAAAATGCTTGCGTGGTATCCCAATGTTGTACAATCTGCCAGCAGTTGTCAATGTTGTAATCACCAGTTTGAATTCCATTAAGCTTTCCATCGTAGGATGGCATACAGATCCGTTTTTAATGTTGCAGTATTTACGCATTTCATCCGGAATTTCAGAAGCGCTGTAACTGTACGACACGTAACGCAGCAGATCTTTCTCGGAAAACGAACTAAACTTAAGCAGTCGGGTGCAGATAAGATTCGCTGCACTGTTGGAAGGCGCGCATATAAGAATGCGTTGATCTTGATGATGTTTTCTCACTTGTAGAATTGCCTCAACGACTGTCATCGTTTTGCCGGTGCCAGGCGGACCAAAAATCAGATATGGTACATCACTAGCCGTCCCCTTCACAATTTCTTTAACAGCTTGTAATTGCTGCTCATTGCCATTTATATTTCTATTATAACAATTCAAAGTTAAATCTTGCTGGGCGCTCGGTGGAATTTCTTCCGGGAAGAAATACTCGGCCGCGTGCATAGCCAACTTGGCTGCTTGATGTTCAAGCTTTAATGTGGTCCTGTTGTAACCAAAAGATACCTCAAATTTCATCTTTTTTACGTAAACCGCCGCAAACTTGTGGCTAAAGCCCAACTTAACCCGATCCAAGTACTTTTCATGAACAATGCCTTCATATTTAATCTCTGACCCAGGCTGCTTCACGAAAACCGAATCACCCACGATCAAAGATGGCCGATTCTCAGATAAATCGGGAACTTCAAGTTCATAAATATTTCCACGAATATGAAAAAGTTTGTCGGTAATGGTGTCGTAGTTCCTAATATCAATCTTCATCTGATGCTCTTCTAAGTACAATAACAAATCAAGCATTTCTCGATAGTTAAACCTCGTCAAACAATCCATTGGATCTTCCACATTCAACAACGCCTTTATTTCTAGCAAACGTGATCTCGATCTTTCCTCAACTTTATCAGGATTCAAGCCCGAATTCAAGATCTTTATTAATTCAGCAGTAAGTTCATATTTTTGCAGTCTATACATAGGTACGAAATCACTCTGGAACCTTCAATTAACACAAATGTAAAATATATGCAAGCAATATAATCAAACAATCTTACTCTGGTTTTTCACCTGGTACAATAGTCTCATCCATATCGGAAGCAATACGCATTGGTCGGCGATATGGCGAAGTAGGTTGTAGTCTTTCATAATCATTTGAAACTATTTCAAACACTAAATGCTTGTCAATTCCTTGAACACCACCTTCGGTATCATTCGCAGCATCCGAATAAGTGATAATCAGTGGCATATTATAGGAACGTCGCGCGTCAAAATTCAGATTTAATTGAATATCATACGTTCCACCCGATAGAATAGAGACACCGGACTCAAAAACGATGTTTATAAATCGATTCAAGTCGGTATTTACGCCATCAATGTTATCAAGTGTTATGGCACTGGATGTTCTATTGACTATGACCAGAATCTTTCCAAAAGTAGTATCGTTGTTAAAAACGGTCTCTGGAGCATTGCCTTTTCCACGCACTATTTCGGCACAAACCATACTTCGTTCATCATAACTTCAACAAGATAAAGCAATTAAAGTTTTAAATAAAATAAGAAATATTGTGCTATTTACCGCTCCAGATTTTGCGAAAGTTTCTTCAATCTAGCTACAACATGACCTTTAGCACGAGAATGCTGTTTTAAGGCTGCTTTGGATCCAAATGTTTTATTACAAAAAGTACAACCAAGTTCATTTGTTTTTTTCGGTGCGCGAAAACCAATCTCTTGTGAAACCACATACTTATTTTCACTCTTTGTAATATATGCATCTGAAAATGTAGAACTTTTAAACACACAAATACAACTAATATAATTATGCAACATTTTACCTTGTCCATCAAGAATTAAGTCTAGTTTTCCTGGCTTAAAAACAATTTTGTCTGCTTTTCCAGATTCTTGCGGATGGAAAACAATATTTTGTTTCAGCATTCCCCTTAATGCCAACATGAATAGACCTGCATGCTTAAGATGCTTATTATGGAATTTTTTTACAAGCCCTTTTGACATTTCATTGTCAGTGATGAAACCTTGTTTATGGTACTCCCTTATACACTCCAACAACCTTTGCTTAAATGTTACTAAAAAAATCTCAATGAACATAAATGCATAATAATTTGTTTCTTACCCTTACAGTTGCTCATATTGCCGTTCACTTCACAGGCCAATCGAGAATGTACTGCTCAACTTTGTTCGCTTTCCGGCATTTAAAAACAATGTAATTTACTCAATGTGCCCCAAGTTGAGTTGTGTTTCACAGCTCAACGTAGTCCGCCTATAAAAATAACGAGTGACCTTGAGAATGTGACTGATATTAATCGAAAGTTGTACATGCATAACGCTACAGATCAAGGCATATATAAAATTCAAAACAAATTGCATTATTATCACATGCTTATCATCAGGCTTATCACATATCCGGTACTAATTTGACGGAGAAACATCAATTAACCACACATGCAGCACTGTTAAAGCGTATTATAAATGTGCAAACGTAAGCCGTCAAAAGAAGTAGGCTGTACTTGTACTTACGCAGCAGAAAGGAAAAACCGAACAAGAATATGAATTGTATGATATGGCATGCACACAATGCAATCATTCAACCAAAACTAACAAACAAAACATTACAAAGTGCACGTTGTACAGTTGGCATAGAGGGGGAATCACGTCATGCTGGTATGCAACCGTAATTTCCTACTGAATTGAACCTTTGAATATTAACTAGACTTCTTGTAATGTAATTTCCTAAAATGCTCTGCATTCGTTAACAATTATTCAATGAGACAAAGCTGGTTGTATGTGCAACATGTTAAAAGATCTACCACATTTAATTAATCATAAATTAACATTACTGCAAAGTTTGTTATTTTAAGCACCCAAAATACCATTTCTAATAATGCAAAGTCATTTTATAACATAATTATTTAAACAACCTTATAAATAAGCTGTACTTACCCGAGGTACAAATTTTCCAACTGTTGCACTTTCGTGTGTTGCACGCTGCGTCAAGATACTCGAAAATCAAGTTATTTGAACGACTCTCCAGCGCCCTCTGTACAGCGCTGTTACAGAAAAGTTCGCAAGATGCCGCTAGACTCGTTTTAGTTTCAAATTCAAATACATATACATCACTTCGTCGCTTCCGATTAATCAGTTACCTCGCATCTTTTTGTCTAATTTAAACACGTGTTCCGCTTCTTTAAATGTAAAACGTGCCCGACTCGTGCGTCCATCCTCCGCTCAAAATGTTCCGACTATTCTTCGGAATATTCCTGCTGTTACCAACAATAAATACCAACGAATTGCAAGATCTCGCCGAGAATTTCTTTGAAAACTTAGAAATCCATCTAAAAGGTAACAATTAATTTACGTAATTTAACGCAATTGAATTTGAAATTTAAATTTACATTCAGCTGGACTTCCGGCGGACGAATCGATCGTCTTCACCGATAAGCAGGTGGAAAATTTCGTCGATTTGATAAGGACGCGACAGCATGCGGGCGGCGAGGAAAAGCGTACCAAGCGTCAGATTGTCGAGACCGCTAACGATGGAAACTACGGTGAGTCGATTCAACTATTTATTTTCCACCTTCAATGCCAAACAACTCTTTAAATATGAATTCCAATTGGTGCTGCTGTAAATACTTGTACAGCTCACCCAGGTCGCTGTGGTTGCTCCGCGAGCCATGCGTTTGAAACGGGACCTCCTGGAATGTCTGAAAGCGTCGCGACTTTGCGTCCTCTGTGACTTTGCACATGATTTTTTGCCATGTCATGCTACGAATACTGGCCCACCACTGGCTGCAATCGGACTCGTGTCCTTCTACGCAAATAATCCCTGGTTTTCCAGGCATGCAAAAACCAGTAATGTTTAATCGTCCGGCCAAGTAGAGAATTTCACGTCTCTTGGTTTTATTGTAAATATGATGCGAATAGATCCAGTAACGAACTAATTTTTCCGACGAGTTTACGCCATCATCCGATTTTGTCTCCACTATATTAGTAGTAAAATTTTGAGCACTTTCTTGAAGCCATACAACTGCGGAGTAAATACACGGCTCGCCCCTTTCAAGGGTTGCTAAATAATCACAACATGCTTTATTGAGAGCGGAGGCTTGTGTACGTGACATTTCCGAATGGCGCAGGTAAATGTCAGGCAAAGCATTCGGATAGTCTTGAGACAGCGTTACGCACATTTCGAATTTTTGCGCTTGATCGTTGGTAACATTGATGGTAAAGTCTATAAACGGAGGCGGGTCGTTCGTCTTACCTTCGAGGTAATTTCGAAGACAATCACTATTTGTCCCTTCTTCAAATTTAAACTCCTTTGGGAAGATGGATTCCAACATTTCGATTTCATCTAGCTGTTTCTGCAAATTCTCCTGCAGTTTTTCTGAAAATACAAAATACACACATATTTCAGCGGTGCATATACTGGAAGGTGTAACACCCATAGAGAAAATTCCGGTAAAAAGCCCGAAAGATATCCAATTATTCCAACATTTTACCAATCAATCGAATACCTGGTATGCTGCTGCACTGCAGGATAACGACAAACTTCGAATTTTCAAACACAATGTAAGATATTCAATTCAATATTCAAAGGTGGAAATTTTATTAAATAAGAAATCTAAATTAAAGGGGCATGAATTTCATCAACTTCATCAGCGCAAAGTCCATGCGGCAGTACGTCTCGCCGTATTCACAACCCCCACCACAGGTACCTTCATTGTTGTGGCGGAAAACACCACACGATCCGATTTCTACGAAAAAACCGCCGTCTACCGCTTGGCATTGAATGAAAACTTGGAGAAAGTTCAAAACTTGCATCTTGACTACGCGACGGATATCTCAATTTGGAGTGATACGAATGAGATTTTCATGGGTATAGTTCAACAGTACAAAGAAGCCGAGTCCAAAAAATTAAGTTGCGGAGCGCAGAGTATGATCTATAAGTGGCTGGGTGGTCATTTTGATATGATCCAACACATAAACACAACATGTGCCGTTCGGTTGACACCATTCACAATCGGGAAATCACGTTTTATTGCAATTGCAAATCAAGGAGATGATGGTACCAGTGATACCTTCTCCGAGATTTTCAAATATGACTTAGCAAAGGAGAAGTTTGTTTCGTATCAGAAAATAGCAACAAGGGGAGCTAATGATATTAAATTCTTCGGGTTTAGAAGCACGGCAGGACCAGAAAGGAGTCAGGATTATTATATTGTCATAGCTAATATGTATTCTAAAGGTATGTCAGTGGAAAAAAAGTAGAAAATAACTCGAAATGAAACATGATTACAATTTTGTTTGATTAATTCTAGATGAAACTGATGTAATTGATTACAATGTCAAATCAATTGTGTACAAGTATGTCGAAGGATATTTCCTACCCTTTCAAAGTTTTGATTTACCAGCGGTTACCGAATGGCTACCAGCAATCGTAAGATATTAATTTTTTTTCCTTCAAAGTATAAACTTTAAACTTTATTTTATAAAAAAATGTAGGGTTCCGGTGAAGAATTTGTCTTATTGGCAGCTTCAAAATTCGAAGGACTCAAAACCTACCAATACAACGGATGGAAATTTCAACCCACAGCTAATCAGTACACTCACTCCGCATTTTCTCCAGGCATACAGTCTCTACACTCATACAACTATAAAGGCAAAAATGTCATCGTGGTGGCAAATCCTCAACACAACGACAACAATATTTTCGAATTACATTTCAAGTTACAAAATCAAGTCAACGAACACTACAATACGCTTTTAAATTGGTGCCATTCGGCTAAAGAACTTTTCACAGGAAATTCCAAAACTAAACGTAATACAAACACAATGGGTTTACGGGCTGTGGAAGCTGATCTAAGCAACGATAAAAATCACGAAAATAATCTTGCATTCCTAGAATTACAGTTGGAGAATCAACAACAACAAATCGATTCAATCGAAAACAAATTAAACGGCTCCATGCAATCAGGAAAAGAAATTCTAATAATTCCCGATAATATTCTAGTTAGAAATGTCATCATTAATAATGAAGTTCTCTTCAATGAATTAATTGGGGAATCATTAAACGATTTGAATATCATTGCGTTTTTATCAGGAATTGTACCAATTGAGCATCCGATGGAGAAAAATATAGAAAGATTAGAACTGCAAGCAGGAACTATTGAAAACTTTATCACCGCAGGTCTTAGAAATATCAACGGACGACCACAGGAAGACCTACTTCATAAAAACGTTGATAATTTAGTAGTCAACGACTTAGTCATTAATGGTAATTTTTGGGTGACGAATCTCCAAGTGAAAGGACTTCTAAACGGATTACAATTCAACACCACGAATGTTTTACTCCGAGAAGGCGATCAATTCTTCCTGGGAAATTTATCAACGCAAAATTTGATTGCTGATAATGTAACAGCGAAATTCTTGAATAATCTGAATCTGCATAGTCAACCACAACAGGCGCAACGCACACCAGTTAAGATATTTGATGTGGATACCTTGAGAGTTAAACATCTTACCATTGCGGAATACATGAATAATGTTGACCTTCCGACTTTAAATAAATTCGCACTTAAAACAAGCGGAAATCAAGAAATCACAGGCGACTATATCTTCAATGAATTATCTGTGAAAGACTTCCAAACTCAGAAATTAAATAACATTTCAATTCCCGAAGATTTAGTGCGTATTGACAAAGGGGAATATTTCATCAATCAAGATGTTAAGCTAGAGCATGATTTACAGGCACAAAATCTGCAAGTCCGTGAAAGTTTGAATAATATTATAGTACTAGAAAATGGCGAATTAGATGTGCTCAGAAAGAATACAACAGAAATGCAATTCATAGATGGTAAGAAAACTATTGAAGAAGTGGAGTTGCTCAAGCCAATGTTGCTACAAGGTAAAATCGACAGCAAAAGCATGCAGAAACTGAATCCGGTCACAAAAATATCCGAACCCATGGAATTTGTCGGAGATTATTTCATGTCGGGACTAGTAACAATAGAAGATCAACTCTTAACGCCTGATTTAGGAAGTGAACACTATTCAATAAGTAATTTAAAGCAAAATGGATTGAAACTAACAGAAGAGCAAGTGCCAGTTCATCTTAACTTTGCCCAACAATTAAATACCGATGAGATATTTGCGGAAAAAATCAACGATATAGATACACATCGTTGGGTGGTGAATGGCCAAGATGATGCGCAATATATCAAAGGATGGAAGACTTTTAACGGAGATCTCACCATTACAGGAGATACAAATATTCAAACTGTAAATCAAATTACTCTGTCAAACCTATTTGATAATGTGCTAACAGTAGATGGGGATCAGATCATTACCGGAAAACATGAATTCAAGACCATCGTAGCTGGAACCATAAAAAGTCCACATATTACTTTGCAATCTCAACACACACTCGAAGAGATGTTGACACAGGATATTCAACAAGATATGGGTGACGTTTTTATTGGACAGCTATCAATCGAAAACTTGAAAGTCGGAAATGTGGAAGTACAAGGGCGGTTTAATGGAATTCCGGTAATTCCAATGTTAGAAGATACTTTGTTCAAGGGGCAAAACGCCAAAGTCAGAGGTCCGAAAACATTTGAAAATGTGACGATTGAAACATTGTTGTCACGGAAAAGTATCAATATGAACCGTATTCCTAATTTGATCAAACGTGGCGAGGCAATAACAGGAAGTGATGCTAGTTTCGAGCTTCCAGAAGGCATCCGAGTTGAAAACATTAAATTCGGCAAATTTTTAAATAACATGTCTGTAGAAAGTTTCGCAAATAATTGGTTAAATGGAAATTCAGCGCAGACGATTGTTGGTGATCAGAGTTTCGACAAGGTGGTCGTCTTCGGCAATTTACTGATTGATAGCAATCAGATAAATCAACTGAACTTACGTCACCTAGTAGAAGACACTGTCAAGATTAACGAGGACCACGAATTTGAAAAAGTAACTTTTGGTAAGTAAATTACACAAAAACTTGAATTCCAATAATCTAATACTTAAAATTTGATAATTTTCAACAGATCAATCCGTGACTTCGTTAACAAGGATAGATCTACAGGGTCATATAGAAAATTTAGACATTAACAACATCGTTGCTGATGGAGGTGAAGAAATTCAGACGGATACGCTAACATTCAAAGAATCAGTCATTCTAACCACACCCGCAGACCTGACTGGCACTATCAATCATTTCAACTTCCGCCACTTGTGTGAATATTCAGAACCATCTGCAAATGAACCACGTAAAACTCTGATTCTCCAACATAATGCAAACATGATGAAAGCTCCAATCATCAAAAATATTAACGGGAAAGATATGAAAACATTAGAAACAACGGTTTGGTACTGTGATCAACCTGGTAACATCACCGCTGACCTGAAAGCCGAAACAATCAGCTTCCTCGATGATGTAACTGTAGAAGGAGACGTTGCGGAGACAAACTTGTATTGGTTGCGGGACAACTATTTCAGCAAGACTTCCAATCAGACGATAATAGCAAACATCAACTTCCAAGAAGGTGTCTCAATCAAGGGAAATTTACATGCGCCCACAGGAAAAATTCCATCAATCAACGATGTAAACTTAAACGACTTTATTCGAACGTCCATTCTGCAAGGATGGGACCAAACCTTCGAGGAACCACTTCTTATCGAAGCAATAACCGTGAATGACATCCAAGGTGACTACCGTGTAAATGGTCTTAATTTACAAACGGATGTCATGCGTTATGATGCGGAAAATATTGTTACTGGTAAAGTAACAGTGGATGATCTCGAAGTTGATGTCTTAAGCACTGAGAGGGACTTCAAAGTACAAAATGTTGATTTGAAACAATGGACTAAAGACGGTGTACTAAGATCAGGGAGCTATAAAATAGAAGGTCGAATAATCTTTGAAAATGATACAATTTTCGAGAAAGGTATAGGTTTGACTGGTTTGTTAAACAGGAAAACATTTACCGAAGATAAAGTCATGCTAAAGTCAAGAGCACAAACCATCACAGGGCGTAAAACTTTCATTACTTCACACGATAATATTCCACATTTCAACGATATAAAATTCAAGGGACTTATTAACGGTGTTAAATTTTCGGATTTGGTGGAGAACCAAGCAATGAAAACAACTGATAATACTTTTGCAAATACCATTGATTTCCATACGAATTTAACTGCACAAAATGTTAATTTTGAAGGACTTTATCGAGGAGTGAATATTAAACAACTGTTGGATAACTTGACAACCAACGCTTTCGTTGAAAACTACTACGAAAATTATGATAAACTACGAGATGCTTCGCGAGCTGTTAAGAAATCATTAAGTAGTAAGTTCTTTTAAAATTCTTTTTAACACTTTTTACACGAATAATGTATTTTTTACAGACCAAGCACACTATTTGAATCACTTCCGTGAATTGATAAACTTCCGAACTCTCTTGGATCTTGTACCAATGAGGAGTGTCAAAGGAGATTTACACCTTGCAACGCTCAGACAAGACAATCACAGCTACATCATGGACTTTTTCAAATGGATTCCAAACCCAGGAGTCTTCTCAATCGATACAGCCATGCGAGAAATCATTTATCACGAACCAATCACCAACTGGGCACCATTAGAATACAAATACGGGACGTACCTCTATGTAGAAATGAGGAATTACGAAAATACTGAACATAGTCATGTGGGGTATATTATGAGCAACCAGAACACAAGTTCATATGAAATTAACATGGATATTCCCAATAATGGTACTCGAAAAGTTCTGCCGCTGTTTTTACCGAACGTACAGAAAACTTGTGTATTACTGGTACATGCAACGAGTAATAACATGGATATTTATTGCAAAGGAGAATTTAAAATGGAACTACACCAAAGTCTACCGATAGTCAACGCATTACAAGTCGAAGTGGCTGATTATCCCAATCGACTGGAAATCCACGCAATAGAAAAAATATTCAAGATTTCACGATGGATTACAAGCATCATACAAAACACAAGAAGCATGAAAATAATCCTGCGGTGGTTATTTGGAGGTATGACGAGCACACAGAGTTATTCAACGAAGAACAACGAATTTTCACGTCGACACCCATCAGTATATCATCAGTGAAACATAATGATGATGAATATTTAGCTGTGGCGAGTGGACATCTTGTTAATACCATGTATTCCGGACAAATTGACATCAAAAAGTACGTTTTTACTGATATAAACCATAAAAAGACTAAAACTAAAACTTTACTTTCAGATATGATCATGATATGAAACAATACACTGATTGGCAAGTGTTCAGAGCAAGTGCTCCATTACAAGTGCATCTTTCAGTCCTGCCAAGCAATGAATTATTTTTATATGTCTTGAGGAATAGCCCAACAGACATGCTTCAAGTGTATGAGTACACTGGCATTGGCAAGTTTGCTTCAGTAGGCACAATTTCTTCTCTAGAGTTTTGTAATTCTATTCATCCATTCAGTTACACATGGCATGACAGTGAACACAAAATTCAGGAACATTTTATTATTGCCAAGTGTAATGGTGTAGTGAATGTAATTCATAGTATGTTTAAAAGTTGAATAGTTTTATATTTTATGTTATGTTTTTAATGTTTATTGTTTAAATGTTTGCAAAATAATGTGAAATAAACTCACCTAATGAAGTTGTGTCATTTTCTGGTTCCCCATTCTAAAATAAAAGAAAACAATTAATATTTATTGCAAATATAGTTACTATAAAATAATTATTACCTTCCTTTGGCAATAAAAAGTTATTCAATATAAGATTTTTCAGTTGTCTACTGTAACTTCATTCTTTGGGGTTATAAAACGCCAATGAAAACATTGAACGTGTAATCAATGTTGCCTACGTTAAAAATGAACCACAGAAATATTCAAAAAGAAAATGTGAAGAAAATTGAAAAAAAGAAACTAAAAATGTGTTTCTATATTATAAACAAATATCTACGCATTAATATTTTTGTACCAACTAAATAACTTGCTGGTAATGAGAAGGGTAGTAAATAGGGGGTTGTTCAGCAAAGGGGCACATCCGCAGGTCATGAAGTGTGACCGAAACAGTTTCGAAATACTATTCTATAGCTATGAACACTTTGAAGGCTGACAAATGTCGAATGTTAAGCGTCACGTGCCGCATCCTCGTTTCCAAATGATTTCATGATTATCCTCTCTTACAACCTGCTCGCAACGCCACGCACCACATCTGGCACAACTAAATAAAAGTGCACACAACATGCAAGTTTTTATTCATGCACACCACATTAAACAATTTGATTAATCATCAAATATTACAAGTTGCATGAGTGTGTATTATATGAACTAATCGAGTTAATAAACTTCGGCGTAATAAAAATATTGTAAACTTTATTAGCGGTTCGAATATTCGCAGATATGTGCGGATGAGGTGATGACATAATCATCACGACGACGATTACGTGGAAATTAACTGCGCAAAAGTGCTTGTTTTGTTTTGCCGGGGTGCATAACGAGTGCGATGAGCTCGGCTCGTAAAATAACGAGTTAGAAAGTAATTATGCGCGCATAAAAGGGTTTAATCAAGAGCCCTCCGCTGGTGGATTCAATCTACACGGTTTCCCTTCAATTGCTGCCATTATTTTTGTTCTGACTTTTATTTCATTCAGTATAACATAACTTTTGCTAAAAAAACTAAAATACTGTATTTTTTGAATTTTCCGCAAATAGAAAATTCGACGTAAAGATTTTTTTGCCACGATGTTCGTTAGGAAAAATTTTTGCGTCATAGTGTCATGCGAAAATGTGACTATCGCGCAGCATATTCGCCTGGACCACCCGAAGCGGCTCAGGGGAATAACGGCGCTTGTGACCGACGTCGCAGCCGCCTTCCCATCGTATCCTGGCAGCGCGCGCGCTCGGCAGGAAAACGGACGAGCGCCGTTGGGCCTTTGCGGCGCTGCGGATTCGTTCGCAACGAAACGCACCGCGTTCCTGCCGCTCCTGCCGACCGGGCGGGTATTCGCTCTCGAGGGAGACGGAATCGATGTCCCAACATCCAATTATTAAAGGGAGCATGAATCTAATTCAATATTCACGTCGCGCCGCTTTTGGCGCTCTTTTCCTGCTTGCAGCAAACGTTATCCAAAACGCCAGTTTAAAATCACACAAATATACATCCAAGACTTTAGGCAACAAAATCAAAGAATCGCTTGTCTATTATCATTTGTCTATTACTTTAAATGTAAAATGGAACAGGTAATAACAATAAGAAAAGGGATCAGGACTATAAAATGCACCCGCGGCCGACATTTGAAAGCTTAAGGGTTGAATGTAGAGCACGCAGGATTTGAGCGAAACACGTGAGAATATCTGCTTGAAACCTATTCCGGACGTCTTCAACTTGCGTGGGAGGAAGCAAAATTTAATTAGAATGTAAAAGCGAATTATACGGTTAATGTGGCTCTTCATAGCTGTTAATCAGATAAGGAGCCATTTCGTACTCTAATGGCGTTTAATATTACCGAACCCAACACACGCGTTTGAAAAATATTCAACAATCACTTATTTAACCACAAAAATTAATATCTTACGTATTTTGTGTAATATTTATACTTCAATAATGTGATAATAAAAAGACGTCCAAACGAGCAATAAAGCAATTACTCTAATGCGAAATAATCATCGTATGAGTACATACCCTAGACGACACACGCCACGAAAATACGGACGTCGTGTCGCGCCGGCGTCGGATGCGGATGATAATGGAACGGAAAAATTACAACCGAAATTCGATTATCTACCGATCGCGATTTGCGCCACGCCAGAAGCATGCGGAGAGGAAAGACAGCGGACGCGATGCGTATCGGCCATAATCACTACCCCGCTTGCAATTGATAATGATTGCGACGGGGATGTGCGGCACCAAAAGCACCAAACATGAGCGACGCACGTGCCGCCGCGTGCGGACGACGCTCTGTACAATTTAGGACCAGAGAGCGCCTGCCCTGCTGTTACAAAAATCTAACAATTCAAACACACAAACAGGATGATAATACCACGTGCGGCACACAAAACAACCGAATTAGCAAACATCAAGTATGTGATGCACACTTGACATACGCATACGACAATGACACTTTCAGTTTAGACATTCATATATCCATCGTTCACGATTTTTCGTTTTCTTCTGTTTTGTTATGTGCCTTGTTTAGTTTTGCGCATGGATGTGATAATGTACAATAAGTCCAACATATAAGAAGTTGCGTATGATGCGTATCATGGCGAACCCAACACGTTTTTTCAATTTGCCTGCTGCGATGGTGTCCATATTTGTTAGAAAATTATTGGATACTTATACAGGAGTATATGGAGACATAACTGTAGGTATTCTAACATTTTTCTTAAAAATTTACAATTTAAGTTAATATTTAGGACTTGGTATTGCCTAATGGTTACGGAACTCTTCAGAAAATCCTCCGGGAGATTTTACGTTTCAATGGGATGCACGTTTATATCATCGGGGTTGCCGCTACAAGCTTCATTTGCTATCTGAAAAAGTCCAAGATGATACGCATCATTTCCAGACGTTCAAGAACTTCGAATTTAAATAGAACGTCAAGCAGGTAATGTTAAAATAGTAGTATACTAAGAATCAAGTGGCTAAACGAATGCTTTAACAACGTTTAGCCACAAGGAGCTTATGCTATTTTTTCTACTTTCACTCTAGTTCCATGTTGCGCTTTTTCTATTTCAACTTTAGTATTTTAAATCATCGAAATTTGCTCGTACACTTATACAAACTGTAAGGTAATAAGTGCCATGACGGACGTCGCATGGCATGTCCCGTGCATAATGCAAGTACATAATGAATATTATGCACGGCTTGGCCGTTCGTATATAAAGTACCACTTTTTGTGACTAAAAACCATGGAATTCCTGGCGCTTTATGGGTGGAAGTAGAAAAATAAATTTATAACATGAAATATTATATGAATATTTGTAGTTTGTTAAGACGTCCAAGACCCAAACCACCATCTTCCATTCGTATGTTATTCAATCGCGAAGAGAAAATCCTTTCATACTTGAAACACTGTTCGTTATCAGCAAGTCGTAGAAGTTACAACATTGCTTCGAATAGTATTTTACGCCAAAACGACGGAACGACCATCTCGGCACCTCCGATGCTGCAAGCAAATGCAGAACGCAATACTATTAACTTTTGTGGTCAAACGAGTCCGGGAATTATGGGCAGTCCACTAATTTCACCCAGTTCCAGTGTGATATGTCCGGAAGACAACCGTTTTGATCTTGATTCTCTACGTATGTCAACGCCTTTTCCAACATTCCACAATAATAGAGACATTAGTCTTGATCTGCAAATACCAAATAGGACTCATCTTCATGATGTCCATGGTAATATATATGAACGTCGATCACTACCAATGCGGGCTGAATATTCAGGTCTAGATACTGCTCGGCTTAGTCATGAACGTTTTAGTGATAAAAACATTCAAATACAACCGACGACACCAACAACGATAAAATCTTTCCAAAGTGGTGATAATTGTGACATAGACTTGTCCCGGATAGCTGATGATACTGATATGGAAGTGTACACACCGAGTATCATTCGGGAAATCCTACCTAGTGAGATAGACGTTGGAGATTTCAAGATACCTTCAGTTATTCGCGATTATAATTTGAAAAATAAGAGAACCAATGCAGGGCGGACTCCCAAAAAGAAACCCAGACGTACTTATACACCTAAAAGACGTAAAACCACAAAAAGTCGGAAAGCACTTCTTGTCGAGCGTATCCAAAGTGAAGGTAGGACCAGAAATAGGTTATATGGTCGAGGACTACGAAAATCACCAAGACCCACGGGAAAAGCGTGAACAGTAACATTTTCGACTTGGAAACTTCAACATTTTTGTGAAAAATAAAGTATTAATTCTTCCAGAGATCGATTGTAATTAATTGAGTAAATATGTTGTTTGAAACGGCGAAAGTTTTTGCAACGCAAGAGTTTTCTCACTATTTCCCAACAAAAGATAAAAAACACATCGATAAACTAACTTTGGATGGTTCAGTTCGACGAAATAGTTATCGAGATTCTTTTTTTATTCATCGAGAAATTTAGATTCTCATAGTTTGCTCTTCGGATAAATTGGCGACAGCCGGAATGGGACAATGTCGGAGCAAGGCAGGAGCGTAATTCTCGAGTCTGGAGGGAAGTCGGGAAATCTTAGATGGCCTTCTGTCCCGCGGCAATGAGGACAATCAGTCTCGGGAAGTTTTCGGCCCTCCCGGCGAGCGGCGCGTCGTCCTTCCTGCTTATTTCCACTGAGAGTGCTCTCGCACAACGCGCTCCACTCCTCGAGATATTTGTCTCAAGTCGCGCGAAATAAATTCACATTGGATATTCACAACTAAAGAAAAACAAGTTTTTGTAATCGTTGTAGTTTTAAAAATTGCCAAGCATTGCATCGGCGACAAGCATAAAGATAAAAGATGCGGTGTTAGATGGCGAGAGGAAAAAAACGCCGCAAAAAGTAGCACCACCCGGATGCGTTCGCATAATTCGTTCGCGTCGCTTTTGGCACTTTATAAATCATCCCCGCGCGACGTGTCGCCCCACGCAAGTCTCGGGGACGGCGTCTCGGCGAGCAAATACTCCGCGAGCCCGTGGTGCATGTGTATGCGCGCACGAGGAACAAATTGCTTTTTAGAAAATTGCCATCGTTCGCCTACTCGGCGCTCTACTTTGTACACTTTGCATATTCTTTTGTCTTATTGTCAATTTGGAGCCGGGAATAAGACCGTGCCTTCGCTTATTGCATGTGCACATCCGAAGCCAGCGCGTAAAATAACTTTAAATTTACTTTATTAGCTGCTAAACTGTTTGATTCATTAGATTATTGTTTGCCCTGCGTATAAATCGATTTAGACATTACGAAATTACGTAAATTGTTAAATAAAATTTATTTTAGACTGTAAATATCTCAAGACAATTCAATAGAGTTAACTGAATGTTCCACACCATCGCTTTTCTGTATCAATACGATTTGATTCCGTTGCTTCGTTCGTTTCGCATGCGCAAATTAATGATCTGTTTATTGTTTGCCTCGACTGACTCGCAGCGCCCGAGTCACTTCATTCTTCATACAAGATTAAATCCTGAGAGCTTCCAGATTTCATATTTTCCACTTCATTAAGCCCCCACGCCGTTAAGATTACATCTTCAATTTTGTATTATCAAATCAAGTGAATCTAGTTAAAATAAACAAAATTAGAAATTGACCCCAAGTAATTAAGCAAGTTAAAAACAACTCGACGAAGAACACCAGCGGCTTGCGAAGAAAAACGCAACAAGTTCTTTGCATATTCATGCGGCTGTCCACATAATTTTTCATTACCCTTAATTGCACTTAATTATTATTATCGGCACGACCGGCACGGCGCACGCCTTGAAATCTAAAGAAAATTACGTTAATTCATTGCGTTTCTTCAAAAAAGTAAAAATTTAAATAAATTTTATGGATTTAAAGCAACCTAATGCTTATTTCAATACATTTTATAAGATGTTTAAAATTTTATAAAATTTTCAGGCTAAAATGTAAATTTTGTATTTTTATTTCTTTCCTCAAATGAAATTTCATTTTAATATTCCTGGTATTTTGTAGTTTTGATTTCCAGCCGTTTATTTTTGTGAATCGCGTATCCGCCGGAAAATGTCTTCGCCCGTTGCGCCGGCGAGGACGAGAGCGAGCAAAAATCGAAGCGTAAGTGTCGCCGGCAAGCGAGCGCACAACGCTGCCACCCCGGAACTGCGCTGAAGCGCGTCGCGACGCCGACCGCCGACGGCCAATGCGCTCATGTAAAATGTACTCACAACGCTCACGATTGGCCAGCACAGCACCCCGTAGCTCCGCCCAGCACCCTCCGAAAACATTTTCACCGCTCGCAATCTCTGTAAGCGCTGATCCACCGAGGGGTTGCTTCATCCACCAGCGCACCCCCGCGCACTCCACCGCTGTCGTGCGCTTGCTTGTTCACTTGTTCACTTTTCGCAACTGGCAGCTCGCGACACGCACACAAAAGCGAGTTAAACGAGCCGTGCTCGGGCAGGAAAGAAAGAGACAAAGCGCGAGAGGGTGGTTTTGCCCTCCGCGCGCTCGCCGAGGACGACACACGCGGCCGGAGCGCATTTCTGGCGGCGTTATTGAATTAAGCTTATCATTTGATTTCGGCGCGAGTCGAGAGTCGGTGGTGTGTTGTTTGGCGCGCGCTCGAAACTTCCCGGAGCCACCAGCACCAGCAGCAGCAGCGAGCAAAGTGATAGGCATCTCACAACCCTTACACGCCGCAAGACAAAACGCCGCGACGCGCGCGCTCGCTCGCTCTGCCCGACCGCGAAAAATTAAGTGTGCGGCGCGCAATCCCGATCGCGTATTAAATTAATCAGCCATCAATTAGCGCGCCGAGGCGCAAACGTCTTGACGCATTGCAAACCCCTTCGTCGCTGCGCGACCGCCGCGAGGCGACTGAAAATTGAAAAACTGCGGAGCCAACGAAGCGTCGACAAACAAAACCGGCGCGCCACCACTCGATATCAGCCGATATCATTCGTAATCGGCGTAATTTGATAACGCGCGGATCCACGAGCCCCAAATTCGATTACCGACAGCGCACAACTCCTTAACGCGATTTGTGCGAGCGCATCTTTTGAAAAACATTCACGAACAAACACGAAAATTAACTCCGGCGTGGAAAGTGCGCGGATATTCTTCATTGTGCATCAAAAATGGACTACTCGTATCTGAATCAAGCAGCAGCGGCTGGATTCGACTCCAGCTGCCTGCAGAGCATGCAGGATCCGACGGGTCTGTCAAACATGCCATGCAGTTACGGAGACCTAACGTCCTGCAGTCAAATGTCGCAAGCGGCATATCGCTACACCGCCGCAGCGGCATCCATGGCGCGTACGTATAACCCCAGCGCCGGTGCCGGCGGCATGGGGGTACATCATCCCGGATCGGCAGCATCACAATGTGCTGTCATGGGTGCACGCAGCCACGTGCAAGACGTGCATAGGGCAACCATGTTTCCATCGTCCATGAATTTACAAAGTAAGTCAACAAATAAATACATACCTATAGTTTTCGTAATTGTTTAATACATTGTTTGGTGCGTGAATAATTAATACGCTCGCGCCGGCGTGCAGAAAAAACAACAAAGTAAAAGCCCGACGCGCGGACCGCAGCAGCTTTGGTGGAGGCGCTGGCAACCGTAGTAAGCGACGGAGCGCGTCCCTAGACTTAGCACTTGAAAGATTGGCCGCGTAATTGAATCGGATGGCGTGTTTCCCGCAGATATTTTCCCCTTGATCGATCCGAATTTATGAGCGTCTCTCTTGCACCCATGCAAAGCAACAAAGAAAACCGGCCACTTTGCAAAATATTATCCACTACTAGATATAACTTATTACACAATAGTTGGGTTAATCAAAACTTGAACGGAAAAGAAACGCAAAGTTTCAACTAGAACACTGAAGAAACTTTCATTTGCTTAATGCTTTTCTTGACTCACGCCGTTTGGCTCCCGGGCGCTCGTGATTGTTTAATGTTGAGCGCAAGAAGCCGTGCGTTCCGCCAGCGCCATAACTTACAAAGATGCAAGTGACTAATGTTAATTAAAGTGCATTTAATTAATTAATTTGCTTTGCTTCCACTGCCTCAGCAGCATTACAATCGTATATTTCTCATGGTGTGAATGTTATTCACACATTTTTCATCATTTTCACACCGTATGATTATGATCATCATACATACACGTGTGTGTCGGATAAAAGAAAACGTTGACGCATGTTATTTCAACTCGTCGGCGTGAAAAAGTGGCGAGAGCGCGCGTTTCACGCTTTTTTCCACCCCGGAAGTTTGCACTGTGCACGTTCAAAGTGGCACGTCTTTCATATTGTTCACACTCACGTTCGCGGAATATTTTCACTAGATTCTTGGCTGCTTCCGCCCCGTCGACAATCATGTTTATTCGCGCTTTTTCCGCGCTTTGTGTTCATTCAACTTGTTACGCTGGTAAATCATGAAAACGAAATCCACGGAAAACTACCTTAAACAATTAATTCTGATTCTCACAACATTATGCAGAAAGGAATATTTTTATGCTCGAATAGATGAAAATATCTTTGATTCTTTTTCTACCTGTTTCCCATCCGGCCATAACTCTAATATCCGAATGGCTGGATGTCGTGTTGCATCATAAAAATACTTTTTACATTTTTTAGTGACACCGAGTGGAAAGCGTGTCTCTTTCTTATTTCTTTGTCTCGACGCGGAGAGCACATTCCGTGATGTATTCGAATGTAATATTTGCGTTCGTCCATCTGTGCACGTCCCGTCTAGTTTTCCGATAAAACAAAGCCATAAAAGAAACTTCCCAGAGCCGTAAAGTTACCAGTATTCTACATGTCGCTCGCCGGCGGACGCTTGCAACAAGCAAGGACAACAACACGCACAGGACGAAAAAAACATGCCGAAAACAGACGTCAAAGATAAAGAAATCGTCGAAAGAAAAAAAAAACAGGCATCGAGATTGTACCGTAATGTTACATCGCTTTACTACTCGTACTCGTGCCTAATGCGCTCATAAAATTGTAAATATTTTCGTGTCATCGTCGAAAATGTCTATTATTATCAGTGGCAGGACATGACAACTATATAGGTAGGTTTATGTGCTTACGAGTTACGTTTACCAGCGACTACTTGTGAGGTGTGAGCTAGCAACGCCCAATTATGCGGTTTGCAGGTGAATACTAAATTTGCGGTTGCACGCACTAGTCCTCCAAGCATTTAATAGGCTCACTTTAGTTTAGACCTATCCCTGTTTATAATCTACAACCCAAATTATATTAACCATTAATTTACAGATGAATAATGAATAATAACACAAATTTCTGATTTCTATATGTGGCCAAAAAATTAAAATTATTTTTTTTTTAAACTTTAAGCTGGTAAAGTTTTCTATCCTCGTAAAAAGTAAAAGAATAGACAGTACAGTACAATGTCGATAAATAATGACGTGCCATAAACTTTTGTCAGCAGACAGATTCGCCAAGACGCGGCGGACATTTTTCATTGCGTGCCTGCGGGGTCTTCCACGCCGAAGACACCCTCGCAGCGCGTTGCTACAAAATGGCACACTGTCGGCAGGAAGCACGAAGGAGGCGACGCAAGCGAGGAATAGGGATGCTTTCTTACAAGGGCGCACGTTCCTCCTGCACAACACACTCTCTCCAGGCGTTTACTTGCAGTTTCTAGTCGTTTTCCAGCCGCGCGCGGCCGTTTTCTCTCCCCGCCGATCGATATACTTAGGCGTTCCTCGCCGGCGAAGAAAACTCACCGAAATTCTCCCTCGTCACATGCTCAGAGACACGCTGAGCGAGTTTCGATTTGTTATATTAATTATGCAAGAAATTGTTGGCGACTATTGTGATATAGATTGACACAGAAATTTTGCTTGCAGGTGGTCTGCCTTACAAAGTATATCCGGGACATGATGGAGTTTTAACTGAGAAGCGAAAACAACGCCGGATACGCACCACATTCACTTCAGCACAGCTGAAAGAACTGGAAAGAGCGTTTCAAGAAACCCACTATCCCGATATCTACACCCGAGAAGAAATCGCGATGAAAATCGATCTCACCGAAGCGCGTGTTCAGGTAAGACCAGAAATAATCGACAGATTTTTGAATGAGTTGTAATTCTGTATTTGTTGGCCCCGAATTTATCCAATTGTTCTTGCGTTAGACAAAGTTACGGATATAAAAACAGAGTTATCGAACCATTGCGCACCGTTATTGCCGGCGCGCTCAGTGTGGCTGGAGTGCGGCGAGCAAAGACGTGAGCGTAAGGACTTTTTAATCACCCTAAGTGGCTCCTGATGTAGAGTAGCTTTTACCGCTACAGCCTGGCAGTAACGTTACACTCGAAGCGACATTCTACGTCGAGGACGATGCGTCGTCCGCCATCGAATGCCGGAAAAGTTACCTAAAAGTGCTCACTGCTCACACTTTTAGCCGAATGGCCGGTCGGTCACCACGCGGGGATTTTTCCCAAGACCAGACAAAAAGGATTCATTCAGTTGATAGCACAAAACTACCCAGCAGCTATACAATATTCAGAAAGGACCAAAACATTGTTGTTTCCGTGTCAAATTACAATGCGTTAATTTCCAATAAGTACACTACTTGAACCGATTACACGAACAATAAAACAAGCAGAGATAAGTGTGTCCCGCACGTGACAATAACTCACTCCTCGATGACAAGGGTAGATTTTTATCGCTAATATGTTCATATCTCGATACGGTAATCAAATATTTGTGTGATGTCTTCATGGGGCGCTTGGTGCCTTGACAACTCTGACCCTTAATCGGCAATTTGGTGTGACCAATCTCGAGTGGTGTGCATAATGAGATTCGATATGCTTGTTGTGTTCATGTTGTATTTCTCATCTGCAGTGCCCTAATATAGCAGAAATGGAATTTGATACGGTTGTTTACGATGCATGTTCACACGACGTGTTATTGAGTAGAAACTGTCCCAATTTTCATTTTCACACGAAAATTTGTGCACAAATATAGTCTACTTCTGAAAATCTCAATAAACAAAGTCATTCTGCACCTGTTTCTTGATTGTTGTTGTTGATATGTCTACATGTCTACATGGTACTTATTTGTAGACACTTTTAAATATTTCAGGTATTTTTAAACACCGAAAGTATTTTTATCACACACACGTGGAAATTTTCCGTTAGAGAACACAAAGTTAAAACTGTAGTTGAAATTTATACGCAACTAAAAGATGAATGCGCGCCCAGTAATGATTTATACGATCATGTACAATCATCGTTTTTATTGTTTGTTTTTTGTGTTAACGTTAGTTTCGACTTTGGCAAATGTTGCAATTAGTTATTATCCGTAGCGTGCGCGTTCATTAGTCATCGCCTGCCTGCGCCCGACGTTCGAAAGCTTCGGCCAGCGTAAAAGGCGAGTGCGTTGTTCGAAAAATTATTTATAGACGATTCGGGAGCAATAGATTCGAATTTAGCCAATGAAATTTTATTCCATGCAGCCGACAACGCACCGCATGAAACCGGCCTCGCAAACTCGTATTTCATAAATATTCATGGAAAATTATTTGTGTAAGAATAGAAATTTATACAATTAGTCACTATTGAATAGACAAACTTCATAAAATAAATAAAAGAAATTTTTACACATTTAAAGAAATATCTGAGTTTTTTTTTTACAAATTAAACACGCATGAGATATGACTAGGTCTATGCAATCTTTTACAATTAAACTGTGAATAACAGGCGTATGTGTGTGTTTTATAATTTGCACGCGCCCAAAAATTATGGCCCGCCGCACATATGGCGAGAACTTTATTTCGCGCGCGCGGTCACTGCGAAAATGAAGAAAATCAAATGCATATATCTGAATTACGCGCGGAATTGCACGTCCGCTGGGCAGTTACCCGGTTAGGTTTTAACGATTTCAGCACATACATTACCAGAAGGGGCCCGCGATTGGGCTGAATCGACCAATATACGCGCTGTGCTCGACGCCAAAACGTATGTGTTTCAAGAGAATATGAGCATCAAATGTGTAATGTGGACACCACCACGACGCGGCTGTAAAATTGCGGGCGCACGACCGCGAAATGCAAAACCAGCGCCGAAAGCACACTCGTAAAAGCTGAGCGATATTTCTGTTGCAATTAACGTCTCATAATCAAAACTAATCGTCGTATTATCTGTATGAGGTATTGATTGCAATCAAGATTTATGATCAACTCACACAAATTTTTATTTCTTTAGATATTTCACTTATTTATAATATTAAAATGAATTGCAAAATGTGTTGGTATGCGCATAACTCAACAACGCTAAGGCCAATTCGGCCAATTATTTTTTTTAAATATTCCTTAAAGTCCAAAGATGGTTTTTACGGCGAGAAAAATTCGAATAATTGCCGGGAAAACCCTAAAGACAGCTCTTTTCAATAGGATAAAAGTTGGCATTGTGATTCAATCATAGTTGTAGTTAAATAGTTGAATCCGAGATGGCACGTTGAAGTTCATTATTAGCAATTCTTTATATAATTAATTGCTTTAAAATAACATTGCGAATCTTATTGATAGAATTGACACATACTATATCTAAATCAAGACAGTAGAATTACATTTTTATTAAACACTACCGAGACGAAGTCGCGGGCAAAAGCTAGTAAAAAATAAAAATTTAAGTTATACGTGTAAAAATGTGTTTTTCTTATTGTATGAATCGTTTTTGATAATTTTGGAACTCAAAAAAAATGAACGAAAGCGAATACACGCGGCCGCGACCAAATTCCATAAAACCTTCGCGAAATCAGGCCAAGTTCCAATAAATATCCGAAAATAAAATCACGCATTTCTCAAAACGCGTCGCCCCGAAACGCGCGCCGATTAAAATAAATAATTTTATAATAACGTTGGCAGAAGCGCACTGATCATGTACCTACTAGTAAAACTTGTAAACTAACGATTTTATTCGCGCATTCCGCCATTCTTTCGAGACTTTGAAGATTTATCTATCATAAAAGCGTGGAATTGCGAGCAAAATTAGAGTAACGATCTATTGATCAAAAAACCCAGTGAGGAGTGTGGAGTGTGGAGCAAGAGTTGTTGTTGAGGTGGACAGCTGAGGACGCACAACTTTTATGACGAAACACTTTTATTAGCAATCGTTTCGCCGTGAAGCTGGCCGTAATTGAAACACAAAACAAAACGGCCAGCGGCACAACAAGGGCAATAAGAACTCGAATGGGGAATGGTGAGCGAGCGCCAAATGTGGCGTTTCGCATTTTGCATTGCGCAGGGCGCAGCAGGCAACAGAGCAGTAGCAGACCAGACGGATAGATAAATGTCGATTGTATCAGGCGAAGCTTTAATGGCGCTCGAATGCACTTTGTCTAATCACTTCTACGATGCTTTTAGTGTTTTTACATTCATCTGTACTTAATATAATTGATCCATAATGCACCTGCTTTTTGTTAAAAACAAACATAAAAATACCGACACTCTTTTAAAAAGTCGCAAAAACAAGCGCTAGTTTTTTTCGATTTAAATTTTTACTAAATTATTAGATTAAACTGGATGTTACTCATAATTATCCAATTACGCACCGTGAAAAATTTACCAATATGACAAAATTGGACGATTTTTTTTTGCGTTTGGCAAATAGAACAAGAGCAGAAATTTCGCATTATGGCAGATAATATGAGCGCGATAACTAATTCAGGCTGGCACGCCATGCACGCCTGACGGATGGACATTTAAATAGTTTACGAGTTAGCCGGACATCGGCCACTCGCCCACACACAATATCCAAAACAATACGAGTGAGGAGAAGAGTAGAGAAGAGAAGAGCACCAGCATCGGTTTCGCATATATTTCCTAACTGAATATGATAAAGTGAGACGAGATGAGTTTTCCCGAGTGAAGGCCGGCCGCTTGAGACTGCGCCACAGCTGTGGCACTCCCGGCGTAGGCTCACCCAGCAAATGCAGCATTTTCTAATACATTAACAACAACGACACTGCTGGACCCACAAAGTTTACTGAAAACTCCGAAAGTTTTCCACTTTTTAAACTAAACTACACTTCTTCACTGAGTCACTGCTTGTATATTATCTACATAACCTAATTTTTCGTCCTCTACACTATATAATTTGTGATTGTCAATTGTAGATGCATCCCTGGATGTCAAATGTGTACAAACATTGGGCGTGTTATTGTTATGATTGTGTAATGGTTCAGATTTGCGTCCATGACAAGCGGCCCAGTGTGGCGCTTCGAACTCGCGCATATCTGCGAACAAAGAGGGCCCCATGCATAGTTGATGTGTGCTAACGCTTAAATAGATTAGTTTGCGGTCGGTTGGTCAGTCGGCTGCCGCAGAGGCAGGCGGGTGCGTGCTGTCTTTCTGTCCGTTCGTTTTCTGATAGACAGACCGACTGAGACTCGACCGATGCCCACTCCAGCATCAATATTTACTGGCTTGCTTGATAACTGAATATCTGACACGGGAAGTTTACTAATGTGAGATACCAAATAACACATGTGATGAAAAATGTCGGATTACTCGAGGGTTAATTGCGAGCACATTAACTAAACGACATGTGATAATCACACTCATATTCTACGTCTGTTGTGATACATTTAGATTATTTATCTTTGCGATGTCAGTTTTTCAAAACAAGGTTACGAAAGTTTTTGAAAATGTAAATTAAAATGCTTAGAGAAAGTAATTAACTAACCCTGTTTGGTACTTCTGTTTCTACTTTTATTCGCAAGCATATCCCCGAAAGGTGAAGCGAAAAACATCCAAGCAACCCTTTTCGTAAATCATAACAATTACAGTTATGCGTGCGCGTTACCCTCATCTCCCCGACGTTAATTTTCATGGGGTTATTATTACAATTTTCCGCGAAATTTTCCACCCTTTTCTGAAACTCCAACCCTTTACAAATTCAAACACTAGGGGTGTCGAGGAATGTCAGAATATGAAAAGCGCAAAGACAACGTAAAAGCCTAGTAATTAATACAACTTTTTATCAAGATAAAAATTAATTTAATTTAATCAACATATTTTTATGAAGTAATGGGTCCTGAAAG